CTCATTGCCCAGCAGAAGACAACATCTCGCTGTAAGGACGGCACGACGGTACTATGCCTGCGGCCGACCCTTTTCTGTGTCCATTGTCGCGACCGTTCGCTACACTCATTGCCCAGCAGAAGACAACATCTCGCTGTAAGGACGGCACGACGGTACTATGCCTGCGGCCGACCCTTTTCTGTATCCGATGTTACGACTTCCAGGTTCGCCACACTTATTGCCCAGCAGAAGACAACATCTCGCTGTGAGGACGGCACGATGGTACTATGCCTGCGGCCGACCCTTTTCTGTATCCGATGTTACGACTTCCAGGTTCGCCACACTTATTGCCCAGCAGAAGACAACATCTCGCTGTGAGGACGGCACGACGGTACTATGCCCGCGGCCGGCCTCTTCGCTGTCTTCCCTGCCACGAGCTAAGGAATCGCCACAGCATTCGATTGATCGTGCAGACGCGATCAGAGTACTGGTGCACGACTTCTTAAGCTGCTCGGAGCCGTCCCGACCATGCCAGGAGCGCACTACCTGTACAGCACCCTCTACCACTACGGTGAAGTAGCACGTATAACTTGACCCGTTGCTCCCACGAGAGGCCGAACGACATCGCTGCAAGGGTCTGGTACGATGCAAGTCAAGCCATCGCCGCAAGAGTCTGGTACAATGCAACACAAGATGTACGCACGATCACTCGAGAACATGAGTTGCGCTCAACAACACTAGATCTTTGTGCTCGAGTGCCCAAGAGGCAACCTAGGACAACGCAGATGAGAGCAGCTCTGCTCTTCCATCACGACGTAATGTAGAGTCACGGCAAATACTGCAGGAACGTTCAGGATCTAGTATGTGCAGTCAAGTGGCATCGGTAGCGGCATCGGAGGATCGAAACGGAGGTTCATGTTGCGATAGGATAGAAAGGACTCTTTAACTAGCTATGTACCAACGACCTGCAATCGTGTCTCTACCCACAAGCAGAAGCAAACTCACGAGGAACAGATGAAGCAAGATTGGGTAAAGGAGCCGACCTCAGATTCTACTCTGGGAGAATCAGGTGCTATAGAAAGGACTGCAGAGTTTACTCTGCAGTATGTATGTGTTGTGAGAGGGACTACAGATTTAACTCTGCAGTGAGTATGTGTTGTGAAAGGGACTACAGATTTGACTCTGCAGTGAGTATGTGAAGGGTACAACAGATTTTACTCTGCAGTGAGTGTGTGTGTGGTTGAAGGACGGCAGATTTCACTCTGCAGTGGGTCGATTCAGCGTCCAGCGGGCTGCTTCTGCTTGGGTTTCTTCTTCAGCCCCAGAGCCTCGAGATCAACAGTGCCGAGCACGCGGCCGTTGTAGAAGTCCTTCATGCTGGGATGGCGGGCATTACCACTGTCGAAATCCTTTGGCTGCTTCCATTGCTCGAGGAGCTCCTTCGTTCGCAGGTTGCGGGCTTTACGTTGAGCGTCCCAGGTCTTCAAAGTGGCGTTGAAGGCCGGGTCAAGCTCCTTGCAAGCGACAACCCAGTTCGTGAAGCCAGCAAAATCTAGACCTTCGACTGGGGGCCAGGATCCTCTCACTGCGGCGGCCTTGGTTGGAGCCTCGATAGCAGCAGGCTCTGCGTCTGCACTGCCTTCGACCTTCTTCGGCCCAAAAATCGCCTTCGCTACCTCCAGTTCCTCCGCCTCCTGCTGCGCCAACCACAGATTATGATATTGGCGGGCGAGCACACTCAAGTATTGCATATACTTGTCGGCAGCGAACAACGCCCGTTGTTGTTCCTCTTCCAGGCGAGAGACTGTAGGCACATGCACCTCGTCCAACTGCCTGAATTCGAGCTCAGTCTGCGGCGCAGGTACTAGTACGTCGGAATGCGCCATGTCTTCCGCGACCTCATCCTCACCCTCATCCTCACCCGCCTCCAGGAGTGCGAGTCGGGCATCCTCAAGCTTGTCTTTGTCTACCCAGAACGCATCAAGTCCCGGCAACGCGCCAAACATATCGTACGCGGCACCATAGCTCATGATTGCTGGGCCGTCGTGATCGCCGACTGTCTTCGATGGAAGACGCTTATTCTTCCTCCCCAGGCGAAGAAACATCTCGAAGCCGGGGCCATCCGTGACCAGCGTGTCTACGGTCGCTGGGATGGAAGAGCGATCCAGCTGATTAAAATCGAGCTTGAGAGCGGGATCGGCCGATACGAACTCATAGGGCTCGCTCTCTTCCTCCTTCTCACCGGTGGGATTGACGAGAGACCAGATATTCCTGAGCTCCTCTACACGCTCGATAGCTCTGGCCTCGAAAGCTTCGGCGAGGTCCTCTGGTGCATTCTCTGTAACAGATTAGTCCTCATATGCACGGGAAAGCATGAAATAGAAGCAGGCGTCTTACCATCGCATATGGCTTGCACCAATTTATCGGCGGCGACGACATCGACTTCCAGGCCGTCGTGGCGGTCGCTCCACGCCACATGCTCTTTCCGAGCCTTTTCGAGCCTCTCCTCGAACTTCTTCCTCTCCTTCAATGGCAGCTCCGGGTCCTTTAATTGACCTTCGTAGCCCTGGACGAGCCCACTACGTTTGTCCCTTTCGGTGACAGCCTAATGAACGTGAGCTCCTTGGAATTGGACCGAATGAGTTGGGTATAGTGCGCACCTCGATGAAGTCGAGCCGCGTGTTGTGAGCAGCACACGCGAGACAAGATCTGCGAGACGTTTCATGTTTGCAGGTTTTACTGCGATCGTTGGAGTATGGAGACGACATGGTCATATGCGATGCGATGCGATAGAGTGAGGGTGGCGTTGTTTGCTATTTCGTTTTAGACTTGGAATGATCTTCGATGCATCGTGCGTCGTTGTTGTAAGAGCAATCTCCCAATATGGTCCGAGCTTCGGACGCAGCTGAGAGAAGATGCATTAGGGTATACTGCAGGCTCCCTGATTGGTGATTGGCATGACACAAAGCGATGATTGGTTTAGCGTGTTTCTGTGGTAGCTTTGTCGACCATGTAGAAAGCGTACTCACCACGAAGCAGAACCACACAACACATACCTACAACGCTGATCAAGAATCGCAAACATGACTGAAATGACATTCAACACGTCGAGCAAAGATGCACAAGTGGCACTTTGCCATGATTGGCCTCGGGGCAATTGTCCACACGGAGCGGCTTGCGTGCGAAGGCACCCCGAGCAGCTACGAAAGGAACTCGAGGGCACTGGCGAGAATGGCTACATGGTTCCACAGGACGACCGTGTCGCCTGCAATTCCTGCCTGTCGAAGCTTCGTGCAGTAAGTCTGGTGTCGCCGGATGATGGGTGGCGTTGGTCGCTAATGCTGCACAGTGCGACAAGCTCTCCCACCCCGGCGACGACAATCCTTGTTCCGAGTGTCGCCATTTCGCCGGGGCCAACGCTGGCCCATGCAGACTCGTGCCCAAGAGCTACAACGACGCAGCTTGGGAGGTGATGATGACGGCCGCCCCGCTTCACCGGCTCCCGAAACACTCGACTGGCGCCACCGTCCCGAACAAGGTCCGCAAGCAAGGCCGTGAGTCGACTTGGGTGCCAGCAATGCCAGCTGGAATGGTCAAGCCTGGTTGGGAGGGCGAGACTGTGGAAGCCCTTTCGAAGAAGGGAGATATGTTCCCGGATGGTGTCCGCCTTGCACCACGGGCATATGTGAAGGCCCCGGTGACCAACAGCCGACTGCAAAAGTCGCTTCAATTTCACGGCCACGAAAATGAGAAGAAGCGCAAGCTTGAGCAGCCTTCGCTTGACGTGGGTTCCGCGTTCCTGCCGCCTGCGCACTATGGGCATCAGCCCCTCGGAACTGCGCCTTCTTCGTTCCCGCGTCCTGCGTTTCCCTCGCCCTCGCCGTCTCAATATGGTGCAGCATCGATGGATCCTGCGACGTGGGGTCCGATGAGCTCAAGCACTGTGCATTATGCAACTGGTGAACTGGTGCACACCTTCGGCTCTGGCGTGCAAGTCTCTATTCCATCGCACGCGCAAGGTGCAGTAAGTGAATTCAATGCCCCCGCATAAACCGTCCTAACATTGTTGCAGCAAAATCCCGGCTTCGGTCCTCGCCCGGCTGGCATGTACCAGTTTGGATCTTCCGCTGCTCCGGCGGCACAACAAGCAGCTCCTGCACGACCTGCCCGCCGCCAGCCTGCCCGCACTCCTGGCTCGTCTGCTGGACATCCTTCTCGGCCAGCATTCTCCGCCGCAGATGCGATGCGGACAGTGGAACTGTCGCAGCAGCTGCAACAGAAGAGGGCTCGTAACGACACTGCGACGAAGCCTGAGACTGCGACTGAGACTTCAGCGGTCCCAGCGGCGCGAATCTCAGCGGAGACAATGGAAGTCGACGCCGTCCAAGCCGCTACCGGTACTCAGCAGGCCGACGCGCATCAGGCTCCAGCGGTGCCAGGATCACAAACCCGTTCGGAGATGATGGATGCTGAGGGCGAGCAGGCCAGTGCAGTGGCACAACCAGAGGTGGCTGCAGCAGCATCGGCCGCTATGGAGTCGGAAGATACGGCTGTCGTTGCGCAGGCACCACAAATGGGGCTCGCGACGCACTCGATCGATGACGACGAGGATGGTGATGTTGGCTGCTTGGACGATTGAGTGCCCTTCTCCGCCTACCTCCATTCCTCAACCACTTCTACTGCTGTGAGAGTAAAATCTCTAGTCCCTTCCACATCATACCCACTGCGAGAGTAAAATTTCCAGTCCCTTCCACATCATACCCACTGCGAGAGTAAAATCTCCAGTTCCTTCCTTACCCTACCCGCTGCGAGAGTAAAATCTCCAGCCCTGTCCTGCGTTCTGTCATACTTACTGTGAGAGTAAAATCTCCAGTCTTTGCTTGCAATTTGTTACTATAGGCTAGAGGGTAGTAGTATTAGACTGGTCTATAAGGAAGGAAGGCGTTTTCCGAGGTTGCCTTTACCTTCCTTAGCTATATATTATCTCTACCTTTGCCTTGACGCCTTAATAACGTTAGTAGCCCTTGCCTTTACCTTAGCGCCTTAGTTAATTAGCCTATGTCGAAGTAGTTAGCGAAGTAGTTAGCTATAGCGATTAGCTATAAGTACATGAATGATGACCAGAGTAATGAGACATATTTGGCCGACTACAACGACCCTACTTTGTACGAGGCGAAGCTGGGCACATCCAGTTATGCCCCGTCCGAGCGTGTGTTCGATATGGGCAACAGCACGGTCCTCCGCTTGGTCTTAACCTCCGTCGGTTTCCCCGCATCACACCCGATGCACATTCACGGGCACAACATGCAGGTCCTAGCCGAAGGCGTGGGTAGCTGGGATGGCAAAACCATCATCAACCCTGATAACCCTCAGCGGCGCGACACTCAAATCGTCCGACCCCAAGGCTACCTCGTAGTGCAGATCGAGCTCAACAACCCGGGCGTTTGGGCTTTCCACTGTCACGTTGCCTGGCATATCAGCGAGGGGATGAATATCAATATCCTCGAGAGGCCGGCAGATATCAAGAATGAGATGGAGTTGCCATATGTTATGGCGGAGACTTGCAGAGATTGGTCCTCGTGGACTGGCCAGCATGGTAAGAATCACAGCTTCTCGGATTGTTTGAAGATTACTAACCTCTCTCGCAGTAGTGCCACAGATTGATTCTGGCTTGTAGGCCGCTGCTGCTACAACTTCATCTGGTCATATTCGGGAAAGATGAGAGAACGATTTGCGAAGATACAAGATCTGTAATTTATGGGAAATGTACAACTTTCTGCATTTTTTTATCATCACGCAAGGGTATCAATGTCCATCACGACAATTCTTCCGCCCATAGACGATCAGCCGTTACTTCTTCATCTGCCCGGCATTTTCAGCGCCTTTCCCAAGGCTGTTACCTCCGTCCTCAACGCCATCAGTCACACCCTTGATTCCGTTGCCGGCCTGTGTAGTCCCACTACATGAATGTCAGTCATGAATTAGAGTAGGACCATGTGGTTGGTTCCTCACGTGGTTGAGTTGATTGTGTCACCTAGACCACGACCTGCTGCGCCTACGACTCCCCCTGCAGTGCGAGTTACGCCGCCAGCAAGGTTACCAAGCTGTGTCCGAGTCAGCTATGGGCGCTTTAGATGGATTGCTACAGCATACGGTAGATGTAACGCCCTTCGCGGCTCCCTCAGCACCTGACTCCTGTTGTCCGATAGGCATGTTGATTCGATATCTGGATTATGTTGAGGATGGTTTGCAGAGGTGACTATTGTTATCTACTTCAACTGTCAACCATGTCTCGCAAAACCTCCCGAGCTCTTTATGCTCTACTGCCTATGGAGGACATGTACGTCGACGTCATGGGCGATCTACACGACTGACGTTGCCTACATCGTGGCGCAGCACATGAGCTCCGCGCGAATCCATACAATCGTGTCCTTCACCACGAGGTTGCATGGTAAACTTGATTCTGGGATCCTTGGGCAGCACAAGCTCGGAGTCTATCTCGATCGATCCGATCGCATTGACCTGTTTGGGAAGCTGCTTTTGCGAGTCAGGACGGTGCTTCGATTGCCGCGGACCCACTCCCGACTTCAGCTGCACACATACACACACATTCACTGTGAGGGAAACGCAACGTGGTTCGACTGTAACCCTAGAGCTGCTGAAGTTAGTAGATCTCAGTCAGGGCTAGAAGCTGCCATCCCATCATGGTCCATCCGCACACCTGAGCGAAGGTCAATCTGGCCATGCATTCGCTTCTCTTCGCTCAAGATGAACAGTCATTTCCTCACTTTAGACCTGGCATGGAATTACTTTGGGGTATCTTTGCTCGAACGCAATATCAGCCTTGCGTCATGGTTTTTCCACACTCGAAGATTACCCAAGAACGCCGATGATCAGTCAAAGCAGCCGAAATTTTGAGCACAAAGTAAGCACACGAAAGCTCGATCCCTTAGTAAATCTCCTTGGCTCGGTATGATGACCACGAGCATTGAACGAAGAATACCATAGTGCCTCGCATCCTGAGGGCTTGGATGGGCTTGTGCATCGTGACGGCTCGAAGGATATTGGCAGTTGCCGGTCGTCCCTGGGTATGGATACACTGATCTCTTCTCACGCAGACAGTACTGTCAAAAAGCCATTGTAGTCCTCCGCAAGCCCTGGACTCAATATTGGCGCCCTGGGATGTGTGAAGAAGGCTGTGAATGTCGCCTTGTTGCACGCAGACCCCCTCAAGCCCAAATCATGTTGGTCATGGTTTGGGAGGGAGGGCGGCTCATGGAGAGGTTATGTATAGTCCTGCATGATGCTGTGCTTCTATACTAGTAGCCAGTAAGTCGTTGCCTGTCTAGAGTAATCCATCACTTCTTAGCTAAGTATCAGATGCCGTTCCGCCACAATGTGCTACTGGGCCCGCCACTCCTCCAGCGTTACTTCACCCTCACCACACTCTCCATACTCTCCACACCACAGCTACTCCTCGGCAAAGCTCCGGCAGCTAATGAAAGGTATATGTCGAATCAATTGACTTTCTGCATACAATAATCAGCACTAGCCATGCCAAAAACACAGAGCCTATGGTCCAGTGGTAGGATTCCAGCCTCATTCTTCTTCCCATCGGGAGGCCTGAATCGCTGGCGACCGGAGTTCGACTCTCCGTAGGCTCCATCCCCTCTACAACGGAGGCTGGTAACCCATCGACCATCGACAGATATATCCAGGCTGGCGAAATTACAGTACACGGGCTCCTCCAGCACACCGAAAACGAATTGCACACGACTCAGAAACCAGCGAGAGCAAGCAAAAGCTCTTCCCCGACCGAGCAGCACACGACACAAGACGCCAAAAACCGAATTGCACACGACTCAGAAGCCAGCGAGATCAAGCAAAAGATCTTCCCCAACCGAGCATCAAGACACCAGGCTGGCGAGATTACAGTACACGGGTCTTCCCTCCAGCACGCCACACCACACCACACCACAACATCATCCGAAAAGAATCCAATTCACGTGGAAGTCGTGAGCCTACTGTAAACCGCCACAGAGACCGTCAAAGCCGGCAAGAAAGGAGAAGGAGAATTCCTCTTTTTGCCCCGTCCTTCTTTTTTGCCTTCGGAGCGTATATGCTGGTGTTGGTTCGAAGTCATGAAATCAGTGGATGGTGTTTGGCCACCGGCACAACAATCTATTCGCTCCAAGATCAAGAGCAGTGAGCTCCACGCTTTTGCTCTCGTGAGTAAAGGATCTCTACAAGCCATTGGATCACTCTCAGCACCATCAAAAGTTTTGCACCTTGTGAAAGCCTGACTTTCGATCCCTCCTGAACATTTCGTATGTCAGGGATTTCCGGAAGTCAGGGATTGGCAGTGCTAGGAAATGGGACATGGGATGGAACATGTTTACGACCATTTAACGTCGCTGCTACGGTTATACACACGCTCGTATGCTGTGCTATGTAATGTCACGCAATGCAACATAATGTAGACCCCATCATTACCACTCACGCGCAGCACCTTTATTCATTCAGCCGGAGGCGCGAGCTCAATCTTCCCAATCTCCCCCTTAGCCTTCTGCCACTCCTCCAGACTCCGCCTCGACCACTCAACATGGCATTTTGCGAAACTCAACTACGTCACACACAAAGTCAGCAATGGCAGCGCACACACACACACACACCACACCTTCTCCACTACCACACACACATAGCACATGAGCAAATGGTAAAGAAAAAGGATCAGACAACATACCATATACCCCCTCAAATCCCCCTCCTTCATCCCCTGAAACCGGCGCAAATCCTCCAACACCCCCCCACTAGCATCCCTTACATCCCGCCTCGCCACCTCAAGCGCCTGCTCCAACTGCCCCACACTCTCCTTAGTCTTCCCCATCGTATCGCGACGTGCACGCTCCGGATCCTGGTCCGCGACTCCCTGGATCGCGTGCGTGAGGCCGGAGATGCGACCGAAGAGTTTCGTGCCGATGCCTGAAGCACGTTTGCCGCCGTTGTTCGCGCCGGGAGGGGAGTTAGGCGGGGTGGTGTAGCCTGCGTAGTTGTCTTGTTGCTGGCCTCCTTGTTGCGCCGAGGGCACCTGATCATGCTGTATACCCGGCGGGAAGTCTGAGTCTACGGATGCGTTGTCCGCGCTCCCCTGCTGCTGCTGCTGCTGTTCTCGCGCGGTGTATTGTTGTTGTTGTTGTTGTCGCTGTGGCGGCCGCTCACGATTACTACCACTACTCGCGCTGCGTCGCGGTGGCGCGCCGGCAGAAGATTGCTGGTTATACATTCCCGACGAACTCATGTACTGCTCTATCCGCTTCGCCTCCACCTCGCTCCTCTCCAGCTGCTCCAAACTCGCGCGTTTCTTCTCCAGCTCATCGCGCGTCATTTCCTCCTGGACTCGTTTCAGGACTCTGTATCTCAAGACATCGCGGACTACACGGGCGAACTGCGCATTTTCCCGCATGGGTTCTGCAAAGCCGGAGCTGAGGCTTGAGCTGAGGTCGCGGGATTGGATATAGGTGAAGTCGCAGGCTTGGCCGGTCTTCTCGATGGCTTGCGCGACGGACTGCGATTGTTCGCTCAGGGAGAAGGCGTTGTAGCGGGCGCCAAGGTCCATGAGGTCGTCGCCGAGGCTGTACATGTGGCGGAGAAGTTTCTGGTTGACTTTCTCCATGCTGCCGTTTAGTAGGGTTTCGAGCTCTTTGCTGCTTTGTTCGAAGGAGGAGAAGTAAGGGTCGAGGTCGGCTTCGCTGAGATCTTGTGAGGTTGGAGGGAAACGAGCGTATTGGATTTGTGGTTGTGTGTGTGCGGCGGCAGATGGCAGGACGGATTGTGGTGGTGGCGAGGATGGTGTGCCGGAGGAAGAAGTGGATGACGATCGAAGCTTCGCATTCTGAGAAGGTATGGGTAGCCATTGGTGACCTGGTGTAGGGTTCGCAGGATCTAGTGGTGGTGCCTTGAGGTTGTTCTTGGGTACAGAGGCAGCAGGATGGGAATGCAGCACCTCATTCCAGCTCACATTCGGGTCTAGAAATCGCCACCATACTCCATCCTCTCTCACCGCCTTCATCCTCCTGCATCTGTTAAGGAAGGTCGCTAGCATTCGCTGACGAAGCTCGATAATGCCGAGATCCTCCTTTGCCTTTGTCGGCTTGGCAGCATAGTCGGCTATACTGTGCTTCTCGGGTATGGGCGGGATGATCAAAGTAGGATGCAAACTCAACAATGCCTGTCTTAATGAAGCAAACTCGCTGTACCGCCTCCTCACCTCCACCTCGCCAGTACGGATTGTGTAGGTGATGTAGCCGCCCCCACCTTCAGTGTTCTTACCTGCATATACGATGTGGATCTCCAGCGTCGGGTTCTCATATAAGATCTGCTCAATCTTGCTGTCGTAACCACCCTCCCTCGGCTGCACGATCGGTCCGCGCGGCTTGTCATGGTCAAAGTCCTCGTCACTGAGGTCGCCAGGGCGGGAGCTGAAGTTGGCTTGTTCGGGTGATGAGCGACCAGAGGGTGGTGTGTCGGGTCGATGCAAGTCTATCTCAGCTGTGTTAGTATTGGGGACTATCCATGCAGTATGAGATATAACAGCTTCACCTACCATCTGGCGGCTGAATGTCCGATGTCTCCGAATCGCGGCGGTGGAAGGAGCCGTAAGGGTTGTTGTCTTCGTCGTCCCACATCGTTGCGGCGATAAGGCCCGAGCAGTGGAGTGTGTGAGAGTATGCTCAATATGCCAGAGAGGATCCGTACTGTCAACCACGATGTAGCCTAGGATGATGGAGCTCGAACTTCACTGTAGCTCCAACCATCCACGCCCATGATCACACCAGAAGCGTGGCGGCTGCTCCCGCTGCGCAGTGACGGAAGCCGAGAACTCGAACGCTCTCCTCGCGTGATATATTCAAGGACATCTATACACATCGACGTCGGTTCAACCCCATGTGCATCGCAAGCATTACTTAAGGTAGTATACCAGAAGGCACTCGATAGACTTCGACTATACTACTGCCTCTGTTGCACTGAAAGCTGGTAGGTGAGCATGCTGTTCCAACAGTGAAAGTCGTTCAAGCCTTCCCGGCACATGCTCTTCCCTCCCAAACACGCCACCTTCCGCCATAGCCTTACATCGTCTTCCCGTATAACTCTGCTCTCCCACCTCACAGCATCGGGAGTGAGAAGACAACTGCATCGGGTCAACATGGCGGCCCAACCCCATCCCATCATCGCCTTCTATGACCCAGACATCCAGGCTCCCTATGATGGAGATGATCGCAACACAACTCTCGAGCACGTCCTCAAATACAGCGACACGAAACTCGAACGCAAACACGACTTCATCCAACACCTCTTCCCAACCCCAGAGCCCTCTGGTTTCAATTCTGCAGCGACTACTCTGACAAAACCAATCATGGATGCCTTCCGAGAACGCAAAGCCCTTCGCGACAATCTCCATCGTTCCTTCGTCCGTATCATGGATTTCTGGGGTTTCACAGTGACTACAGACAATAGTGATCACAACCACCTCGACATAATACCACAACGAGACTTCTTACAAAAGGCACGACAGACCTGGTTCTCCTCATACAACCACAATCAACTCCGCATCAACCGCATGATCCGGAGTCTTCGCATCCTCGGCCTGGAACACCAAGCTCGCTATGCCACGGCCATGTTCCTCGGAGCAGATCTTCACCACGGGAATCATGTCAATGACGCCTCGCTGCAGATCTGGCTCAATAGCGCGGTCAGGGGACTGCAGTATCCGCCTCCGCGACCGAAATATGGTGGCGAAATGGAGAATCAGGCTGTTTGCTCGTGGTTGGCTGACGCTGATTCGGTTTCTGAGGAGGGAGCGGATGGGGATGAGGTTCTGCTGTACCGGCATCCTGTCTTTGTGCGTGAAGGAGAAGCGGATGGTGGCGAGGTGAAGGCATCAAGTCATCATCTCGGACCGGACGGCGAAGTGCTCGTGCGTCTTCTGCCCAAAACGACAACTTATGGTCAGTTGTATGCGCAGATCTCCCAGCCGGCTGAGTGAAGAAGACTCTCACGGAGGCCGACAAAGGAGCGTGAGCTATCAAAGGCAGTCCTGGGAATAGATTGGGAGTTGACGCATACCTATGTAGTAGACTAGCGCACTACATAACTTCTATACTGCGCCCACATCACTATCTTCACCTTCATCATTTTAAGTTCTTCTAAAGCACTTAAAGCACTCAACTAATCCTATTTCATCCTCAACACCACCTCTGCCTACGCAGATCTCCGAGCCGGCTGAGTGAAGACACTATCATGGAGGAAGACAAGGGAGCGTAAGGTATGAGCCACGGTCCTGGGAACGAATATATTAGGAGTCGACGCACATCCAAGCAGTAGATTAGCGCAGTACATAACCCTACATCACACCAACTTGATCATCGTCATCATCATCACCGTCAAAGGACAAGGTCATTAAGCAGTCAACTGATCCCACTTCATCCCCAACACCACCTCCGCCTCCGCCTCCCCACTCCCCCTCTCCAACCTCCTCACCTTTCCCGTCTCAAATCCAGCGAATTCAAAGATATCACCAAGATCAGCGATTCTTTGCTTACTCTGCGCCAGCATCCTCTCCTTGAACTCCCCCGCCTCCGTCCGCTTCAACGCCACCACCACCGCGATCCCCTTGGGTTTGAGGGCGTATTTCGCCCACTTCATGATTTCCATCACCGTCTTGCCGTCCGCGAGACTCACGTCCGTGATGGCATGGGTAAAGTAGTCCATCTTTGGCATGAGAGAGTCCATAGCTTCGACAGTGATGTTCTGGCCTAGATCCTCGGTCTTGGTACCCTCACCTGCACCACCGGCGGCGCTGGCGACGGTGAAAGTCGGTCCATATGGTGTGGAGATATCCTTATGTTGTTCGGCCAGCTTTTGGGCGACGGTGGCGTCGGTGACCAGGATGCGTGAGGAGCCGTCGATGGCTATGCGGTCTTTGTATTCCGTCAGGATGTCCAGGAGGATGGTCAGGGCGGGGGATTGGGACATTTTTGCTTGGGTTTTCCTGATTGATGAGTCGTTGGGTTTAGTATTCTAGACTGAGATGTTGTTTTTTAAAGCTGACCCTGGAGTCGTAAGATGTTTGTCACGGCGTGGCAAGGTCGATGTAGGATGGCCTGAGGTCAGCTTTGGAGAGCACGCAGCTTGCTTCCGTTCTAGTAGTCCTACTGGTTATTGCCGGCGCGAGGGAGAGCTTCGGTCGATCGTCATCCGCTTGGCCGACCACGAGCTTTTGAACATCACCTCACCTCACCTCCAAAGCGGCCTTGATTGATTTCTCTCAGGTGACGGCGAAGCATGTACAGAGCCATCGTATCACCTGTTGACAGACAGAGTAGATGAAGACACAGAAAAAAGGGTCTATTGTATGCACTACAACACTAATTATAATAAAATTTATGCCAGCTAGGCCAGGCCAGGCCAGATCAGCCACCCCATCCCATGCCATCCACAACCCAGTGCCTACACCTACACCCGCCCCTCCACGAAAGGATCTCCCTACATAAGACACTCTTAGGCCTACACCATCCGTCCATCCATCCATCCATCTCTCCTCACTTCACCCTGTTGACACCTGTACCCGGGCCGACTCAAATACCATCCCTGATAATGCCAGTACATATTCCCTCCCTTCCTTCCCACCCCGCTAGTCCAAAAAGGCCAAACCGTGGTATCTTTCGAGCCTTTGCTCGCCTCCGAAAATTCCATGCTGGAGAGAGAGCGCGAGCCGCTTGAATCGCTGAAATTTGTGATCGCTGAACAAAGGAAAAGGTCAATAACAGATGAAAACAGTCCATGGCGCAAGTCTGTTGTGTGTTGCTGGAATGTATGCAGTAGGCCAACCATGCATGCATACTGACCCGCATGTGCTCGCTGGTGTGTAGTCGCTCGAACGCCTGCTAGTCGAAACAAGAAGAAAAGTGTTGGAGAGTGCGCGTTCGGTCATCGGACGCGGCTTCTGGAGGATTAATCGATGCTGGCTGGATAGCGACTACTCTGTACATGCCGGCCACCTTTGTCTCCGCTTGGTGGTCCTCCTCGCAAGCAGCCGACGCCAATATTTCATGCCTTGGGTAATACAATGCTTTACAGTCTAAACGTCGAGTGTTGCTTGCAGAAACGAAGTGGGTATCTCGGTAAAGTCGGCCGTCATCTCGCGTTTGTGAACCAGTCAGAGTATCTTCTGCACAGTGCCTTGCAGCCGGCGTTTGGTGGTGATACCTTCTGCCGAGTTGTCCTATAATGCGACATCCAGCACCAGGCTCACGTCTGTGACGTTCGAATGAGCCAGATCTCTGAGTACTGGTATCAGGTCCAGCAGCTCGTTGTCGTGCGCATCACTGAACCAGCTGCTGATCGGAACGGCATGCTGTGGGTGGAAGATGTAGCTGGTCGGCGAGTTGTCGATGATGATCGTCTCTCGAAGATCACGTCCCATCATGCTAAGGTCCTTGACGTAATTCCCTTGGTGATTGTAACAGCTCTCGCGGAATAGGCGATGATGAACGACATGGTGTATGTCGAGCTGGTCCAGTAATGGATCACCGTATTTTGAAACGGATGCTGTGAACACCACAACTTCGTACAGTTCGCCGACGCTCTTCAAGAATTGGTCCACGCCTGGTCGCTTGATGACGTAGACATTGTGGTATTGGCCTTCGATCTCGACGGGAATCGTGAAGTCGGCTTGGTGGAGGATCTGTCGTAATGTAAGCACCCTATCATGTGAACGTCCGAATGAAAACTCACCTTAAAGCTGCTGTGCACCAGCGTCTCATCCAAATCAAGCACCAAACACTTTCTGTCCTTCAATTCAGGCCGAAGAGGCGGTAGCAGCCACTTCCTGTTGTCTTCGGGCGCATTCGCATCTTGATGACTTTGCACTGCCCCATCGTAGTCCTTCTCCACTTGAGAGTTTGGCACATTGTTCTGTGGTGGCGGTCCAGTAGGGGGTGGGGGTAGCGTAGCCGGTATCTGCTCGTGCGCAGAGTCTTTGCCCTCGCTGTGGCGCCGTATCTCCTCGGCGGCCGCCACGCCTCCACCACCTACAACCATAGCTCCCGCGGCAATGCCCGCTGCCTCTTGTGGAGCGAGCGGCACATGCACTCCATCGTCTCGCATTTCAAGGTCCTCATCTCGTGCCCGCTGGATCGGAGTCTGATCAGATATGACGTTCTCCGCTTCTGATTGGGGTACCACAGGGGTTGGAGCCTGCACTTGAACTTGAGGAGTCGTCTCATTTCCTGCCGTCCTCACAGGATCCAGATGGTTTGGGCTGGTTATCGGTGCCGCCGCAATCACTGGCTGTTGTGTGTCTATGGAATTATGCATTGGTGGGGTAAAGGGAACAGCAGCTACGCCAGCAGTTGAACTGTGTGCCACTGGATTGCTGAACTCGTCATGTGCCGCTTGATTTTCTGGCTCGGCAGCAGCAGCTATGACCGGGTTTACTGCTGATTGCGAAGGTAGTCCGGCTTTCTCGTCTATGATCTCCTTCGACTCAGTCGCGCTCGTTCCAGGTGCGCTTACATTCGTTTGCTGGGCCGGCTGGGTGGAGGAGACTTTCGCAGGCTGCGTTCGTGCTACAGGTTTAGCGGCCTGGGCAGTTTCTTGCATCTCCGTGTCTTGATCATCTGAAGAACAGCATAGGAGCGCGAGAAAGCCTCTCTTCTTCTTCGCAGCTGGTGGCTGAGAGGGATTGGCTGCCGCTCGTCCTGCTGGCTGTGCAGGCAGTGCCTTCTCGTTGTTGACCGCCCCATCGCCTCGTCCTGATCGCTTACTGCCACTACTGGCGTCTCTCTTGCGCCCGCCGAAGCTCCGTTTTGATCCACGTCCAATGCTGTCAGCCCGGTTTGTCGAGTTGCTCATGTCAGTGTCCATGGCTTGCTGTGGGTTCGATTGGCCAGGCACACTCAGTGCTGCGCCTGCTGAATCCTGTCCTCTGCTAGACCCCCCTCGTTGTGCCATATTGCCGTCATTGCTCAGCGAAGGTTCTCGCGAGGACGTCCGGAGTGGGGGTGCTAAAGGCTGTATGGGAGGTAGACCTGTTGTTTGGTATGTCAGCACGTGTTTGCTATGAGAAGCAAACCACACCAATATTGCGCGGGTGACCCAAGCCCACTCCAAGATCGCTACTCCTGCCCTCATGACGTGTCACACGTACCTTGCTGTATTGAGGCAGCTGGCGCGCCGTCCGAGGTACTCATTGAAAGGGCTCAAGGCCCGAGGAGGCCGTGTAGGAGGTCCAGCCGCACAGTCCTCGGTGGTATGATTGCTGGCAAGCGAGCGTGTTTTCCGCGCAGTGTATGTGTATGCTGTATGCGCGAGTGAGGTGACGGTGCAGATTGTGCTATGCCGGTCGTCGGGGAGAGCTTCAATACGCGACGAGAGGAGGTCGAAAGAAGCTTCGCAGATGGATGGCAGGTGCGCGCTGTGTGTCGGTCGCGAGTCTGGTAGGCGCAGATTATACACAGCCTCAGCCTGGTCGGACAGGAAGGCGCACAGGAGGAAGGGAGCTCGAAGGGTAGTGCCGAGACGCGCGGGAGGAGGTGGTGAGGTGTGGTGGTAGACGGGCAGTCGAGGTGGTGGTGAGGACGGTCACAGTTCAGGTCACGGTCCTCGATGGGCCGCCCGGAGAAGTGTGGCTGATCCAATCTCGCGAGCACTCCACCAGCCAATGAGAGCCCACTCTGTACCTCACCCGCTTCGTCCGGTGGGTACTTTCCAGATTGTTGTATCGACTGCTCTGCGGAACACTAACACATCGCCGTGAGACCTACGGGCCCCGACTGTGATCTGAAGCTGCTCGCTCTTGCCTGTTCGCCACATAGCTTGCTTGCTTGCTCCTGCCAGCTTCTTCGCCACAGCAGGCACGCGCCCGAGGCTCCAAGCTCTCGCCCAAGCTTTCGGCGGCACCCACTTCGAGCATGGGTTCTTCGCGCTAGCCGCGGGCTAGGCCACAAGCGCGACCTACCTAATCCATTGGATCGTCTTCCATCACTTCTCTGGGCAACTATTGTATGCAGCAGTATATTACACATGCCGTCTGTCTGATAGGACGATAGGTTTCACCGCTCAGACGTGGTGCTGGAAAGCGCCTACCATAGTGTTGCTGTAGGCCAAGTAAGGATTGTGTTATGCTCACCCGCAGCAGTGGTTTGCAGGCGAACATAGCAAGCCTGGGAGCGGCCAAAACATACGTATTAACATGGACATCTCCCATCTTGAAGCGGGTTGTGTGTGATCTACAGCTTCTCCTTCCTTCGACTACATTCTGCCCTCTCCGCCGCCGCCTTACCAGCCCTCCGACCAAACACGCCTCCAGCTGTCAACCCACTCCCACCAGGATAATTGCTATAGAACAACCCGCCTACCATCTCACCCGCACAATGCAACCCTTCGATCTCCGAGCCATCTTCTCGCATGACAGCAGCATTCTCGGGGTTGATCTGTAGTCCACCGAAAGTGAAGGTGATCCCTGACGTGACCTTGACGGCTAAGAAAGGCGGCTGCACAATCGGCAGAGCCCAATTCGACTTGGCCAGCGTCAATTGCTTCTTCGACGATTGCGTCGACAGCCCATCTCTGACCGCTGGGTTGAGTTTGACATCAGGATGTTCTTCCCGATGTGCAGCGACTGCGTTATTGTACTCCTCGACCGTCTTCACGAATCCATCTGCATCCACCAGACCTTCTTCGCTGCACTTCCGTGCCAGCTCTCCGATACTGTCCGCACAGATTTTGTGGACAATCTCATCCCGATACTCCTCCTCCCTCAACCATTTTTGGCCATCTTTGTCCCATAGCTGAAAAGCAATACCCTGTGGCTGCTCCAAGATAGCTCTCCCGAACTTAGCATAAGTATAATTCCTGAGATCAATACCTTCGTCTACAAACCTCTTGCCCTCCGCATTCAGCATGAGTCCGAGAGGATATCCAGATTTCGTGAATTCGTTCGTCTTCTCTCGATCGCCACCGTCTTTGGGCGAGTAAGCGTCCCACGCCACACTATGGCATCCTCCTGAGCTGAAATCGCCCACCGTCTTAGCACCCAACGCGACAGCAGCTCCAAGCATATCACCAGTATTGTAAGGCGTTCCACGAGTATGCGCTTGCTCCCATCCAGGACCAAGATACTTCTTCCTCAATTCGGGATTCGCCTCAAAACCCCCAGCACACATAACAACACTCGTAGCTCGCACGTCAACCGTCTTCCCATCCCTCTCAATCTCCACACCACAAACCGCACCTTTCCCGTTCGTCAGTAGCCGCCTCGCAGCCGTATCATGCAGCACAGTACATCCTCGCGCCTCCACAGCATCCGATAAATTCTTAATCAACCCCTTCCCACCATCCTTAACCGTCAGATGCAACCCTCCCCAGAACACCCACCGCCCATCAACCTGATAAGCCTGCCGTCGAAAGCTCAACCACCAGTCCACGCCATGACCTTTCAACCATTTCACCAGATCCAGCGACTCTCTAACCAAATACTCACCGAGCACTTCATCACTCCTCCCGCCCGTGACACGCTGGAGATCATGTTGGAAGTCCTCGGCTCTATACGGAGGCAGATCGATCTTGTCTTTGATCTCGTCGCTTACGTTTGAGACTATAGGTAAGATGTCCTTGAGGCCATTGTGCCGGGTTCGGTAGGCGCCCGCGGTGAAGTAGCCGTTGCCGCCTGCCCAGTCGAGGGGAGCTTTGTCTATGAGTAGGATGCTTGGAGGTGGGCTCGTCGATTCGACTGCGGAGAGAGCAGACGAGAGGGCTGCGGCTCCTGTGCCTATGATGAGGATATCCCAGTGCTGGGTCAAGATTTGGTCGGCGTTCATGGTTGAGTATTTCTTTTTAGTGCAGGCTTTTACTTGTTACTGATGAGATCACGTCGACCTGATAATGCTAAATTTCCCTCACGTACATCGTCAAGTTAAATTACGTTGACCATGTTGGAATAACTCTTGCCGACATCCGTATAAACGAGGTCTCGACTTCCGATCTCGCAGATCATCAATCGTCCTCCCGACACAAGTGGCGTGGGGATCTGTACACATGCAGGCTGCACATCTTGCAGAGTGCAGATGAGACACTGCAAGGAGCACGTGGTAGGGCAGAAACGGCTGCAGGCATGACGGACTGACAAGAAACACGTTAGGCGGGCCATGTGGAGTTGCACAACATCTTCATGGTATAGCTATGGCTTATGGCACAATGCCTTGGTGTACCGAACCAAACCACTGACCCATGACCCATAACACTTCCTGGACCCTGTCGTGTTCCTAGGCCTGTACTGTCTACCTTCCCATCGTATGCACAGAATCCATCCACAAACCGAGTAGCGGCGGCCAACAAAGCTCAAACCCGCTCGTAGTCGAGCTGAGAGGCCACCTTCCCAAATAAAACAAGAATACAAACAATAAGAGCCGAGCCAACTTTTGTACTTCAGGAACAGAGCTCAGAAGACACGCGCGCCAGAAGCTGATTTATTCTTTCCCAGGGTCGAATAACACGATCTATACCATCCCGCCGGAACGCCATGCTAGTGAAGCATCGAAAGAGCAGAGTCGCTAAAAGTGCAGTAAAAACAGGCAAGTACTTCCAAGCCTTCCGACCAGGATGCTTCCGTCATAGTGATACTGATGGTGGGTATCATCATGAGTTTTAGCGTAGTGGTCGCCGGTGCTTGTAAGACTTGCATAAATGGCTAAGTGCCATCGTATATCGTGATGCCGTAATCGTGACAGAACGTCGCTGCATGCTTCGTGTTACTTTCGAAATCAAACAAGAGGTCGAGAGGATGTCGAGGGAGGCAGGTTGTCGAGACACGATCACATCATAGGCTGCAGAGTCAGCCTTGGATCGCGGTAAGGGTGCGAGAGTCGGAGAGGTAGCCGTCGCGGGTGTTGCTGAGGTAAGGATAGCCAAAGCTCATGGGAGAGGCAGCTCGGTTGCCAAGAACATGTCCAGTGATTGGTGTCGGCGAGGCTGAGCGAGATGCAAACGCGCTCAGAGTCGCCGAGATCTGATCGGTGCTACCATCGAGCTGATGTGATGGTGTGCTACTGCCAGAAGATCGCGATGAGGTAGGAAGTGAAGTGGTCTCGGTCACGCTATCATTGCGTGCTGCAACCGCAGTACTCGGATTCGGAGGTGAGCCTGCTGGCTTGCCAGCGCCAGGAGTGAACTGAGAGGTCAGTCAGCTCTTGGTCCAGCCGACTAGACCTTTGCGAAGGTAGGGGTCTTGGTGCCTGAACCTACGTAGCAGAACTTTTGAACCAGATCCCTGTATTGATCTGAGCCCATGGCAGGCCTGTCAGTGCTGAGAGAGTCTGGTCGTTGATCGACTTTATGCGGCACCTCTGTTCGCTCGAGTGGTGCGAAGTAACTACCTCCAGCATCAGACGGCTTGGCGGTGTTCATAAGGCCGCTTTGTCGTCCGAGCTTGTCTTGTGCAGTGCTCAATGCGGCTGACAATGATGCGCCGAAGTCGTAACGTCCACCAAGTCCGTTCGTCTGCGTGGTTGGGAACAGACTGCCACGCTTCGTTCGTGGCTTGAGCTTGATGGAACCCTGACCCTCGCCGAGGAGACTCTCAGTATTACCGAAGTGATAGGCAGAGTTCGAGTCAAGGCGGGACACGAAGTCATCGTCGACAGACTCTTGCCGACCACGAGGTGAGTTTGGTCCGGAGTGACGACTGCGTGGAATAGCACTGCGAGGCCGAGCACCAAGCGTGCTCACCGTCATGTTCGGCTTGGTTGGCATCTTCAATAACTTCGTAAAGTCCACCTGGTAGTTCGCTCCGTTATTGCTGTCCCAGTAGTCCTGGCCGTTCACCGTATATCGTACGCACAAAAACAATGTCTTGGTATCAATATTGGCAGAGTCAGACAGCTTGATGTGGAAGTTGAAGCGATCACAAGCATCCGTCGGCGGACTACGCGGATCGTTGTTGAACTCGGCGACAATCTCCGATGTCGTCGTCCAGTGATCCAGAGTGAATCGTGCAACGACGAGCTTGTGGAAGGATATGTTCTGCACAGCGATAGAACCTATGAGTGTCTTCTTGTCTTGCGACAAGAAGATGCGCTCCACTCGTACCGGCTGTGCCTTGCGCTCGAAAGTGTCCGCGGGAAAGTTTGCGAGCTTGATGTCCAGTTCCGGCTTGCTATCGCCCTCGAATGGAAATTCCGATTCGCTCTCGTATGATTCAACAGGAGAAGACCCTGCGCTAACCGCCATTGGCTTGTCCACTTTGAGGAAGTGACGGGTTTGGTTGTCAGCCTCGTTGAAGTGCACGGACTTATGGTAGGTTGGCGTGCCAGGCATGCTCGAATAACGCCGCCTGGACGACGGCCTCAGAGCTGGCTTGACCAGTTCTCCAGACTTCTTCCGTACGAGGGATGGCTTCGACAACGGACCTTGATCGTCGTCACTATCGTCTGATGTGGTCGCCGGTGATTCGAAGCTAGTGACCTTGGGTATCACTATAGCAGTCTCGGTAGAAGATCGCGAATGTGATATCTTTCGCGCCTCTCGCGATAGTGCCGAGGGTGAGATGCTCTGGGAATGTGGCTCGCTCTTGGTCTCCTGGGCTATTACCACAGTCCTATCCGGCGAGCCTTCTCGTCTTTGATTGATCGTGCGGACCGCCTCCCTAAGTTGGTCCCATCTCTGATCCTCTCGACCTCGTTCTTCAGTCGCGGCCTCATCGCCATCGGAATTCTCGGGAGACTCGGGCGGCGACAACACCATGCCAGTCGGTATCCGCAGATTGTTAATCGGCGGTGGTGACTGCCGAACGCTACTATTCCGCGCAAAGTCTACTGCCTCGATCTTGGCACTCGAGACCTCGGTGGGTGTCGGCGGAGCAGCAACTTCCGACACCGATAAGGATGGTGATCGTCTGTGTTTGTGCAGATATGATGCCGAGTTCGATCGAGGTGGCTGAGGCCTACTCGTCACCGGTGATCGAGGGACATCTTCACTATATGAAGCTGACCGGCTGACCGCGGGTGTGCTGGATTTGGAGGATGCCGGTGACTGCTGTGTGGGTGGTGTGTAAGGCATGTCTCCACTGGGCGGGTGGGAGTGTAGGTGGGTGGAGGGCTGCTTATGGCCGAAGCAGCATTAATAAGTTGGTAGTATCAGCAACGCTAGATTCGTGGATACCGCGTCAGCTTTGTTCTTGCAACCCGGAGCACCCGCTTTTGTCCAATTGTTCTGCTTCGACTCACAAATAGATACGACAAGCATGAAGCGGCAATCCCAGTGATGTGAAAGGTCCAATGGTGATCTGTAGGTTCGAGGACCGACAGGTGGGTGAGCGCAGCTATTGAAAGCCGGCAAGCCAAATCGCAGGTGCAAGGTGCTGAGAGGTCGTCGAACTTCTCGCACACTTGGATGATGTAGTAGTGAAGGAAGGTGAGACACACACTCTTGTCTCAAACCGACCGTTCCTGCTGCTACTTGCTCGTCTGCACCCCAGTCAAGGCAGGTGAGAGTGGCTGCGGAGGATGAGGATGTAGCGTGGGGTGGTGTGAGATGTTGCTGAGAAACCCGGATCCGGACAAAGCCCCAAACACAACACGATTCTGCCAATGAATGCCCAAAGTCTCACATGAACAAGTCGAGGGATCCGATCGGTCGTGATATCATAGGGAGGACAGGCTGGCAAAGGCCTAGAGGTTTGAGGTGGAGGGGGATTCAACCCAAAGGTTGAGATGAGTAGAAGGTTGAACGCTACCAAAGATACTTGGTGGGTAACCAACCCATGCAATAACGCGCGACCCAAGCGGGTACACGCTGCACCAGGCTGACAAGCGAGACGCTCTGTGCGTTGGGGGAGCTGCATCGACCGGCGCTCGCCAAGAAGGTCAAGGGCAGACCGTAGCGGCGAACCATAAACCGAGCGGCGGACCAGACTGTACTTACGAGCTACATCTCCTGCGCGATAGCCTCAGCCACACAACCCGCCAGATTTTCAGTGTATCTCGATTGCCGTCGCCCCCGAGTTCGGCGCGTGATTACAATACAGTATGAGTGCACGACGACCATAGTGTTCTTCAGCACACACTTCGCGATCTACACGACTCGGGCGATGCTGCTCTGTGTTTGTGGAAAATTCTGCTTGTTATCGTCGATGATGTCCTTTATGCTTGCGCTTGTCTCAGGTCGGACAAGTTCACCATGCGCCACACCATCCGCGAATCAAGCTTTCAATAACGAACCTGGACGTGAGTACGGCATGCCGAAAGGATGAAAAGGCGAGTCGAACGTGAAACCACTCGCTTGCGCCGCGACACTCTCGATATGCTCTGCTGTGGTCTCAAGGAGTCGAACTAGAAGAGGCCTTCGTCCCCGCATGTGCAAGCACTCAACAATCATGGATGTGAGTCGTCCTGGTTGCAGTGGGCCGGGAACATTAATCAGGAACGGTAGCGCCTCTGACTGTGAATATACACGCCAACGACGCCACGATTGGCCAGCCATCGTAGCTCGCCGACGAAAATCTCTGCAACGTGCATTGCATAATTAACATTCTCCATACCGCGCTTTTCCACACACTTTCACTGCAGATCTTCTCCATACGCCAAAAGACGGATGGAGTTGACATTTTGGGCTGGAATTAATTATGGGTTTCGCGGAGGCGTTCCACATCGAGTTCGGGTGCGGAATATCAAAATGTCTTGCTGCTACCGACGAAGGAAATTCTCCGTCGATATCCGTGGCTATCGAATCCGTCACAGCGACCAACTCTTCACCCATCTTGACACTATAGTCTTCGGACCTGTGAGTAATGCTTCACTTTTCTCATGCTCCGCCAGAAACCTCGTCACTTCATGATGACGCAGTCGACGAGCTTCGCTTGGGTCTACCTTTGGTTTGTGGAAGCCTCGTGACCATATACCATTCTCAAGTCCATCATCTCCACACGTACGAGTCTGCTTGACTTATCCGACCAAGCCATTCGGGGACATCGTCTTCAAATCCTAGTCTGCGGGCGGGTTGATGTGCCGCTGAAGCCTGGTTTGGTAAGTTGCCGCAAGCCGAGACCAAATAATCGTGGGGTCAGATGAACCTTGGAATTACTATCCTTCAGGTCTGGTATAACGCCAACGCGATCAGAAATACATTCATGAACATAGTGGACGTAAATGAACGTGCGAGTATATCTCCAATACACCCAGCATCGCCACTCACGTATCGCTGCTTGTAATCGAGGCAATACTAATCCTTGGCACACTACCAAGTTGATCGAGACTTCTTTTGGACGTCGCCACAAAACGTGGCCAGGCACAAGGAACAGGAACACCAAGCCAAGCTGACACCTGAGTCGCTCCCAATCCTGCGTCGACATCTCACGCTGCGGAGACTTGTGCTCAGAAACCAATCAAAGAGGCCCGCCAGCAGCACAAGCAAGGATATGCGCGTTGTGCCTGTGATTGACCGCTATGATGTACCTACGTACTTCACTTCTACCCCGCGCTCACGAATATCACGACATGGACTGGCTAAGCAAGTCGAGATACACAAGCTGACAAGGTGTCCAGAGATAGCAATACCCTTGAAACGATTTGGGCGCGCGACAGAGGCTCTGACATGCTGTCCTGCTCAACATTCGCTCAATTTGCAAGCCTGATATAGACTCGTTCTAGGGTAGTCAACAGCGCTATACAACTCCATCCGGGCGATGCGGAGTGAGAGAGTGCTGACTACTATACAACAAGCCCACTTTCCTGCCTTCATGGTCGACAGTGGTATGTCCTTACTTCGAAGTAAGACGACGGCCTCCGATGGCAGAATCTGTCTGCTTGGTTCCGACCATGTCTCGGCACTTTGAAGTCGTGCTCAGATGTCATAATTCACAAGCACAGCCACACGACAAACGCGTCTCGGAAGCCGCAAGGGGTACTTCTTATCAGGTACCTCTTCCAAGTCTCCAAGAAGTACTCACCCGCGCCGAGTATACTTCCGTCCTCGCGCCCAGGCCAAATTGATGGAGTGCCTCAAACACTTTAGGTCCACTTATTTGCATAGGCTCACCTGAATCGACGACCACTACATAGACGGTGTGTTCGGTCTCCACCTTTTCTCCAACGACTCCAACACTGGTTTCCACAATTGCCCAACCATTCCAGCACGATCAGTGGATCCGGGGCTCCAGATGGCAGACTCTTGAATGCGACATCAGTCATGGTTTCACGGCTTGATACATAGCAAGGTCGCAATCAAATCGACGTCGCCAGTCTGCTGTCACACCATAGATCTGCCCTATGCTCTTCAGTAACACAACAGCTTGCGCATGGATTGGAACGCAGGGTACCTTAACGTGGCCCAGTGCGTGGGCGTGGTTACTGGACCGTTCGAGCTGTCGAGCAACGCTCGTGCTTTGTCTGACGGCGAGTGCTGGGGGCCGCCACGACTTGCTACGTTACCTAAGAGCTCGTTAAGCGCTGTTGTGATATTCCGATCGACGATGCTCACGCTTTCGTCGCTATTCAGGTCTGGGATGTAGGCTTACAGCGCGTGGCGGACCGAATGCATGCTCGGCACGGTGGCCGTTGAATACCATGTTGCGCAATCGCCCGATGCGAGACCCTGGGAAGCCAAGCACTGATCCTTCTCTTTGCGATATACGGAGTACGTACTGTACGGTATACAGCTGACGAATCTCACATGTGAAGGAGTAAATACACCATGCTTATTGGAGGTGTATGGTGACGACGCACTCCATATCAATTGACTCGCATATGTACCCCAGAATCTCGCGCTGGGATGGTGGGACATCGCGTGCGTTCACGCAAATTATGTATTGGTTGGGAATACGACATAGATGAACATTGAGGTATGGCGTGAGACACTTCCAACGTCTGTAGAGGTTCTGCTGCTGGGCTGCTCTGTGGTCTGGGGGGGACCAGCGTGCTGTTCAAGTGTAACATGGCCCACAATTGTCCACCTCAACAAACTGCTCTCACATCTCTAGTCTGTGGAGTGCGTGCAGGTATAGAGAGGGGAGACTGTGCGCTGGTCCAGCCAAGAATACTTCACTTCAAGGGTACAAACCTCGACACTAGTCTCGAGTCAGAACTCCGCTGTGGCTCTCACTGTTGATCGTGAACATGGTCCAGCACGAGCCTGTGGGTCATAATACCCAGTCTGGTGTACATCTGTAATTTCTGCGAAGCAAGAACAGTGAGCAGCGACGGCGAAAATTACGGCGCACTACCACTCTCTCACCTGCTGTAAGCGGTTGGTATTGCTACAAGCGTGCAGGAGTCGGGGTTTGTGATATGCAGGGTGAAGTACCTCTGTACCGCGCGAGCATGTGAAATTCCCCAGATCGTGATGAGAATCTAAGATGAAGTATTACTTCCAGACTCGAGAGCCTGTCCCTACAGTTTTCGCGGACGGTGATCAGGGTTGTTAGCAGGGCATTCCCGATGCAGGGTGCCGCGATGGACGGCAAGCTTCGAAGATCGAGATTCGAGAGCCTTTGACTTTGACATGAGAATGGTACTCGCACTGTGGACTTTCTGGTAGCTTGTGTGGTCGACGTGTTCGTCCCTGGGGAGTGCGGTTGGGGTACGGCATGGCAGACGATAAGCCATGGGGTGACGTGGTGGGACGGAGATACAGCATACCATACGACAGGATCAGCCTGTCGTCTTACGATAAGCACGGCGATTCTTTGATTGAGTCTTGGTCTGGTATGTCACTTCCGGAGTCCGTAGCTTGCCGGTAGTGAAATTGTGTTGTGGGTTCTTGAAAGGGGCCATTTCTTTGTCCACATGCCGGTGCGGTCTTGACTCTTGCGGCTCTGCGGCTCTCGGTGGCTGCCACTAAAAGTCGCTGACGCACGAGCATCATGAATGGCTGCGTATCACCTTAGACATCCATCATGTTATACTCACCCTTGCGGATCGCTGCACCAAGGCAAGCAGTCTTGATCACGAGATGTCTCTTTCGCCGGCAGATAGCACAACCAGTGCAGGCCGCGGGCATTCGTCGATGGTATGCCACGGAGCCGGCGTCGACTGTAGAGGCACCAGACTACCTTGATGAGAGCGAGCGCAAGATCTTCCAGACGCTCAAGACGGAGTTGCAGCCGACGAGATTAGAGGTAGAGATGATGGTGATTGCTCCTTTGGACGTATATTGATCTTCGCTGTAGGTGCAGGATATCTCCGGCGGCTGCGGCTCCATGTACGCCCTTGATATCGTCTCGGAGCAATTCACAGGCTTGCCGGTCATCAAACAACATCGATTGGTCAACAAAGTGCTGGGAGATGAAATCAAGAAATGGCATGGTGTCCAGCTCAAGACGAAAGCGCCATAATTAACGTGGACTGGAAGGACAAGAAAGACATACGCGGAGGACAGATCATCCATATGGGCATGCCTACGTTTGCGCTATTGCTCGCCTTCTACGCTGCATTTGGATACTGCGATCATTCACACTTGAGGTCAAATGAGCCAAACTAGAAATGGAAATGCTTACAGCATCTCTGGTGATGGCGCTGTTACAGGCTTGATCGCGCGTCTATTATTCGATGTACAGATACGTCCGCCACTAAGCAGGAACTGGGAGTTGGCACGCAATGCGCCTGATGGGCAGCAGCGGTGAGCGAGCAGATACGGATGTAAGAATACCAGAACGAACTAGTCAGGATGAATAATTTATGATCATGGGTATCTTGAGCTATGCAATAGTACACTTTCAGTCGACAAGCCGCTCATTATGTTGGGGACACCAAACACCCTAGCGCCGGCCGCCACGCATCAATCCTTTCACATGCACTGCCCGCCATTTATGGTCGCCAAGTCTCCAAGTCAAGCCCACACACCTCCATTCGTCTCTGCGCAAACTGTCCATACAGCTTGGTCCACGTCCAGTCGGCGTCCTTGTTATGCGGTCTCGCTACGACCTTCTGGCTCCAGGGTACATCATACTCCGGTCCGGGTAGCTTAGGATCTGAGAAGCGTATGTATGAGACATCCGACAAGTATGCTGTACCATTAAATGCCGGCGTGGCCGGTGAAAGCACGTCATGTAGGATGCCAATCGAGCGGATGAGCGACTGGTCGTCTGTCGTCGAGGCCAGTAGTAATGGCTCTTTGAACAAGAGTGGTAATAGTGTGTCGTTAAAAGTGCTCGCTTCTGCTGTGATCTGCTCCACAAGATCCGTATGCACTTCAATTGAAGGCTGTATGAGTAGTAAATCTGCCGAGTGCACGCCATCGCCTTGCGCGCTGTCCTGCAGCATTGCGAATGGTGTCGGTTCGGTGAAAGCCAGCACTGCATCCAGTGGTAGTGCATCCTGTAGTAGCCCCGGCGTCTCTATACTGAGCACACGGTCGAAGTCTAATAGCTCATACGCGCTCGCCAAAGAGTAGACAGATGTGCTACCTTCCTCCTCGCCCAAGATGACTGGCTGAATCGGCCGTAACTCAACTCCATACCGTCTTGCAGCCATCCGTAATAGTCTTCGACTGCTTCCAAGGAACGGATCACTGAAGTCGCCCCTTTTGCCTTCCTCTAACGCCCACTCGCGCGGAAAGAGCAATAGTCTTCGAGCAGGACTTTTCAGTTTGTGCAGATCTGCCAGGACCATGATCGCGTTACACACATCGTGGTGGTTCCGGGCAAGTTGTATATGAGCCAGGCGATTCCAATTCACGCTTGCGCTCGCCTTCTGTACAGCCTCGAGGTCGGTGTACGCTATTCGACCATTGCCGTGGAAGAAGCGACTGCTCGCTGATAGCTCCGCTCGATCATCATCCGGATCCTGAATTGTCAGAGACGGTGGCGGCTTCGGTATTCGTGGTTTTATCGCCGCTTGTAAATCCGTGATGGTGCGTTGTTGTATCACGTAGCCCGACAGGAATAGCAAGAATGTGAAGACCAGGACGACTCCAGAAGAGACCACGACCGAGACCTGGCTTTGCGATAGTAATATTCGGCCCATTTCGAGTACCTTATGCTTTTCGATATCGGAACAAGAGAAGTATGGTTCCGGCGAAGTGGTACAGTGAATTGTGGCTTGCATGTGACGTTTGCTTACCTTGACTCGGCAATCATCTCGTCGCCATAGCAACGAGGATCAGAATCTGCACGAGTCAGGTCTTCGATGTCTGACCTTTTGATCCAGAAGGGCGTACCAACCACTTTCCTTTGAGATCAGTCTGCTGGCCATGGCTCATCATGCCGATGCGAAGAGGGCGCTCGATGAGCGAGGCTATAAAGGCCAACTCGTCCGCGGCGACAACCCTCTCAAGCTCTTTGAGAAGCCAGTCCGCGACCGGATCGTGGACAGCTACTACTGGAAGGAACAGTGCTTTGGTCTTAATGCTGCGACACTACTCGACCGCGCAACGGAACTTAGCTTTGTTGGTGGCACATATGGTGTAGCACAGCGACCGACACCGTTTCTATGCTTGGCGTTTAAACTCCTGCAGATCGTGCCAGACAAGGAGATCATTTTGTTCTATCTTGAGCAGGAGGAGTACAAGTACTTGCGCGTGCTGGCTGCTTTCTACATCAGATTGGCGTGGGAGAAGGACGAGGAGGTGTATGCGACGCTGGAGCCATACTTGACAGACTCGAGGAAGCTGAAAAGGAGGACGAGGGAAGGGTGGGCGTTAACCTATGTGGACGACTTCATTGATGATCTGCTATTGAAGAGTAGAGTTTGCGCCACGACGTTGCCGAAGATCAACCCGAGGTTGTTCTTGGAGGACGAGGATCGGTTGGAGCCAAGAATTAGTGCGCTTGGTGGAGAGTTGGAGGAGCTGGACGGAGAGGACGAAGAGGAGGATGAGAGCAACGGTGAAGTGGAAGAGGTGAATGGACCTGTGAATGGAAGGGAGCATGAAGCTGATGGAAGCGACGAGGAGATGGTCGGAGGTTGAGAAAGGCTCTTCAAGAGTTTGCCTACCTTGAAAGAAATGGTCACCACGACGCATGTCTGATGCGAGCAGTGGAACTGATACTCTTGCAGCCGTGAGAAGGCGCGGTTCAACTCCGGCCAGCCTGCAAGCACAGCTCGCCTGATTGGCTTACTCAATCGAGTTGACCATGGCGCGGCAGTCTTTACAGCCAAATCGCTTTCGCCCGGTCGCCACACTTGAGACTGGGCAACGTCGGCTATAGCTTCAGCAGCAAGTAACTCATGCCTTGTTTGGTTGGATCTTCTCGTAAGCAGTGCGGCATGACTAAGCGACCTAGCTCGAAATGGAAGTTGACCATCCTGCTCTCAGCTTCAGCCTCAAATCATCATGAAAATGACTCGAGCCGCAAGACGACATGGCGGAACGTGTCCCTGGGGCTGAGACTCTGCAAACCAATCTCGTCGAGCTCAAAACAGTAGAATGGTCAAGAAACGAATCCCGACATTACCACAAAGCATAATATGGACAACTTAGTATTCATTACTTCTGACAACGCCACAACTCCGAATGGCCGTAACGCCCGCAGACATGCCCGTGCTGAACGAAATCGACGAGTCAACCCCGCGAAGCCACAGACTGGTAGCTTCAGCACATTTCAATCAGATCCAACGGTGGGGCAGCATCCAAGACCCGGCACACTCGGACGAAGAGGACACACAAAATCCGTCAGGAAGCCTGTGAAGGCCGACCCACTTGCGGACTCGGCTTTATACCATGCCTCACGAATCACAGTTCTGAGCTGCAGGTTTGAGGACGTCTTGGCGATCACTGGTTACCACGTGCGTCGCGCCACTTCTCAGATCCTGGCGACCCAACCTTGGTGCTTGATCGAGGTTCTTCGCTGTCGGCAGTGGGCCAGTACACCGTTTACCCTGCAAAGATTGAATCCTAGCGAGGCCGTTGTGAGCGCATACGCTTTTCTTGTTGCAAGGCTGCAGCATACAGTCTTTCACCACAACACCGGCGATCTTGCACTAACGGACTGCACCCGCGCGCTTCAGAGCCTGCAAAGCGCATTGTCGCATTCTCGATCTCGGCAGCAAGTCGATCTGATCCCAGCCGCATGGCTACTAACCCTTAGTGAGATGCTGGACTTTCCCAGCTCAAAAGTCTGGCATACGCACGCTGCTGGAACTATGGCCTTGATCAAAACGGAGCTGTGTAGTCACGAGAAGGTAGACAAAGGCAGCCTATCGCGCATGATGCCGTCTCTGCTAGAGGCTTTCCTCACCTCCGAAGCGGTTCTCACATCGAACGAGCCCTGGCAGGCTATCGTGCAGCCCGTCGTTGCAGGCTCCCTTGACGATGATGCTGAGTTCGTGGAATACATTGCATCATCGCTCGTAACCGTGTTGGCGCTCATCGCGGAGAGCGGTGCAAGGATGACCCACAACTTTACCAATCTCTTGGACATGATGGATCGTGCGAACAAAGCACGCTACAGCCTCAAGAACATTGTCATTGAACTAGTGGATCTTGGTCTAGGCGACAGTGATGTTCTAGGCCTTTGCCTGGCAGCACTACTGGGGCTCGACCGGCTGATCTCAAGATTGCGCCACGAGGCATTTGCGCACGATCTGGACTCGAGCTATGAAGAAGACGATACCCGACTATGTGTGCAAATATTGCAAGAAGAGTTCAAAAGGAGTGAAGCTACCCCAGCTACAGACATCCAACTTGCTTTCAAGCGGCACGCACCCATGCTTGCGCCTCGATCGTAAGGCTCACTCGACGAGAGCCATGATCATATCCATAGAACGATGACCTTTCCTCGAATAACCTTCAACCAGCTCATTACCAAAGTCGCCGACAAAGTTGTCATAAGTCGTCTCGGGTTTCGTGCGGCAAAGACCGCACATTATCCCCACGACGCCATCCCTGAAGCCTTGTCTTGGGAACTCTGCGACGACAGCTGCCCACTCGTTCTTGGTGATAGTGCCTGGCACAGCATCTGGCCCGCAGAAGTCCACGAAAATACCAAGTCCAGTAGCCTGCACTTCCGGCTCCTTGTGCTGGCCGATAGAAGGGGTGGTGTGCAGCGCGATGGCGTCCCATAGCAACTGCAGCCTGTGCTTATCCCAGGTCTGGAAGTCGAGATGAGCGGTCTGTTGCACGACGAAGTCTCGTGCTGCATTGGCTCCATCGACCTCGAAGCGCTTATCCGGGCTGATGAAGGTGTTGGTCGTGTCCCAGGCCATATCGTGAAGAATTGCTCCGAGAGCGTGAAGCTCCTTGTCACGGGTCTGAAGTGGTGGGATCTTATCTGCGATGGCAAAGCCGAAGAGGAAGCTGCGCATGATGTGTTGATAAGAGACGTCGGTCAAATGTTTGCGAGCTAGTGCGATGGCTGCAGTGATCAGAGGTGTGTCTGGTACCGTTATGCTGGCCAGCGTACGAGTGGGAAGCGTGGTGTCAGCCATCTTGTAAACGATGGTTGAAATATTTCACGATTTTTGGAGTGATATGATTTACGAACTTACAGCGTGACATGCGATGTGCTTTTGTACCCATTGAAAAGGAGATCTCTGTGCACTGTGAGTTCCAGCTCTTCCAGATTGAGAACTAGACTATACCATTTTGGCCAGGTACTTAGCTTCTGATCACTCAACCCTCTATCTCTACCCATCGCGCAACGTACAGAGAGGGCAAGCGAAATGTCGACGCCACTGTAGTAATCGCACATTCTCATGCCGACATCCCGCCTGCTGTGACTTGAGCCTGAAGCGTGGTCCGAGCTATGAGAGCATGTACAGCGCTCAACTTACTCGAAGCTGCATGCGCCAGAACGCGATCAATCTCTTTCCGCCACAAGCAGTGACATCCGTCATGAGTCGATGTCGCAAGCAATTGTCGGTGTAAATCTGAAGGTCGGACTGATATCCTCGTTCCTTTGTCTGAAAGCCGCATGAGGACCTCCGCTCCATATACGACCTGTAAGATAAGAGCAAAGATCTCGGGTTTTGATGTCCAGCTCAGTGGTCCTCCGCCGGCTTTATTGAGCTGCGTCGCAATGGCGGCAAGGCCCTCTTGTGTATGTTCAGCAAGTCGTGTAAGTAGCTCGCCGGGAATTGCCAATGGTGAAAGTGCTATTGCGGCTCGTGACCACAACTTCGCTTCGCGCGTCTCATCGATGTACAGATTCTGCTTCTCTCTCATGAACAATGCTGTGTCTGCCTTCGTATACGCTCGCAAGCGTTCGTGTACACTCGCCTGCCCGCCGAATCCGACACCGAAAGCTCGGCGAAACACGTCTTGCACGAAAGAAAGCGATCCGCCACATCTATCGCTCATGAAAGCGAGCAGCTTCTGCGATGCAAGAGCGGGCAGGAGATCCGGCAAAAGTGGACTCGGTGTAATCTGCAGAAGCCTGGTAGCAGTCGTGGAAGCTAGGTTGCGAAGATCTTCGTCGTCGTCGTTGAGGAGATCATACGTGGCGATGCAGAGAACGGGCAGGGAATGATGTGGCTGCTTCAAGTACGATTGATTTAGTGGCATGTGCCAAACGTTATCGAACCGTGCGATAGTCATAGCACCCGCTGTAGAGGTAAAGAATCCATGGCCTTCGACCGCAGACTTGCATGATATGGCTAGCTCGTCTACCGCGTTAATGAGACTTGCATCGTCACGGTTGCTCTCCGAGCCGAAGGCATCTTCAAGCAGCACGGCTTGTGTCTCTAGTGTGAGATCTGCATAAACTTGATCGGATTGTGCGGCTAAGCAACCTTTCTTCAGTGCATGGCGAAGGTGAGTGTTACTTCTCGGCTCAAGGCAGTCCAAGTACAGTGAGCACGTAAGTAGAAGCTTCAATGCTGTGGTCTTGACCGCGACTGCAATACTGGACTCAAGTACGACGCTCTCGCAAATCTTGGAGAGCAACACAGCGTGATTTTTTGTGGCCGGTATAAGTCTGGTATTGAGCTCATGCAGAAGCGCGACTCCAGCATCGGAGTCTCCAAGTGCGAGCTCGAGAACAAGCCCCAGAATCTCCTTGTCTGAGTCTCGTGTAATGGCAAAGCTTGATAGTAGGGAGGTAGCAAGGGTGCGAGACAGTGCTAGACGCAGTGCAGCTCCCTCGCCACCACATACCAACGACACCTTCAGCTCTTGCACCAACCACGACAAACTCTCCTCAAGCATTGCACCGTTCTCATGACCGCATGTCGAAATCACTTCACGCAAGAGGTCCACATACGCTGCTCGTGAGAATGTGCAGCGCTGCTCGTAGTACTGGACAACCATACACTGCTCAACACAAGTTCTAAGTGTTGGACTTCCACCGCCGGTAGCCTTAGCGGACCTGCGTACCAGGTACTTCGCACAAAGTAGTGAGCCATGCGTTGTGTTGTGGAGTAGCGAAGGTGCCAGAGTTCTTTGTACTAGCTCGGGTATGTCTGTCATGGGTACGAGCGAAGCATATGTACGCGCAGCCTTGTCTCTGATATGCCACACATGGCTACCCACAAGAGCGTAGACCGCTTTCTGCACAGTAGGGAGCCGGTAAGTGGGTACATTGAGCCGCTGTAGCAATTGGAGAGCTGGGAAGACACCTTCATGCTTCGTAGTGGTTGTGCTGCATTGGTCCCGCTCCTTACTTGGTAGCGCAAGGAGATCGAGAACGATTTCGAGAAGCAGAGGATGCTGTTCTGCAGACACCCGTTTGTGCATCTTCTGATCGTCCTCAAGGTGAGCTCCACTCGTGCCTAGTAGCCGATCGATCACAGCGCGGAAGAGCATTAGCCCGCAGTTACGTACAGCCCAGACTTCTGACCGTAGAGCGTCTGCCGCCATGACAAGTGCTCGAGGCACATACTGCTCAGAGACTTCGCCGAGTCTGCCATTCTTCAAAACATCTTTCAAGCAATTCAAGGCGTGGACCTGGGACAAACTGCCTTCTTGTGCATGAGCAGAATCGACTGGCGACCGGGCGATATGTTCGAGATCTGTGAACGCTTGCTCGAGAACGCGGCCTCTTTTGTCTGCGACGAGAATGCCACAAAGTAGTGATGGTAAGCCGGCGGATCGCCGAGTGTTGATCGTGGTCTTGTTGTCAAGGATAAGCAGGACATCCTGATACCACTTCTGTAGCAGACCGACTCCCTTTGCCGCGGCTATAATGCCGGCTCGAATACAGCATGACACCCACGTCTGCGCTACTGTGGAGAAAGCACCTCGATGCCGTAGTTCAGCTAGCTGGATGAAGCATAAATCGTACAGCTGGACTGCTATGCTTGATGCAGGGTCGGACTGGTGCTGAACAATCGTGCCTGTGAGCAAGCTTGCCTCTTTGAGAGCACGCCAGCAGTAGCTCAAAGTATCTTTGGTAGATACTTCGCTTGTGTCCTCCATGTCTTCAGGTAGATATCCTTCAGGTGCATCGTTACAAAGGATCGGCTTCACCACAGTCCAGACATCATGTAGGCAGACGATCAGACGTGGGTCAACCTCATCGCCAGGAGGCGTGTTGTCAAGGATGTACCTGACACTAGTGAGAAGACCGTGTACTGGGTAGCGATCCACGGCTTGGCTCAGATCTGCTTTGGCGATATCAAGCATCTGCACGAGCCGATCGACAAGCTGCAGTAGTACTGCATCTGTTTGTGAACTTTGCTTGTAAAGCAGATTGCGTAAGTGTGCAACACCATCAGCTTGATCCGCTCGGCCTGTCAGTAGCATAACGGCTTCGGCCTTCGCCAATGCCTCCTGCGTCTCAATCATGATACAAGTATCTGAGGTAGGGCCCAACCCTAGAAGCATAGCTGCGCATTGTCGAACGTCGTCAAATGGATCTAAGGTCAGGTCGAGTAGTAAGGATCGCAAGCTTTTATCAAGCACGGACATCCTGAACGGCCATTTCGTGTCGCCAGTGGCAGATCTGCTCCAGCTCATAAGAGGCACTGACTCGTCCAGACCAGACTTGGCAAGGATCATCAAGCAACGTAGTGCAGAAATGTGCGTTTGGTAGCTCGCAGTCGGCCTGAGCTCCCAATGCAGCGTCGTGAGAAGCCAAGCTAAGAAGTCTTTGTGATGCTGAAGTATACCCGATTGCGTTTCATCGGCTTGCCTCGCCAGCACAGCCGTCACAGCTCGGATGCGATCGATCAGCCGCTGAAAGATACTGAATAGCTCGCTGCGGACATCGGCATCCGTGTCTGTGAGGAAGTGGATTAGACTGTGCTTGATGGCGTCGACTGCAGTCGATAGTAGTGGTCTAGTCACTGCAGGAGATGTGGTCAATAATGAGAGACCTGTCAATCGAGCTGCGCTTGAGTTGCAATGCAATAGCTTGCTGATGTGCTTGACAGGTATACCAACCACATTGTCTATGAAGTCGATCTCGGCTCGATCCGTATCTTGGAGCAGACCTGTGTCCTTGCCAGATTGCAGTGAAGCAAGTAACAGGTCGAGATCGAAGTCTTCGATCTTTGTTGGTTGCGAGTCAAGCGCGGACTGGTCTCCCAACAATTGCGCGAGTCCTGCACTGTACAGAAAGTTCTTGTAGTCTCCAGCATTTCTCTGGAACAGCGGCGGCAACAGGTGAGCTCTGAACGAGTCGACATCGACGGAGCCGTGGCGTATAGCGTCACATAGTGCGGTCGCCCAAACAGGGATACGCGGTACATCATGACCATTTACTTGCTCATGGACTCCGGCTGTGCTCTTATCCAAGACTATCGAGACCAGACGACCGATTGCGGCACTGAAGTCACCGTTGCTCATCCAACGGAAGAGAGTACACAAGAAATCGGACGTTGCGATCTCGCCAGCGGCATCATCTGAATTTGTGAGCGAGCTGTACGTCCGCAACACAAGCTCGGATGAAAGTGCATCTTTGCCAAGCATGTGCGCCAATGCAAGAGCAGGGATCTTTGCACCAGCGCTATCATCATCGTCCAGTAAGGGCGCGATCAGACGGTGACAGACTTGTCCTCTTATATCAAGCTCCTGATGCTCATCTTCGACAAGGGGTTGTAGAGTGGAGGTCAGGGTGTCCAGCAATTGTCGTGCCGACTTGGGACGAGCATAGTAGGCTTGTGAGATGTACAGATCGAAAGCTCGGGACCACCACGACGAAGACCAAATAAGTCCAGCATACTCTTGGCTGGGCTGCTGCGAGCAACGGTCTATGCAGGCACACAATGCATTCCAAGCAGCAACTTTGTGGGATGCGGCCAAGTTCGCGGTTTGGGCTGTTTTAAGGATATTGTCGAACTTTTTCTCAATTCTGTTATCATGATCAGCGCAACTCGAGTGGAATACGTAGACTGCCTCACCAATGCTTTGACATGCTGGGCGCCACATCTTACTTTATCACATCGTCCGAGGATGGCGTCTCTACGAAAAGTGTTCTGATATTGCGGGAAATGGATTTGAGCTCTGCTTCATCCAGCTGCACGAGAACGCCGTCTGCTATCGAAGTCATGGTCTCATCGTCCTGTCCGCATAAGATGCTGTGAACAGAAAATACACATGAGAAATGAATTCATGTTCCTGCATATTTTTGACATGTGATGACTTCGAGACTTAGTCATCCACCTTTCATTTTCCGCCGTCATCACGGGCAGTCCCTTCCCCTTTGGTCGCTGGACAAAATTATTGGGTGAGCAGCGACGACCTTCACCATCACCATCGGCCTTTGTAGCATTACTCTCTGTCAGCGCACGATATAGGTGAAGAGCGCGTACAGGCTTCATTCGCCATGGGCATCTGGGATGCTTTCACCGGCAAGAAACAGCCCACCTCACAATCACCTCAATCAGAAACCCTCCAGGACAATGCGCCAACGACAGTCACCTTCAACCCCACCACCGACGATGTCTCCTCCTTCATGACCACACCCGGCGCATACGACCCCGCCGCGCTACATCCTCTCGCCGGCCTGAACCAAGACACGCTCGATTACCTCACCCTCGACGACTCCGCCCTGTCCGACCTCCCCGGCAGCCGCTCCATCCTGCCATCGAGAGGCTGGTCAGATGATCTCTGCTATGGTACCGGCGTCACATACCTCGCCGCGCTATCATTGGGGGGTGCATGGGGTCTGGCGGAAGGCTTGAACAGATTACCTTCCACCGCACCGCCGAAACTACGGCTAAATAGTGCTTTAAATGCTATCACGAGGCGAGGTCCTTTCTTGGGAAACAGCGCGGGTGTGGTGGCGATGATGTATAACGGGCTTAATAGCACGATTGGGTATTACAGGGGCAAGCATGATTCGTTCAATAGCGTGGCGGCTGGGTCGTTGAGCGGAATGATTTTCAGGAGTACCAAGGGTGTACGGCCGGCGTTGATCTCGGGTGGCATCGTGGGTTCGATCGCGGGTGGATGGGCTGTAAGTCAGAACTCCATGCTTTTGGGACGAGTCCACGTGACTTGGTGGGCCGACTTTGTGCACGAGAATATCGGCTGACTTCATTCCAGTTGACACGCAAAGTCCTCCTCGAATAATAGAGTCGACGCTCGACTTACTAATCTTTTACTGCGATTGGCGGGATCTGGTACTGGTTTTGCACAGCATTGCGATGGCGCGGCCAAAGGGGCATGTATGCATAACTGTACTCTTCACTCTGTACCACGACCATAGACATACGCTTGCGCCTACCCTACCATCTCAATGCATCAGCACACTTTCCACTTTCCTGTGAAGGATGACTTCTGCCAGCGGGCAGTCTGGAGCGCTGGAGGTCAAGAGTTGTCCTCAAGGAAACTTCAAAGTAATGCAGCTTCCTAATTATGGTCAGCATGTCGCATCTTCGCTGGTATATATGAGGGTGGCTTGCACTCCTTCTGATCGACATGCCGACTAAAGTCGTACAACTGGCTATACTAACGCATTCGTACAACTAACATCATCGCTAATAGCAGATTAATCACGAGCGCAGACAGTTCTCTCTCGCTATAAACAACCATGTTCGCCATCCCTATCGTCCGGGCTTCCAACAGGTCCCAGGAGGCGGAGTGCAAGCCAACAGCCGACGTCGACGCTGACCGCAACAGCGAAGACACTGCAACTACTGGACCTGCCAGTCCAGAATTGATGCTTATTGCCATTCCTGAGTATACGCAGCAGCCGCAATCTCCACGAACGTCAAGATTCGCTCAGAAACTACAGGATGCGAGTCCACGTCATCAAAGGTCACCTCCTCGAGAAGCCTCGCAAACACAGTTTCGCGAACGATGGCGAAAATGGCGAACTTCTAACGAAATAGACGTCAAGCTGCGTGCCAAGAGAGCTAGTATCAACCGCGAGCTCGCTGGTATGAATCCTGAACCAGGAGATGCTGGAAAGCAGCAGGCAGTGGACACGAGTATACCAGCTTACCGACGTAACCAGAGGAGATGGCGCAAAGTACAAGGATCCCCGTGGCCGAGCATGCCTCTTAGAACCGAATTCGAGGAAGATGTTGTGGACGAGGCTTATCGGACTATGAGTCCGAGAGAACAGAGAACCTTTCGCCAAGACTTCGACTATGCTCCAGACGAGTATGTGGTTCTTCCGAAGGCTGAGACGCTGGATAAAGCGCAGAGGCTTGGTGAGGAGTTCGTGCGGAAGAGGAAGGCTGGCGAGCTGGAGGGAGAGGACGAAGGTGATGAGGAGGTTTAATTGGCCTATTCGCTCACCTCGAGCTCGTCTCTGTTGAACGAAAAGTCCACGAAGTTCGAGACGTGGAACTGCGGTGCTGTCGACGCCAGTGTCGATGAAGGCATACTTTACGAAGCCCGCGATGGAGCCTGCATCTTCGATGACGGTAGTGGGCACGAGGCCATTACTACGTCAACACCACCAGCAGCTAGCGAGGAGTATGCACATCCTGTTCGACGACGAGTACGACATGCTCTGCGCAGAGATCGCGTAAGACACGGACCTACCAGGTTCTGGCGCCATGGTCGTGTTTATTGATACCCGATCAGCTATGCAGAGAGTGTGATCTGTATTACAGTAGTCGTGTTGGATGATCAGATGGATTCAGTAAGTTGCCACAAGCTGGATAGAACAGTAGGATGTGAACCGACTGTCACTCCTACCGAAGCTGCAGCTTATCTGCGAGAACTTGACTGGAGCTCCATGCTAGACTTGGCGGACAGACCCTAAAGTCCTTCGATCACGACGTTTGTCCATCTCTCGGTACGTGGATCGCTTGGGATGATCGTGGCGGGTAATATATTGGTATATGGCCAGGTCAGGACCTCTTGTATATAATGCAGTAACTTTCGCTAGCACGTTCATGGTGTGAATCCTGGTGTACATTACGGACAGCTGCCTCGTCCACGAGTCGGCGACTTGTTATGCTTGCGCGCCTGCGCCTCGATTTCACGAGCGTCTCAGAGGATCCGCAAAGCTAGACTCGAGTCTCTGGCGGCCCTCTCTCTGCTCAGGACTCTTTCGCCTTACTTCGAAGCTTCATCTTGCTTGCAAATCGCGCAGAGCTCATGCACATGGTAGTGATGTGGTTCCAGCTGGCCGGTATTTAGCGAGGGACTCGTCGATTGCAACAAGATGGGACGCGTGGAGAGAAGAAGTCGTCACGTACATGCGATTCATGATGATCCGAAGAGATTCACCTCTTCCCATTGCAATAACCCCATGTTCAGTCTGCTACAGCCTCGCCACCACCACCATCCTCGGACGGCTTCCTTGCGAACTGCTTCGCCTGCTGCTTCGACCTGGCTCGCTCGTAAAGCTTCTGGTATTTAGTGTTCCACTTCTTGAGCTCGTTCTGCTGTTGTCGGGCTTGCATCTCTAGCTGTTGCTTCTCCTCCGCCGCCTTACTAACCAGTTCCTCCAGCTGGCGTACTCTTTCTGCTGTGCCGGCCTCAGCACTTGGGCCAGTAGCGGGAGGATGTACTGCCACCATACTTTGCGTTAGCGCTGCCATCGAAGCATCTTGCGCATGAACTTCAAAGTTGGCCAGTCTGCCAGCGAGTTGCTCGAGTGTCACTTTCAACGTCGTGTTTTCCAGCTCAAGTTCCTCTTGCGTCCGGCCTTTGCCGAAAGAGGCCCGGGCACTCTGCGGTATGCGGCTCCGAATGGGCGATGGTGGACCAGGAGCTTCTTGAGCATCAACGAAATCGTCTTCGTCCTCCTCAATGCCTCGATGACGCGCGATGTCGGCAAAAGATTTCGTCATACCCGTTGTGGGAACAACGTAGAAGCTCTCTGCCGGGCCAAAGCCACGGCCAAATGTCCCACGCTGGCGATGATCCTCTTCGACGGCCGCCAGCGCTGCTTTTGAGAACAATTTTCTGACATCCGGATCATTACTTGCCGAAACGGTATGTTTACCGGCTTTCGATAAGGGTGTTGGTTCCTGCTTGATATCGTCCGCTGCCAATGGTAGACCGGCATATGCCAAGACTGAGGAGAGCTTGGACATGGTGCCAGTAGTCAGTCCGCTGTAGAACTTGGTAAAGCCATCGTCCTCCTCAGCCCTTCGTGTAAGTTTGCTCCTCGAAAGACTCGCCTGGCTGTCGACTACCGAAGGAGGTATTCTTGGTGCGTTGCCACGTCTCCTGCTCGATTCTGGAGACAGTTGTCTGGCGCGGGCTTGAGCGGCGGGAGATGGTCTCGATGTCTGTGGGATGCCACGACGTGATGCGATGTCCCGAGCAAGTGATGGAGACGTATCACGAGCTTGACTGCCGACTCTGGCTCCGGAAAGTGCCGATGTCTTGACCGGCTTCGAAGACGTCTTGTTGGTGTTAGTCACTGCTCGCGAGGAGTCCGACTTGCTCGAAGACGGTCCTGGTTCCGGCACATGTTGGGCAGGATGCTCAGTCACATCATCCGGGATTGGAGACTTGATGATCTCAGCTAGCTTACGGTGCTGCTGTTCTAGTAGTCTTAGGACTCGAAGAGCCTGCTGTCCTGCATTAGTTGTGTTGACGACCATGCATTAACTTCATTCACTTCCTAACCTCTCCATCGTTCACTGTTCGGGCGGTCTTAGCATAGTCCTGGGCGGCGTTCTGGTGTTCTTCCGCTGCTGCAGTCCAGTGGATTTGCTGTGTTTCCAAGGCAGCCTTACGGCCATGCGCGTGAGCCTGCTCCTCTTTAGCACACTTTAAGTTATTGGCTGATTTCAGTCTTACTGATGTCAAAGGCGCGACCTCCGCCATCAGGGGCAGATGTGGTGTTAGTCTAGGTCATGTAAAATGTTCACACTATTCTATATATGTGATGGCTCGCTCGTGAGGTCCAAGACATACAGTCAGCCAGAGGGAGCAATGTGGCGTAATTCGGGACGGTACGCGACCCCGCCGTCATCCAAACTCTCTCCACGATTGCTTTCCACTGAAGAGGAACCCGTGAACTGTAAACCTTGCAGTTCGTGAGTACTGGAAGATCTTCGAAAGGCGCGTCTGTGGAACTTGGAAACGCTCTCTGCGTCTGCTGCTGGACGGCATTGTCTGGTGCTTCGCACACTAAGTACCCTGGCATTGTTGACAGGACCTGGATTGCCACTTGGCCATAGCAACCACGAATGCATTCTCTCATGCCGCACTGCCTGACTCCCTTTTGAACGACAAATTATGGGATCCTGAACTTACTCTCCACCTTGGTCTGCTGCGAGGATGCCGACTACAGATTTGAGAGCACCCTCACCGCGTGGGCCGCTATCAAAACTACGACGCAACAAGAACGCCAATGGCTCCACAACCTCCCTGCAAAGCAGCACAGGCGACACGGATGAGAGTACCGAGAACGCGCGTGGCCTTCGCGGCTCCATCGACAAGGGCAAGGAGCGTATACGAAAGTCCATTGACGAACGACGCGGCAGTGGAGATGCATCAGCGAAGCGTCTCTCGAGTCTCCTACCACGCCGGAAACGCAGTCCGAACAAAGGCTCTGGGAGTCCCACCCGTGCCTTGAGCGGACTGTCTCTGGATCCTGGCAATGGCAGTCATTTCTTGTCCGGCAATCATTCGAATGCATCATTTGATGACAGTGGGCATAGCAGCTTGCTGACAGATGACAACAACTCAGATCACGAAGGGTAAGTTGCCATCTCCATTTCCACCTTTCCATTGATTCTCCAGGCGAATTTATTGCGTGTAAGTACAGCAGAGCGGATCTTGATACTGTACGCAATGCTCGGCACTATTATTGCGCGTCGGGCCCTGGCCGGCGATCGGCATGCGCAAGCCACGCGAGCCTTCTGCGTCACCTCCGCCTTACGTACGATGACCTTGATATTTGAACACCTTGCGGCATATGCTTAATCTAGGCCTCTGGAAGGCCACAGAAGCATTGGTTCATTAATAACAATAACAATAACATCTCGATGTCAATCAAAGGCCCGAGCATTCCTTGTTAACGTGTGATCCTCCCAGGCATCCAGTTAGACCTACATTGTCTCCACATCAATCCCACGCCGGCTACCTCACGCTGTCTTCTCCCGAGTTCAACAAACACTCCCAGTCTGTCATTACAGTCGACGCCATTGCTTCGCCCGAGAGCAAGAAGGCTCTCGCATCAACCACTAGCGTTCCTCACATCATCGAGCCTTTCGAAACCGAACCATTCCCACAAATCACCCCACCTGAACGAAGTGTCTCGCCGGGTACTAAGCTGAAGGACGCCTTCAAGATATCACGCAAGCAGCCAGCTAGCGACGCTGATTCAATCAAGTCGTCGAGTGGCGGTGGAGGCATTGGCGCACTGTTTAGACCAAAGAGCAGAAGAGGAAGCCTGAGTTCACAAGTGGCAGTTGAGCCAGCGAAGCCAGAAGAGCCTGTGGTAGCACCTGATCCTGATATCTCTGTTATTGGAGGCGAGCCACTGGCACAAGTCAGCCAGCTTGATACGATAAAGAGCGAAGGCCGTCCAGAGACACCGACACAACCATCACGAGGAAGAAGTCGCATCAACACCGAGACACTACCCGCAACACCCCCGAATCTTGTTGAGACTCCTACAACTTTAGTCACGCCACCAACGCCCACGTTACCAAAGACGGATGCATTGACTTTTCCAAACAGAAACGCTGTGACATCTGACGCTCAAGGTGCCTCACCGCCTGCCAAGCCGCTGAGCTCTGTTGACAGCATCCGTCACCGTCGTGCACAGTCTGCAAAGCTTCCCGGCGTGCCCAGTAGATTGTCCAATGCCATTGCCGCTCCGCTGACGCCGACTGCCGAAGAGGCTAAGACTCCTGGTGGTACCTTGACGCAGCCGACAAGCGCGACTGGTTTCTTCTCGACTTTCGTCACAGCTGCGTCGAAGGCAGCAGAACAACTTAGCCAGAACATTGCAGCACAACAAAAGGGCAGGCCCACGTCACCATCATCTGCGCAAGATTCGACCAAGGATATTGGATCTCTGGTTGACACCAAGCAGGATAGCACAGGACTGCAATCACGAGCTATAGATACAATTGGCAAAGGGGACCTGAGCCTGGATCAACTCGGCATATCGGACACAAATAATCGGAGCCCAATGCCCTCTACCCCCGACCTGCCGCAGCAGGACATAGCGACACAAAACGGCAACACTACGCAGAAAGCCGAGGAAGATGCAGCGGCACGAGCAGTGTCAGCAGCATATGAAAAGCCACTGCAAAAGGTCATCAGCCAGGCGCAAGGTCGACCTCCATCAATAGCATCCCATGATCGCCTGACACTTGATGGAGAGCAGACACCCCTTCGCTCTGGCGCTGAAGCTGATGGTCTGAAACGTTCAGGTAGCGTCCGTAGCAAGATCAGCGCCAAGGCAAGACGGCATCGTGCAAGCTCAGCGACAACGGGTACTGGTAACACTATAGCTGCGGCGTTGCAATCTAGCCACGCCGCTCTCGCCAACCCGTCAATCAATGGCAGCCATAGACTGACCGGATTTGCAGTGGCCAGTAGCAAGCGAAACAAGGACTTTCATCAGCTGTTCCGCAGTGTACCGGAAGATGATTACCTGATCGAAGACTACAGTGCTGCGCTACAGCGGGACATTCTTTTGCATGGTAGACTCTACGTCTCAGAGGGTCACATATGCTTTTCCAGCAATATTCTAGGTTGGGTCACCAATCTCGTGGTTGGCTTCGATGAGGTGGTATCTGTCGAGAAGAAGAGCACAGCCGTGATCTTCCCAAATGCCATTGTGATCCAGACACTCCAGGCCCGCAACACGTTCGCCAGTCTTGTTGCTCGAGATTCGACGTATGAGCTCATAATAGGAATATGGAAGATCAACCATCCGAACCTCAAGAGCTCATTAAATGGTGTGGCGCTAGATGATGCTGGTACTGGCGATAAGACGGAGGTGGCAGACCCAGAAGGCTCCGGCGAGGAGACTGCTGATGGGTCGGACGACGAGGTGTACGACGAAGACGATGATGAGGACGATGTTGGGAGCTTCACCGATGGCGGCATGAACCCTAGCGTTGCACCAAGCGAGGCTGGCGACCACATCATCAGTCGTAAGACCTCCGCTATACCCATCAATGGGCTTCAGCATGCTAGCACCATGCCGGCTAAAACAACCGAGACTGCCGAAGCTGCCGTCGCCGCTGCGACGACTGCCGCAGACTTCCCAGGCCCGGCCACACATGCGCAGACCGAGTGTAGCGAAAGTGGCGAGCACTACGACAAACTGTTGATGGACACCACGATACCGGCACCACTCGGCAAAGTGTACTCGCTTCTGTTTGGACCAGCATCGAGTCCTTTCATGCGCAAATGGTTGATCGACGATCAGAAGTCTCGAGAGCTGCAGCTACCAGATGACAAGATCGGACTCGACAACGACCACAAAACTATGAGCTTGGAGTACATCAAGCCGCTAAATGCACCCGTGGGCCCGAAGCAGACGAAGTGTCTGACGACTTACAATGTCATGGCTTTTGACCTGGAGAAAGCAGTTTCGATCGATTGCAGCACGCAGACACCAGATGTACCTAGTGGGAATGTGTTCACGACCAAGACACGGTATTGTTTGATGTGGGGTCCCGGAAATTCGACGAGACTGGTCGCCACTTGCACAGTTGAGTGGACGGGCAAGAGCTGGTTGAAAAGTAAGCACTGGAGACGAATTTGGGTCATCTATTGGCGCTAACTTGTGCTAGGTGTGATCGACAGCGGTGCAGCTGCGGGACAGACTGAGTATCTGAAGAGTCTGGTCGCTGCGGTAAAAGCTGTCATTCCTGCGCGGCCAGTGGCAAAGGTACCTGGCAAGAAGGGAGCTCGACGACGTAGGACGACCGGCGAGCCTGGCGCCAAGGTGGAGCGTGAAGCTATCGTGATACCTGAACAGAAAGCCGCGAGCTGGGGAGCACTCGAACCTCTGCACCAAATTCTGGAGCCGCTCATTGCTATTGTTCGGCCGTTCGTCACTTCGCAGACGATCATTGCCGTGCTGTTCGTCTTGCTTGTGTACACTTGGCTCGTCCCACCTTATCGATCTGCTGGAGGTGTTGGACCACCAGGCTACCGATCTCCCGAACGACTAGTAGCATACGACGAACTTTGGCGGCGAGAAGAGAGCGAATTGTGGGATTGGTTGGAGGATCGTGTTGGTCTTGATCATCTGGCTTCTCCAGCATTAGCTGAACAGCAGCGTGGAAGGCAGAGAGATGCTGGAGTGAGGGGTATTGGCAAGAAGCTCGAGGACGAGCGGATGAGTGAGCGACAGATGGATGATGCGATCAAAGTTACCGAAGAGAGATTGTCTACTCTCAAGGAGGCGGTGGCCAAGAAGAATAAGAGGGCGCAGGAGAAGAGGCAAAAGAGTTGAGGTGGATTCGTGCTGTTAGCGGCTGCATTGAGCGTTCTCGTTTGTTCTGAATATGTACCAGTAGCTGGTCAATGTCACTCTCTCTTGTCGACACTACACTTCCCTTCTCTGCTGGAACGCAAGTAGTTCATGCTGATTTGCATGTGAAAGGAGAAATATACAATTGTGGCGCGGGCGCAGGCATGACGCCCATAGAAACGCTCCACAAACATTGTTCATGTAGACCAAGTAGATCCACTTCTTCCATAAGTACACTAACAACTAAGTACGGTCATACAAACCTTACTGCATCGCATGGCTACTCGCATGCCGTGAACATCTCGGCAGATAGATGCTGCGACAATCCATTAGTTGCACTCGTGGACAGTAACACAGGATCACGGCCATTGAACGCCACAGCAACCACAAACCCACATCAGAACCATGTCTTCGGGACCCTCGCAGCTTCTTGTGAAGCGTAAGCGTGACGAGCCTGGACCTGACAAGCTGATTCTAGAGCCACCGACCAAGAAGACCTTGACGGTGGGAGCGGCGGCGCAGTCGAATGCGCTGCAGTATGTGAGGGTTGATAGGGAGTTGGGTAGCAAGGCGAAGGAGAGGCAGGATGGGACTCGCGATGGTGACGGTGTGAGGGGTCATGGAGGGGAGGTGCAGGCACAGAGCCAGAGCAAGAGGGTGTTCCACTTGTCAAGACGGCAAGGTGAGGGGACTGTGCGTAGGAACCTACAGAAGAGGAAGCAGACTGGCGGTGCTACAGGCTCTATGTTTGCCACATTTGAGGAGAGCAGTGCGCGGAATGCCAAGGCGCAGTCTCGACCAGGCAATACTGGATCAGATGCTGAGGATAGAGAAGAAGGAGAGGTAGCGCCTCTGAAACGACCAGGCAGGAGGTTGGCAGTCGCAAGAACTGGCAGTGTTTCAAAACAGCTTCAAACAAATGAGTCAACGGAGACTCGTAGTCACGCGGAAGCCCTTGCCACGTCTATGCAGAGGTTTGCAAACGAGGAGCTCGCCGAACCACCGAAGCAGAAGATTACGAGCCTGCCCAAATTCGCCACAAGGAGACGAGACTTGCACCCGCAACCAGCGCCAGTACAGGCCTCTGAGCCACGTATACGAGATGATGAGATGGATGTAGACTCCGACGGCGACTACGTCTACGATACTTATATCCTTGCGCCACCGTCCACAGAATCACAAGCCAATGGTACAGGAGCAGATCTAGTTGGCGACAACGTTGGTTATCTAGTAATCAACGACGAGGATCAAGCTCTATGGGAAGCTTACATCGAAGACGAACCGAGCGACAAAGACTGGGACTCTGACGACGCCGACTCGAACGCAGAAGACTACTACGGCGCTGACTATCCTGAGGATGAGCTCGCATCGGACGACGAGTACGATCGAGGTGCGTATGGTTATCGCAGGCACGGCGCAAGCGACGACGAGAGCTGGGATGAGGATACAGGAGCTTTCAGTGGTGACGAGGAGGAGGATACGGCACCCTGGAAGAACAAGACGTATGGCCGGCTTGCCAAATCCGTGGGTGTCGAGGTCGAGGAGGAGGATGATTGAATGTTCCGAAGTCGATCGTCTTGCACTTCCCGCACCTGGGCTATGAAGTCTAATTGATGTCAGTGCAGCGACGCAGGCCACGCGAAACCTCTATTATGGACATGCTGGTTGGCGGCACAGATTCATTTGGCTGGTGGAAAGATGGTTACACCACGCGTGCATGCATGATAGCTTTTTCCCATTTCTGCTGCCGCTCCTTCTCGAAAACTCTGCTGTGTTGCAGATCCGATCTTGAAGCGGCACGTTTTGCATCGAAGGCTTGCTGTCGTGACAGGCAGCGGAAGCAACCACTGGTGAGGATGGATTGGATCACTACGACCGCGGGGAGCTTGCGCACTGTGCACGCGGTTCTATGATGGGCCAGCCCTAGAGACTGGAAGAGTGTACGATAGGTCAGCTTGCTGGAAAAGCCGTGCCGCCAACAATGAGCCTGCCGTTCATTCGAAGGCCCTTCTAGCTACGTGAGACAGCCAGCAGCACTCGTGGCTTGGCTTATCGCAATACAATATACCAGCGCAGCAAAGGAACTAAAGCAAAGGAACCACGCCACCTCTACTCCTTCCCAAATATCCCATCATCGCAAGCATCATTGAATTTGAGTCATCATTGTCACCGGCCAAGTCCAGAAAGAACTAATGTATACCATAGCTTCATTCCTTATGCTTCATGCCTGCAATGAACCACCTTCTAGCCCGAATTCTGTGATCGAACAAGTAGCAAATGTTGTATCCGAAATGCGTGATTGTGGTTTAGCACGCGGCTCATATATGTGGGTACCATGACTGTCAAGCAAGCTTCGAATCCCTCGGTGCTCGGCGTGTCTGTCGATCTTATAGCAGCGAAGTAGATCTTGCCTCCATTACGCTATATCTTTAGCGATGTCTCCCGTCTCGTAAGCATCACTTATCATCGATACTCCGCCAATCGAGATCGACTGAGCTGATAGGTTCCTGGGTAGCCGATCCGATCGAGAAAGGCTGGCGACATCCACTGCGCTCGTCGGCCGACCTCGAATCGGTCACTGTATGTTGCCTCGTTGTCAGTCTTCAGGACTTCCTCCAGTCCCCAGCGCTTGCGGACGCGGTAGTAGACTGATGTGAGGCCGCCTCGGCTGCGCGGGACGGCGTTTCGTCCGAAGAGTTCGCCGAAGCCATGCTCGATCTCCGGCCAAGATTGGTAGAGGACTATGCGTGAGAACATGATGAAGAACCTCTGTTCCTCATTGTATGCTGGGCGGGGCGGCCGAGGCTTGTTGTCCGTTGTACGGTCTGAATAGCTGTTGGTGTCTGATGTCGAGTCCGGTGACACTGGTCTTCCAGAGCTGAAGCTGCTGGCGTGGGTCGAGTCGTCCGTTGCGGTTCCTTGTGGAGGAGTATCTGTGTGGTAGGTGTACTCGCCCTTCGCACGATCGCCGTCTGAGACTGGCGGGGTTTCGAAATTTGGAAGTACTTGACGCCTGTCGCTGGTCGCTGGAGGTTCCCAGACATTACTGTACTGAATTCTACTGCCGTTAGGCGTTGCCTGCGTGCGGTTCATACATTGTTTGTAGACATTGGCATCGTCTACATTGGGTCGAGACCAGATCGTGCCCGAAGGAGCCTCTTGAAGCTCGGAGACGCCTTCAACCGGTGATACTGATACGCTTCCCAGGTCTGTGGTAGTCAGGAGAAAGCGCACATTCATCTTGTCCCGGCCCGTTTCCCTGGCCTCCATAGTGCATGAGATGAGTGAGATCGTTAGGGTCGAGCCTCGTACTGCTTGCCGTGCAGGAGGGAGAGACTAGTAGAGTTGGCAACACGGACTTTCGCATTGAAAATGGACTTTACGGGCGGTCCATCGTCCTGCTTGCCCTAAGCATCGATAGACGCGAGCTGAAAGCACCAACGGTCCGGCATTTGAGTTTTTGATTGCATTGGCGAAGCAGTGCTGTGTTATGCTTGTAACCATGCCGTATACTGAATGTCCGGTTAGAGATAGTCCAGCACGTACCTTGACACTCCACGAGGACTATAGCATCTAACTTCGCGCTTGCGGGGGAGCCAGCTAGTCTCGCAGTAAAGAGGATCGCAGAGGCGCCTTACGAAGCATCTCACCCTTGGTCTCTATACCTACCGCATGGCTCGGTCTACCATCAGCGTTGCCACCATGAGCGTCACCGCCTTGTGTTGCTGCACAGGCACAACGGACAGACCTCACGAGCCGTGTGCAGGCTGTATCCTGCACTCGTCGAATCTCGATACCGCTCCGTAGGAGAACGCAGACCAAAGTCTATTCCAGCCAATCACGGATCTCCTGCTACATACCATAGCACGCATCAACCAAGTGGGGCGCATATGGAACTCTACTTCCACCCGTCAATGCGTCTTCACGCTAGTCCGTTCATCGCAGCACAGCTACCGAGACGAGGCTTCTGTTGAGTTTGCCGTCGACCTTGACATTCTTCGACGTTCAGGTAGAGACGCAGGCGATATTGGCGTAGCGCCGTGCTGCGGATCTCCTCTGTCGTGTAACCACACTCCGAATCAGCATACCGATGCAACCGGCAGATGACGAAGTGGTGCAATCATGAAGATGCCAGGAACAAGACCTGTCAGCTGCAACCACTGAGCGATCTCGAGCAGAAGAGAACAACCCACGGCAGTAACACACAGCTCACCAACCGAGCATCTCCACCAAACTTGGACAAGGCAGCCAAGGGCGAAACCCCGGCCACCAATCATGCCACCCTGCAATTAACCGAGAGAGAACGTGATTTGGACCTCCAGCTTATCACTAGGGTCGCACAGATCGGCCATGCAGGCGCCACATGCGGCGACCACGGCGTAGACCTTAAGCGTTGGAAAGCTCGAATAGTACTGTCTACACGATCAATAGACAGCACTGGCAACATTTAACTGAGACGTCCGAACGTCGAAGGCTGCGGCTATGGTCACCTTAGTGACTGATCAGGTCGAGATGACATTGCGAGAGTAGTCGATCGTTTCCTAGACAGCGGCGAGCAGACTTCTCACGGAGTGAAGCTGACAATCAGTATGATATTTCGACGAACGGAATATGGCGAGTCAATGCAGCCCGCCAAATGCATCGATACCACGTCAACAGTCTGCTTGGGCAGCTTGACGATAACGTATCATGGCTGCTTCACGTCAGCCATTCCCAGGATGCAGTCCAACAGCGACTGAGAAGTTGTGCGAGCTGTCTACCGTCGACATGAGGTTCTAGACCATACGCCCGACGTTGATCCGTCTGGAATTGGTGGGTGATCTTCATCGAATACCCGGCCTCTCCCACGTGGCCACGCAGCAGCACGTTTACCAAGCAGGTAGGATCTTGGTTCGATATTCCGTAAAGATAACGACGTCAGAGGTTCACACCTAGGGACGGGACTCAGTCAGCGTAAGATTTCGACAGGCAACTACCTACTGCTACTCCTGGTTTTGGAGGGGGCGCTCTCCTCTCGAGAACACGTCGAAGTCTTGAATCTGGAAGGCCGAAGAGTGTGGCTTGCTACCCATGAGATATGCCAGTGAGCATGTCATGGCAAGTAGGCAACAAATCCATCGAACTGATCAGAATATCCCTCACCGCCACTCTGAGCAACACACCACCATCGAAATCTCACCGCCGACCCGGTCTCTTCGGTCTTGCGAATCCATTGCCCGGCTTGCTTTCGGATGCAGCCTCATCTTGTGCTGCAGCTGTCTGACTTCCTCCCAACACATCTGTCGTTAATTCCCTCGGCTCGGTAGCCTCTAGAGATTTCGCGAATATGATACCAGCATCCCGCTCTGCCACTGTCCTCGTCCAAGATTTGCCAGTTGCGTAGATCATGCGCTCCTTGACCTTTGAGCTGGTAGGGCACGTGTAGATGAAAAGTATTTCAGGAGCGGCGCCAGCAGAAGGTGATGAGTAGAAACTGTACCTTGGCTCGTTCGAGGCAATGGTGCCGGCGACTGCGGAAGGCTCGACACCATCTGTCGATGAATCCAGGGTCAGGACTTCTGCAGGTAGCTGATATTTGAGCTGCACGAGTGTGCCTTTGCACCCTTCCTCCTTCAGACATTCCAGCGCCTCTATCACACCCTCCCCTGTCTTCACGTCTACACGGCTTGTGACATGTCCTCTCCGTCCAGATGTACCCACGCTCTCTGCCGCCTCGGCATCTTTCGCACCTTTGAGTCCGCTCTCTTCTTCTGTCAGGGGTGCATCGAGTGCAGTATGTGCTTCGTGCTTCGCCCATCCTTCTTTCGTAAGCTCCGAAGCCTCTGTGGTGAAGATCTGTTGTCTGAAGCGTTCCAGGCCAAGTTCTCGAGCTAGTGTCAGGCGGGTCGAGGCGAAGAGCATCTTCTGCCGCACTGGCGCAGCATTGGGAACATAGGTCACTGCAGCATAGCCATCCGGGGATCCGGCATGCGTCTTCAAGAGTATGTATGCTGCCTTGTTAGGGGTGAGGTGTTGTTGTAGCTGGCCCAAATCATCTTCGAAGCGGTCCCCATGAGCAGGAATGGTGGTTGCAGCGACTATCTGCTCGTTCTCGATATGTGCAATGACTGCGCGTTGCCCGGACGATGATACCAGAGTATTGAAAGCATCCTGCAGCTCCTGGGAGGCCGAAATGCCTGACTGCATGGTTTTGATGGAGTTCTTGCACAAGCTGCTGTTTGGAAGTGAGCTTGAGAGCCGAGGTGGGTGGAGTGGGATGTTTTGGCTTGCGTCATCAAGTCAACAAACAGCATGAATAGATATCTACAACGCGCCGCAGCGTGGACATATCAGAACAATGTGTAAGGAATGGATAGAGCAAGGACGAGCTCCCTACCACATACTTGGCCTTCCCAATGAGGCAGGCACGACTTGGTAGAAGCTGAAGCCAGCGCTGTCCGAGGTAAGCTCGTTTGACTTCAACTCCTCCTACACTCGAACCCAGACTCTTTCATTTCACGTACGCTCAAAGACACCCTTTCTGTCAGCGCTGGCATTGTATCAAATCATAACACCCCCGTCTACGTCTGCGACCTTAGCGCACATGGACTTCCTGGTCGGATCCTTCAACTATGATCTCTTCACTCTTCGCTTCGAGCCAAAAGATGGCTCTCTGACACTCATACGTCCTACGCCAGCCATCGGTGGCCACTCCTGGCTCTCGTTATCCAAAGACAAGAAGTTCCTCTACTGCACTGCTTGGACGAAACCTCAGCCCTCCATTGCCAGCTATCGCGTCGAGACTTCTGGCCGCGAGATCTCATTCCTCAATGCCAAGCCTGTCAAAGCATTGAGTGGCTACGTATGCTGCGATACACGACACGTCTATTCTGTCGGCGGACCGACCGGTGAAGTCTTTCGTATCGAGGGCGATGGCAGTATTGGCGCTCTAGTTCAAGAACTCGACTTCGTCGCACCAGACGGCATCAACATATCTACTGAGCGTGGTAGCGTGCCACATGGAGACTTCGGCGGTCTCCGGCATGGTGCGCATAGTGTCGATTTGTCCCCTGATGGCAGGAGCCTGTATGTGGCAGACATTGGCCGAAATTGCATTTGGACGTACTCGAAGGATCTCAAGGCCATCTACGGCGAGCCACCGCTCAAGCTGGTGAACAAGCACATCACCCCGAGACCGACAGATGGCCCCCGACATACCTCGCCGCATCCGAATGGCAAGATGTTGTACAGTTTGCAGGAGCACACAAGTATGGTGGACGTCTTCTCGATCGCACAAGATGGTGTGACACTAGACCATGTTCAAGGTGTGAAAGTGATACCCCCGGACAACGATCCGAAGCTATACTGGGCAGATGAGGTTCGTCTGTCCACTGGTCCGGACAAGACGAAGCCACGATATATGTATGCATCGACCCGTGGTCTGGAAGCACATACGAAAGGCTATGTTGCTGTGTTTCGGCTCGAAGAAGATGGTATGCTTGCGAGCGAAAATGCCATCGATGTCTGGCAAACTCCTACAAGTGGTGGTATTGCCAACGCGATCGAGCCGGCGCCGTGGCAGGAGTACCAGAAGGTGGATGGTTATGAGTACTTAGCCTTGACTGATAGTGAGGAAGGATGGGTATACGTCTTGGCTTTTGATGGAGAGAAGATCACTGAAGTGACGAGGTTGAATTTGGGTAGGACAGATGGAGGGGAAGTGGTGAAAGCTGCCACAGCTGTGTGGTTGTAAGGTCAGTCTACTTCCGAGGTCGACGAATAGTCCTGCTGCTGTGCTACGACATGCCTAGTTTTGCTCACGCTTGTGTTCATATGTTTTGAAAAATGATTGATGTTTGTTGCCATGGACTGCCGAGATTTGAATCTAGATCGCCCGTCTCGCGGTCTGTGCTCGCACGTCGAAAATGACACATCAACATTTTGATGACCTCCACTCGCGTAGTACACATTCGTTTGGCGACGTATGGCTACCGTGTATAGATCATCAAGACTATCATCTCTGCTTCGACCGTCAAGTACAGCGTCAAGGATCAAAATCACCTCCAGCAGTTCAACACGCCACTTTGCGACCAAAACAAAGACACCTATCACGATGTCGAAAGACCATATTCTTACGCTATCTTGTCCGGACAAGTCTGGTATCGTGCATGCCGTGACTGGAGTCTTGGCTAAACATGACATGACGGTACTGGACCTGCAGCAGTTCTCGGACCCAGATCTAACAAAGTTCTTTATGCGAGTACATTTCGGCCATGCAGACAAGACGAAACACCTGGAAGAACCATTCAACGAGCTGGCAAAGGACTTGAAGATGGAATACGATATCGTGCCAAAGTCTCACAAGCCCCGAGTCATGATCATGGTTTCGAAGATAGGCCACTGCTTGAATGACTTGCTCTTCCGAGCAAAGACTCAGCAACTGAACATCGACATCCCAGTGATTGTGTCCAACCATCCAGATTTCGAACCATTGGCCAAGACGTACGACATTCCATTCCACCACTTGCCTGTCAACAAAGACACCAAGACCGAGCAAGAAACCAAGATTTTGGAGCTGGTCAAGGAAAACAACGTCGACCTGATCGTACTCGCGCGTTACATGCAAGTGCTGTCGCCCACACTTTGCAGCGCTATGAGTGGCAAGATCATCAACATCCACCATTCCTTTTTACCTTCTTTCAAGGGAGCGAAGCCTTATCATCAGGCTTACGACCGTGGCGTGAAGATTACCGGAGCTACGGCACATTTTGTCACGGCCGATTTGGATGAGGGCCCAATCATTGAGCAAAGGGTTGCGAGGGTGGATCACAGCATGAGTGCTAAAGAGCTCGTGGACGAGGGTAGTAATGTGGAGAGTCAGGTTCTGGCTGCTGCGTTGAAGTGGTGGAGTGAGAAGAGGGTATTCCTGAACGGGCACAAGACGGTCGTTTTCAATTAAAACTTTACGACATCACGACTGCCGGTCTGGGGACGGTGCTCATGGCGTAATATCATACACTGATCCAGGCATGTGGCAAGCGCCCTCGACATCATCGCCATTCACGTTCTGCACGCATTTACCACTCGTCCCAGACCGCAGAAGATGTCCGCCATGCTGAGCAGTCGCGTCATAAACCGGCCTGCTTCGCAGACAACCCGGACTAACGACATAGTCATACAGCACTTTTGCATCTTCTCAAAAGCCCGCACTTGCAGCCTAGAAATCTCGCTAGGAGCAATCAGATAAGTGCTGATCGATGGCGCACAGGTCCGAGGAATGGTATGCTCCAATAAACTGCAGACTGTCGGCAAGGTTGGCGAAATTGCTAGCTCGTTGGTCACATCATGTGGTCAATCCTGCTGGCTCGCGGAAAGTGCTTGTGACGTGCGCTAGGCAGATGAAGCACCTTGGAGCTGTGGCGATGATGTCGTCTTCTGGTGTTCCGTAGACTTTGTTGTATGGTAGCGGATCAAGGATCATTCGGACACGTCTGCCCAGTAGTTTTGGAATCTGGAAGGTTCCAACACATTGTGGGCCAGGAATCACGAATTTGATGTCAGCTGCAACATCTGTCATTACACCAGTCTTACGTCTCTGCGGCACTGCAGTATCTTCTGATAATCCCGGGGTCTACTAGTGACATGATAAAGCACCGTGAATAGAGCTGCGGCTGCTGTGATCCAAATTTTATCGTTGACACAGTCCATCTTCTTCGGCTGTCCGATAGGCACGCCACTTCAGAGAACCACACGGCAAGATGGCAATACGCCCGTATGTCTTCCGCAGCTTCCTGTTTCCTTATCAGAATGGCCAGACCCGGCCCATGCAGGTAAGTTCGTGGCTAAGAGCAATAGAGTGTGGCGAGTTTGGGGCCCTTGGTAAAATACATGATGTGATAGTGCTGACAACAAATGTAGCAATTGAGGCGAGGTAGCACACAGTCCTCGCCATTGGATGCATGCTTACTAAGTTCCGATGTATCGATAGCGTAAGTGTATGCTGAGCAGAGAGTAATCAAACGGCACTGCCATGCCGCTGAGCTATCCGAAGTGTAGTATCGGCCGACTCTGTCCCGATGTGGTTTGAACGTCTCAATGCGAAGCGAGTGGTGTCACTTATCGCGCCGCTCCATGCACTTCGGGCGAGGGTTGAAACTGATAGGATAGATAGGTCTCGAAGCGCCACCTTCTCCTGGCGCGCAACAACAGCATTGCAGCGCCTTCTATTCCGAGTCCACTTCTCACCTGACCACCAAAAGCCATACAATGCCGTACATCACAGTCCAGGATGGCACGGAAATATACTACAAAGACTGGGGAAAGAAGAATGCCCAGCCCATCGTCTTCTCCCATGGCTGGCCGCTAAGCTCAGATAATTGGGAAGCCCAAATGTTCTTCCTCGCCGACCACGGCTATCGCACCGTCGCGCACGATCGCCGTGGTCATGGACGATCTAGTCAGCCGTGGGGTGGGAATAATATGGACCAGTATGCGGACGATCTGCACGAGCTCTTCGAAGCACTGGATCTGAAGAACGCCATGATGGTCGGGCACTCGACTGGTGGAGGCGAGGTAGTGCGATTCTTGAGCCGACATGGCACGGAGCGAGTCTCCAAAGCCGTGCTCGTTTCGGCTGTGCCACCGCTGCTGACAAAATCCGAAGCCAGTCCCTTCGGTGTTCCCATGGATGTGTTCGACTCGTTCCGTGGCGCCATGATTAAAGACCGAGCCCAATTCTTCTTCGATGTCCCGACAGGCCCGTTCTTCGGCTTCAATCGTCCTGGTGTCACGCCAAGTCAGGGCGCAATTCAGGATTGGTGGAGACAGGGAATGCAATGCGGATTCAAGAATGCGTACGATTGTATCAAAGCTTTCTCAGAGACTGACTTTACGGAGGAGATGAAGAACATAGAGATTCCCGTGATGGTCTTGCATGGTGATGACGATCAGGTTGTTCCTTTTAATGCGAGCGGGAAGCGGAGTGTGGACTTGGTGAAGAACGGGAAGCTAAAGGTGTACCCAGGCGCACCGCATGCACTGCTCAATATTTGTGCGGATGAGGTCAACCAGGATTTGTTGAGATTCGTCCAGTCGTAGATGGGTGTTTAAGTCCAAGTAACTGTCAATTATGTAATCCGATGGGCAAAATTATCAGCTGTTATTTTTATCAACTTCTGACCTCGAATTTGCATCGATGAGTGCCGTAGTGCCTTGTGATCTTCTGGCTCAAGCTCCTGTCCGTGAATGCATGGTGAGCATGCTGAGGTGAAGATGCACCTCGTGTGATCATAGCTCGCTATGCTCGATTGACTCCGGCACATGAACACCATGAAGCAAGGCTTTCAATGCACTTGAACCATGCGATGCAGAGTCAAGCTCAGGCAGCTCATGCTCCAGGAACTGATCAACACTGCTGACCTGCGCACCAACATAGCCACCCATATCCGGCCCCTCCTCCGTCCACCTCACCCTCTGCATCCGACAACGCCGATTTTGACTCCCATCCGTATCTCGATCCGTAGCATGAAACAACGCCACAGTCTCGTTCCCAGCATGTAAGAAGCAGCCATGACCCGGCCCGTACGGACCTACTCCATCTTCGCGATTCTGTAGGAGCGGAGTCTTCGACTTCTGCCAACTTGCTGGGTTCAGCGGATCGCCGCCTAGGAAACGTAGGGTAGCCATCTTGTAGTGCTTCGTCCAGCTTCCGGAGCATGAATAGACCAGACCTTGCCAGTGGCCGGATGGCGACTCGAGCCATTGCGGACCTTCGTTGATTGCTGCTCCGGCTGTGCCTAGACGCTCCCAGGTGTTACTTGGGTGGCTGATCATGACTGGTTCGCTGCCTGCGGTCACTGGATTCTCTAGTCGTAGGATGAATAATTGTTGTATGAGTTCGGAGCGGTCTTCCCAGCCATTGGGATACTCTTCCCGTCTCGGCCAGCCTGAATAGACAAAGTACAGGGTTTGATTGAACTCAAACACAGTCCCGTCGATCGCCCATTGTCGCTGGTCCATTCCCGCGATCGGTCCCAGTAACTCCCACGGTCCCTGATGAGGATCATGATCTGCGCGCGGTCCGCCGAGCACATACATCCGATGGCTACGGTTACCTAGCAGTTTGTCGGCCCCTGCGCAGTAGATATACCACCGTCCACGAAGAGCATGCAGCTCAGGTGCCCAGAGACGTTCACTTTGCGGACCACTTTCTGGAACCTGCCAGACCGGCCATCGTTCGAAGTCGTTATAGAAATCCATGACCGAGTTTGCTTCCCACATTGGTATGCGATTGTTGCCAGTGAAAGTGAGGAAGAATTTGCCATGGGCTTGAGTGATCCATGGGTCTGGCGCGTGTTCGCGGGTAATGTCGAGACAAGTGTGATTGTACGGAGAGACCATGTCGGTCGGTAAGCTGAATGACAAAGTCGCGAACAGAGCAGAAGCGAGGAATAATAGTCGTGTCATTTGACCTCAAGTTCGCCGTACAACATCTCAGTAAGCAGGTCTAATGTGTTCGGGCTGAGCTACAACTCCTCTCGAACAGGGCTCCGGGTACGCTATCGTGTTCTAACCATCTCACAAGCTGACTGCGAGGGCTTGTAGATTGTATGTTGTAGAAGGAAGTGAAGCTGTTCAGATGTTCAGACATCCCACTTCCTGCAAGCAATTGCGTCATCCAATAGAATTATGAAACATTGTCCTGAAACGCTTGTCGTCGATCTTGGAACACCAATGGCAACATAGAGAATATCCGGTATGTCTTTTTGATCGTATGCGCCAGGCTGTACGTGGCTGTCCGTACAGACGAATGGCCATGGTCGCAACGGGTCCAACAGCACTGCCCAAGAATGACGCAACGGGCTTGCTATCAGATTGAGGCACCAATCAAGACTACCGCGTCCGGGTTAACTTGTCTGCCACAATCTCAATCTTTCGTGTCCAACGTCCCGAATGATAGACCACATCATTGATCGACCTAGGTCGTCATGTACCTCGCAAGTGAGGATATCCCTAGAGCGGCTGCTGTCGTTGGTTCGGATCCGCGTATCGCCGCTCTTATCCTCCAGCTGCCTGCGCACTCCTCTTGCTCCTTGTGCGCTGCCTCAAAGCTTCTTTCCCGGCCTTGCGCATCTGGCTCATACTCATCTGATCCTCGCCCAGACCGATTTGAGTGGCTTCCGCGATAGTCTCCTTGTTCACCTCATCCAGCATAAATCGCCCCAAATGCCCGTTACGCCAACGTTGAATGAACCACATGGCCGTGCCATCTAGATCAGGCTCGCCACCTTTGCCTAGTCTTCCAGTTTTGGCAGCCATAGCGGTCAGGAGACTTGTCACGTCATTTGTCGGTTCGTGATAGGCTTTGTATGTGTCGGAAGACTGCAGATTGATGTGGTAGAGGAGGTAATCTGCGATGGTAAAGGGCGCGATAACGTTGTCCTTGACGCTGCCGCATAATGCCATCTTGAGCATGGCTTCGGCGTCAGGGACGTATGGGATAAAGACACCAGGCGTATCTAGCAAGTAGACTGGCGTGGCTCCTGAGTTGTCTCCCGAAGCTTCCGGGTCGATGATCTTCACGCCCGTACCAATCTTTCGTGTGACTCCTGGTTGAGCTCCTGTATGCGCTACCTTGCCTTTGTGCAACGACGTGGCTCGTAGGGCGTTGAGAAGGGAAGACTTGCCAACGTTGGGCATGCCAACGACCATCAGATGACTGCCAGTCAAGCTATTGCGCTTGGCAGCCGCAGTCTTGATCTGCTGCAGGACTTGACGAGTTGAAGGAGCAGATTTGTGGTCGGAGAAGAGGACGGGAGTCGGGGCGTGGAAGGAGCGAAGAAGAGAGTAGATCTACCTACCATTCAGCACATACTCTCTCTCTCTCTCTACTTGACACATCTTTTGACGTCCACCCACCTCGTTGTCGCCGCCTTGACCTCCCAGATCTCGCTTCGTGTAGACCATCATTCGCTCTTTGCCTCGCAGTGCCTCTTCAAATAGCGGGTTTCGACTAGTCAACGGGATGCGGTAGTCTCGACATTCGAGCACGAGGTCGATCTGGCCCAGCATCCCTCGCATCTTCGATAGACCTGCTGCATGATGGCCCAGATAGTAGGAGCGTGGGAGGGAGGTCAGCGTGGGGAACTGCGTGCGTGGGATGAAGGTAGTAGCAGCCATCCTGGATCACGAGCTCTTCTCTCACGCGATCAGCCTCTCGACGGCGACATGATGCAGTCGACTTATTACCACGCAAGAATCTGGATCGAAGCATCTCCTATCCAGTAACTTGTCCCGTCTATTATTTCTAGGTCCGAGCGTAGCAATCATGTGATGACGTAAACTTCTGACATGAATTCAGACGAGGAACCATTGACCTCTTGTTCATCTGCAGCTCGCCGACTCGAGCATTGATACCTTTAACCCAGTCGCGTGACTGAAGCGCGTAGCAAGTACTGGTCATGCACGCATCTCACCACCTTCCTTCATCTGGTGGACGAGTAGCTGGTAGGAAGCCGCATGAGAACACTTGAACGGAAAGGACTCGAGAATAGTGGTCGATCTTGGGACACTCGGTCACACTTCTTGGAGCCTTGGTTGGAGTAATGTCGTCTCCACCCTCTTCACAAACAGTACAAAATGATTCTCAGGCTACTGAAGCGCCTCCACTTGACTTGAGCGAGTTGCCACCCATCTTCGTTTCCGCCACTCACTTCGCCCAGGATGACTTGCACAGACTTGAGGATGACCTGGGTGCGGCTGGTGCATGTCTGACATACGATGTGTCTGAGGCACGCATTGTACTGACCAAGGTCTTGAGCAAGAAGCGAATCGCCATTGATTTGCGATCGAAGGGACTCTGGACGGAAGAAGTCATTGTTTCCGCCGCTGGTTCGAATGCTGATCATGCTGATGTCTTTGAACGTTCTCGTAAGGATGAAGGTAGACCAGCTAAGCGCCAGAAGGTCGATTCAGGCCACAGTCAACTCGCAGCCATTGTCATTGACGACGATCAGATTTACTCGGATGACGAGACTGCGTCCTTGACCAAGAAACAGCATAATCTATCAGTTTCGATAGCACAGATCAAGTCGCAAGATGGCAACATCAACGGCCCTAATGGAATTATTAAAGTCGTCAGATTACAATGGTTCGAGGACTCCCAGAAGGCTGGCTACATCAAGAGTCTCCACGACTACATAGTTTATACATGCCGCGATGTTGGGAAGCCAGTATCTTCAAGTCTCGAGCCAGCTTCTCCTGCCAAGCGCAATACTAAGACAACTTCCGCCACAACGCCGACCAAGGTCGCATCGTCAGATCTAGGCTCGTCACCATCCAGCCGCACAGCAATCCTCGACCGAGCGAAAGAAGACGCTACTCAATCCACCTCCCACACCACTGATCGCTTTGGCAAACGTCGATTCGGTCATCAACAAGCTCCCACCACCGAGGCAACATGGGCAGCAGGTCATCACATCAAGAACAAAGCCGCCTACGCCCATCTCCTTACCAAGACAACGACCGAGGATGAGCAAGGCTACTCCAGCGATCTACCCGAGATGCCGAACTGGGTCAAGCAAGGAGTTAAGTACTCTTGCCAACGACAAAGTCCGCTCTCATGTCCAAATGAAGACTTCATGGGGCTGTTGAAGAAGATTAGACTTGCGAGGACATTGACGAATGATGAGATCGGTGTTAGGGCTTACAGTACTAGTATTGCTTCGTTAGCTGCTTATCCGTGCAAGCTTTGCAACCCACGCGAGATCTTGGCACTACCAGGTTGTGATGCGAAGATTGCGAACCTATTCGTCGAGTTTGAGAATACTGGTGCTATCGCCGCTGTGGCGGACTTGGAGTCGGACGAAGATCTGAAGATCTTGAGGCTCTTTTATGAGATCTGGGGTGTGGGTGCTAAGACCGCGAGGGAGTTCTACTTCGATCGTGGCTGGAAGGACTTAGACGATATTGTTGAGTACGGCTGGAGTACACTTAGTCGAGTGCAGCAGATTGGTGTGAAGTATTATGATGAGTTTCTGGATCTGATCCCGAGGCAGGAAGTCGAGGAGATTGCGAGGATCATTCATCGGCATGCTGTCCTTGTCAGGGATGACGGGATCCAGAGTATTCTGGTTGGTGGGTACAGGAAGGGAAAAGCGGCTTGTGGTGATGTGGATATTGTGGTATCGCACCCAGATGAACACCAGACGCTGAACCTGATCAACGATATCGTTGCGAGCCTGGAAGAGGAAGGTTGGGTCACTCATACACTTCTCCTCGCAATGACAAATAGTAAACGCGACCAAGAAACCCTCCCATACAAATCTCGCGAAGGTCCTTCAGGCAGCTACGGCGGTTTTGATAGCCTCGACAAAGCTCTCGTCGTTTGGCAAGATCCTGCCTGGCCCGCAAAAGCATCAGATGAAGCTCACGCAACCTCGACGGGCGAACGCTTGAGGAATCCAAATATCCATCGCCGCGTGGACATCATTATCGCACCCTGGAGGACCGTCGGCTGTGCCGTTGCAGGCTGGAGCGGCGGGACCACTTTCGAGAGGGATTTGAGACGGTATGCGAAGAATGTTCGCGGGTGGAAGTTCGATAGTAGTGGTGTTCGGGATCGCGTACATGGGGAGGTGCTGGATATTGAGGGATTCTATAAGAATGGAGTAAAGGGTAGGGCGAGAACGATGGTGGAGGCTGAGAGGAGAGTGTTCGAGGGCATGGGTCTACCCTTCATTGAGCCGAGTATGAGGAATACTGGATAGGGTAGAGGTTTGGGTTGGATAATTTGTTGCAACTGATCGGGCGTTCCTCTACGAGTACAGTCTTCGTAATCGGTGTGCGAGGCTGTTTCGAAATGTTTGACTCATCTCAAGGCTGCCGCTTATGGTGAAGGTGCGGAATAAGTAGCGTGGCGTAGTAGTAGATTGATATATAGATAGGTTTGGTCCAAGCGTGCGTAGAAATCCTTGAAGCCAAATCTCGTCTGGGCGCCGCCATCTTCGTGGATCCTCTTGCGGCACGGTCGCGAGGTGCCATAATTGTGTGATTTCTCTCGCGAAGAGTCAACAAAACACACTCCGCTATGGTCATGCTTTGTTCTGTTTTGTTGAGCTTTGTATTCTGGACTTCCAGCCAAGCATTGACGATATCGAACACTGCCGAGCATGGTTTCGTCAAGCAGCTCAATCCGAACAAGACCCCAAGCTTCAAAAATACGGTCGTAAACTGTACGGACAATCCTTCTTTCAGATGAGTTCCTTCTCAGTCGGTAGATTTTTGCTGGCGATGGCTTGCCGCAGTCGGGTCTCCTTATTGTGGGCACTGCAAATGACTGCAGCCATCATACGAAGCGAGCGCTGCATATCTCGCATCACATGACTCCGAAATCATCTTAGGCTCCATCAACTGTGTCGAGTATGATGATTTCTGCTCGAGCGTTGGCATTCGATCATATCCAACTCTGGTCGAGTGGGACAGCGACGGAGATGGCCATAACGTGTTCGTAGGTGCTAAAGAGGCGGCAAAGTAAGACCATACCTGCGCACCTGTATATCATGGAGGTGTGCTGACACCATCTCCAAAGACTTCTTTCTCGACTCACAAACGGTACTATACCCGAGAAGACCACTACTCCGATTTCACGACCTGGCCAAGCCGTCTCGCCACCGCCGAAGCCTTCGGAAGAACCGTCGAACAGCGACTTCTACATATCTCGTGATCACTCAAGTGCCTTGGTGAAACTGGACCTGCCCGGAGCACCCTTTCGTTCTGGTCAGATGAGCTCCGTCTTGCTCAACTTCACATTCACGAGCGATGGCCACCATCTGGTTCTCAACGGACGGATCTTCGCACTCACCGTGCCGAACCCATCTGTACCAGCCCGATTGGAAGTACTACAGATTCCATCGAGTGTTTACTTAGCACCGTTTGCCGAAGATTTACATTACCGGGATTCCGTCCTTGGCTCAACCCTCAAAGCGAATCTCTTACTGGATTATGACTTCCGCTTCCAAAATCGTGACGATCCGAATATACGTTACTACAATTACCATCCAGTACTCCATGTCAACATTATCGGATGTCTAGCTCTCGAAGATGATAACTCGCCATACGTGCTTCTCGACGCACCATCGCAGCGGACGGTGGTGATTTCCATGCGCGATCAGAGCGTGACCAACTCTGGAGACCCACGGCGGAACTTCACCATAGTTTCTGTGCAGCTTTTGCCTCGCAGGGCAGACTATCGTGCAACTGAGCCTAGCGATAAGTCTTGCAGCCCGTTCAGCTGGCGATGTGCGGATATTGAGGACCCTCCTTGGTACGAGGTAGTATGGCAAGCTCATTTCGACGAGCTGGGCCGCATTGGCTCGCTGAGATGGAGATTCCTGCGATTCGGATCCTGTGTCAATCACTTTGTCTCTTTGGTTCCGTATCCCGTCTGGATTCTCGTGGCGGTGGGGATCGTGTGGCGCCTGTTTGGGTTGCGGCAAGCAGAAGTTGACACTGAGCCTGATCCTGAGAAGCCGCTATTGTAACGATGTCTGGAAACTAGGAAGAGATCCGAATCGTCGTCTGCATACAGCAAAACTGATGTCTAAGCGGACCCTCGATCTACAAAGTTGGCCCACCGTTTACTGCACATTCCTCGCTTCTGCGAGCATGCTCTACTCATCTCCACCTCGGATCTGAGTCTGCTACACCATACTAAGGGAATGCAACTAGCAGGAGCACAATGATGCAGACTATTGTGACTATGGTGGACAATGAATATGGCCGATCTAGGCACATGCGGTTGGCGAAATCACTTCTTTGTTCGTGGCGCTCAGCTCATTGTGAAACTTCTCGAGGCCAAGCATGCTATCCTTTGCGGAGTCTTCAGACTGTGCTTTAGCCTAACACCATCGCCGGACAGGCTTCAAGTTTGATCATGTCTGAGCTCAGATTCACTTCACGGGATGGCCTCTCCTTTAACCTGCGACTGCCAGAAGGGCTGGCCGACCAGATAGCAGACAGCAGTGCCGACAGCTCGCCCTACAAACCCTCCTTCCAACAGATGGAACGAGTATACCCACCCCTCCCGCCACTCCCTCCACCATCCGCCCGTCGATTCGGCAACCCAACACCAGTAGGACTTGGCGGCTTCCTTCTCGCAAATAGTCCGGCCACCATCATGCTACTTGGCTGGCATGGCGCAGGCGGCGGTACTGGGAACGAGAGCGCGGCAATCGGCACGTTCTTCTATCTTGGCTGCTTACTGGAGATACTATGCGGGATCGGCGAATGGATCAACGGCGAGACGTTCAATGCGGCAGTCTTCTTGATCCTGGGCGGATACTTTGGTGCCGCGGGAGCGGTGCTGGTACCGTTCTACAATGCCATTGGAGGATATGGAAATGATGCAGCTGCCGATGCAGCATACCATGAGTCGTATGCTATGCTACTCATCTTCATGACTATTCTGCTGCTATTTTTTACAATTGCTTCGATCAGACTGGATGTGTGCCATGTCGTACTTTTTGCATGTTTTACTCTTTGCTTCCCCTGCTTAGCGGCGTCCTGCTTCTACATTGCGGATGGCAATGCGGACGCTGCGAAGGCGGCTCGGTTGTGGGGTGCCTCGTTCTCAGCCATTGGGACGGTCATATTATGGTATTTGGTCAGTGGTCGCAGCAGTTCCGATGGGTTTGAGAGTGATGCTGACCCGTGAGCAGTTCCTCGGATCCTTACTTGAAGCCGTCGACTTTCCGTTCTTATTACCCGTCGGGGACCTAAGCAAGCACGTCAAAGGTAGGACAGAATATCTCGGCCGCCGGCGACATAAAAGCACTTTGTCTTGCTAAGACTTGCCACGCTTTCCTGGCTGCAACCGGCAGTAGCTCGTAGTAGTACAGCTTGACCTATGTCGGCCGCATAAATACTCCGACACCCATTGTACAGGACTCCTGCTTGACAATAAGCAAAGCACCACGAGACTCAAAAGGCACGTTGCATACTTCGACGTCATAAGATCAGATCGCCATATGTTGGTACGAGGCCTTGCAACCCAAAGCAACAGTGATCGAAGATAGTCACGCAAGGTCAAAGATTCTATTGATCGAAGCAAGACAACGCAGTACTGGAGATATCGCAAGCACGACAAGGTGGTGAACAAATGAAGGCAAAAGCATCTTTTGATACGATGCGCTTAATCTGTCATAACTCATGCAATTCATGACACATCCAAAGAATGCTCATGATTCAACTGCCTTACGTAGCACACGCTAGTTGGAGCTCTTTCCACCCTTCTTGCCCGCCTCGACCGGGTCGACCTTGCCACCGGCGAACTGGCCATTACCGCCGCCGCTTCCACCGGACGAACCGCCAGAGCTGGAGGTGTCGGCATCCGTGGTGCTGCCTCCCTGCTTGCCGGCTTCAACGGGGTCGACTTTGCCTTGGGCGAATTCTGTGATGGATATTAGTCATGGGTATGCATGAGGCAGATTGGTTGAAGACGTACGGCCGGTGCCTACACGCTGGTCGGGCTGGCCATCCTTGCGGAGACCGTCGTGCTCGGTTGGCTTGTAATCGGACATGTTTGCTGGTTGGTGGTTGGTTGTCTTGTGATTGTTCAATGTGAGAGTTGGTTGGTGTGGGATGAGAAGTAATGCTTGATCGTGAACGAGGACCAGGTACTTATACCCTCTTCTCTCTCTTTCACTTGCCCCAGTCCGTCCAGCCTCACCTCATCATTAGCACGCCTTCGTACGCAATATCGACGTCAAGCATGCGACATCTGACGCCAATGCCAAAGCCAGACGTATCTACCTAGGGCAGATGACCTGTTGCATCGTACCACCGTACATGTCATGACGCAGGAACAGAGCAAGTGAACAATGCTTCCAAGCAGCCACCATCACCCCTTCGACCAAGATCGTCGCCCTGAGATCTGGGATGCAGGTACGATGCGGAAGTGTCCATCGAATTGGAAGAACTTCCTCCTTGCCGTCATGCGAGATCGTGACCCGCCGTGTCGTTTTCGTGATGGAAGTGCATGCAGTTTCCCCGCCAAATCGTGGGTCATTGATTGTGGAGACGGTTGATGTGTCGTCACCGTGACTACACTTTTTGCTTCATGTAAAACCCCTGCGAGGCTATACAGATTCCGGTAGGGTTTGGGGCCCCAAGGCGACAGTGAGATCTGCTTGGTACGATAGTGGTTAGAGTGATCGGGTCATCTCGATCGAAGCGAGTGCTCCAAGCGGTGAGGCGAAGAGATGGAGGAAGATCAGTTGGATCGATCATTTGAGACCAGCCTCGTCAGACGGTCAAGCGCCTGGGAGCACAGTACAAGGGTCATAGACCAGAACAGGAACAACCCGGGGAGGTGAAACGTGGAGAGCAGAGAGCTATTTTTGAGTGTAGACCTTGCTGGATAAGCCGAGTGCAAGAACCACACACCGCAAAAGGCATCTTGTGCGTGCTCATACAGAGCATAAAGCCAAAGTGTGTGAGAGGGGAGTTCAGCCAATATCAATCTGTTTTCACCATTCATCCTCCCAAACATCCAACTGACCATCATCGCCTCCTGGACCTCAGGAGTGACCGTCCATCCTACTAATCCTCATCCTCCTCATCATCATCACTCTCAGCATTCTCCAACCATTCCAAGAACTGCCCAGCACTCTTCCTCACTTTCTTACTGATAGCAATATCCACATACTTCTTACTAGCCTTGCCACCCCAACTCTTCAACGTCTCCTCGGACACGATGTCGTTCTCGTAGATCTTCAGCAAGATCGCACTGACCTGCGCAGTTAGACTCTCATGAACCTCACCCACGAAGCGTTCGATGCCGCCTAGGAAGGCCTTTTCGTGACGGTCGGAGATGGAGGTAAGTTTCTTAAGGAGAGCGGCGCGGGGCTCGATTTCCTTGACGATGTTCTCGGTGAAGATGGTTTGGGCGAGGACGGCAGGGGTGCGGTGTTTGGCTTCGATCCCGAGTTCCTTGGCCTTGAGGTAGATGTCGACGTCCTTGACTTTGGTGACGCCACCTTCCTCCTTAGCTTTCTCCTCGATCCATTTGCCGAACTCGTCGTAGGCGTTGGAACCGCCACCCTCTTCATCATCGATGTTGAGGTTATTGCGCAGTTCATTCGGCAGGTCCTTTTCGGCAGCAACTTGACGAGCTTTGATGGCCTCCTCGGACATGTCCACCTTCCACTCGACCTCTTTCTGCTCTGGCTCGCCGAGCTCCTTGGCCTCGCTTTGGATGCGGCGGGTCATTTCGTCGTCACTGCCGGCGTCGTTGCCTACGTCGCCGTTCTTGTCACCGTGATCGGAGCCACTGTCGCCTGGAGATGGGTGTCCATTGCCATTGGCATCCTCATCGTCGTCAGAGCCGCCCATGCCATTGCGTTCGGCTTCCTTGCGTGCCTTGCGATCAGCCTTTTTCGTGCTCTTGTCCTTCTTGCCCTTCTTCGGTGCGTTCTTCAAGATGAAAGAAGAGAGCTTGTGCCTCAGGTCGGCCTTGTGGATCTGCCCGCAAGCCTTGCAGTCGAGCGTGATCTCGCCGTCCTTGATGTGCACCACAGTCTCGGGATTCTTGCAGCTCTTGCACAAGACGAACTTGCTGATGAAACCGTCGAGGTAGTCCTGGAGCTTGGAGGCTTCGTGCGCACCATTGATGATCCAGCGGTCGTCTTTGGGGTCGATGTTGGTCTGAGCACCGAGTTCGAAGCCAAAGTACTTGATCACGTAGCTGGGTGGGCGGGCGAGCTGGTCGGCAACGTTGGACAAGTTGACGACCACGGTCTTGATGCCGTTACCCTTGCCCTCGATCTTGGATTGGAGACGCTCCATCTTGTAGCGGTAGAAGGGATCCGTGACATCACGGCGAATGTTGACGCTGGCCATGATTGCGGTGTTGCTGGCAGTTCTTGGACTGGTAGGATGTGGTGGCTATGGTGTCGAATTGATTGATTACAACAGATGCTGTATGGTGCGACACGGGTGGAAAGTAGGGGAGATGGCTACTGGAAGCTTGCTGTTGGCTGAGACAGACATGCAGTTAGACATACACCTAGCAAACTTGCTTTGTGTGTATCTGGACGGCGAGTAATGTTGCAGGTGCAGTATCACATGCACTGTTGGATCTGAATACAGAGTAGAGTCCTTGGTAGGTGGGATGATCGTCCAGCATTAGCCGTTGTTTCTTTCGTGCGATTTACTCCTTGGTCTTCTGGTGCGGAATGGCTGCTGCACCAGCGGCGAGGCGACTTGAGGAAGTGGCGGGGAGGACGAATACATAAACTCTGTCCTGGGCTGGCGAGATGCGTCTTATGGGTGAGTTGGGCAGTTGTCCTCGATGGGATGCGAGGGGGTGGAAGGCGTGGAGGGCTCGCGGCGAATTATTCTGGTCGCTGCCTGTGGGGGATGGCAGTGGCGTGGAAATGGACGGCGAGGGGTGCGCTGAGGCAGATAATGGCAGATAATGTGTCGATGTTCAGGTGATATGCAGGTGAGATCTCCCAGGTGACAGATGTGGGCAGGCTGATGAAGACGGATGTCTGTGAGCAGATGACGGAGATGGAAGGCAGAGTCTTTCATAAAGCAGAAGACGGAGTCGGGAAACTTTGTCCCACATCCGGCGCTGTGCTGCTTGCACGTGCTGACACCATACTGTATGTCTTGACTACGATATGTCTTGACTATGATATGTCTTGACCATATCTTGCATGTTCAGATTACCATCTGAAGAGCAGCCTGACGATGCTTGTGAGTCTACGTCCCCAATCTATAAGGCGGTTGCACGTATTCTTCGAGTCATGCTTCTGTATACAGCGTCACGGTGGCGCAAACATGCAGCTATCCTTGGCATGCGCATTTGGACGGATGAGGCAAGCTTCTCGAAGCTCGGCTTTTGAGCCTCAGGTACATAGCTACGAGTAGGCCGTCAAGTGGTAGTCCAGCTAGGATAGTGCAGCATGCGACATGATTGCTGAAGCGTGATAAGCCTCACGTCACGCATTACATCATGTCGGAAGTGTAGGTGTCTGTCCCCCATATCCGCACAACCATACTGACTCGAGCAGCAGCACCGAGACGGAGCGACCTGCAAGCACGAATGGACTAAAGCGACAGTACAGTAGAGACGGGGAAGATGAGGGAGAGCAGGAGCAGGAGCAGGAGCAGGAGAGCAAGCGACAGCGGACATCTCCTGGTAAGAACTCACCAAAGAATAATGTCGGCAGTGTAGACGAGGAGGCAGCAGTGAAAGTGTCCAAGAAAGCAGCTGAAACTGAAGAAAACGCATCTGAACAGCAGCAGCAGCAGCAGCAGCAGTCACAAGATGAAACACCAAAAGAGACGCGTCGGAAGGCAGGCGCGATGGACGAGAAGCAGCGGTCAAAGCGCTTGTTTGGTTCCTTATTGGGCAACCTCAACCGACCGTCTGATCGCGCGAGCCAAAGGCGGCAGGAGATTGAAGCGAGACGCAAGGCTGAGCTTCAACGACAGGATGACGAACGCCTCGAAGAGAAGAACCGGCGGCTCGAACGGCTTGTAGAGCATAGAAGGGAGACTCAGATCACGGTGGACAAGGAGGATGTGAGTCCTAGGCCCCAAGATTATTGCTGCTAGTTTCTGCTCACACCACTCACACAGACCCGCATACGCCATGCTCAGCTACTCAACAACGCAAACTTCCTACAGACTAGCAGTGAGCCGAAGCTTGTGAGTGCATATGCGAAGATACTGCGTCACGATGTCTGTTACTGACCATCACCATAGTACTATCGCCCGTGGGACATGCGTGAGGAGGAAGAAGACCGCATCACTCAGCAGGTCAGAGGAGCCAAGGCTACAATTGCTCGTGAACGAGGAGAGCCCGAACCCGAGTCCACACCTGTAGCTACGTCTTCAGGTGGCAGTGAAGCTGGCCAAACGCGAGGTCAATACGACGACTTGTCCGGAGGCCCGGACGTCGCTGCTAATGATCAGCTGGCAAACGCTAATGCGGAGTCGGAGTTACCACGGCGAGACGGCAGTATGGAGGCAGAGGAGGAGAGGTCAACGAAAGGTGATGAGCCAGATCCGTCTGCGGAAGTTGCTATTAGCCAGCCTGAGACGGATATGCCGGTTCGCGGTGATCACACAGACGGGGACCAGGATGCTGATAGTGATGACAAGTCAATCTCTCTCGTGGCTGATCAGAAGCAGGCCGACGACGACGGGGATCATGTGTTAGAAGGGGAAGAAGACACTGTCATCTACTAGCGCGCGTTTCCTTGGTTGGGAAGACGTGTTCTGAGTCCTGATCTGTGCTGTCGTTGAGGGCCTGAGACATGAGTAGGGCTATGGTGCTCATGTATCGGATATTTTCTGTCGCAGATTCGTAGCATGTATTTCTACCCACCTAGGAAGCAGCAGCCAAGCAGACCCCACAGTAGGTAGTGACCGCCGTCAGCTGTTGACACGAGCCGAGGTCCTACGACCAACCCTCTCGTATACTCATGTATACAACCTCTCTAAGATAGCTCAATCAAGGCAGACACAAACGATGGACAAACTAGATAAGTTGACACCCGACGATAGCCGTATCCGCCATGGCTACGTCAACAGCAATGGGCATAAGTGGCGTACGCTCAAAGTCCCAACCGCCTTCATATGGCAACACCACTTACTGACAGCCTGCAGACTACCTCGACGTCGCAGCCTCTACCCCTGATGAACGAGGCCTTGTAGTCCTGATCCATGGCTTCCCAGACATCTCCCTAGCCTGGCGCTACCAGATCCCTATGCTCTCCGCCTTGGGTCTCCGCTGTATAGCACTCGACTGCATGGGCTACGGTCTTACCGGCACCTCCTCGAACTTGAGAGACTTCGGGTACAAGAACCACGCCGATGCCGTCGCAGCCATTGCAAAAGAGGCTGGAGCTTCCCGCATCATCCTCGGTGGTCACGATTGGGGCGGGCTGGTAGTCTATCGGATCGCGCAGTGGTATCCTGATCTTGTCAGTCATGTCTTTAGTGTGGCTACACCTTTCTCGGCTCCGATGGAGCAGTATGTTAGTACTGAACAGCTTGTCAATGGGCCCTTGCCACAGTTTGGGTATCAGTTGCAATTTGGTAGTGAGGATCACAGGGTGGAGAAGGTTCTTCAGGGGAAGTCACTCATTCGCAAGTTCTTGTCCGGCATGTACGGAGGGAAGTTGGCGAGTGGGAAGACAGTCATGGTGCCCGAGACGGGTGTGGATCTTGAGGCTATGGCGGATGAGAAGGACGAGGTGAAGATGACTGCGCTGTTGAACGACGAGGTGAGTGGTGCTTGACCATCTTGAGATACAAGCTGCTGATATGCAATCAAGGAGCTTGACTACTACGTCGATCAATTCGCGGTCAACGGCGTAGAAGGTCCCTGCAACTGGTACCGCCTTCGCAAAGTCAACTGGGAGGATGAGAAGGCCATGCCCGTTAGCCAACGAGCTGGTATACAGCAACCTGTCCTTTTTGTACAAGCTACTTATGACAGCGTACTGCGACCGGAAATGAGCAAGGGCATGGAGAAGGCTATACCAAATCTGACGAGAGGAGAAGTCCCGAGCAGTCATTGGGCACTTTGGCATAATGGGAACAAGACTAATGAGATAATCAAGGAGTGGTTCGAGGGAGTTGTGTTTGGTGGGAAAAGTAAGCTCTAATTGTGCTGAGTTCGCAAGGCTAGACAGTCTCTACCTTGGCTGCTTGGATCCACTTATCACAACCCTGTACACATTCTTGCCGTACGGCATACAGCTCGTCGATGAACGCTGGCACGAATGTACCTGGTCCTCTGACCTCGTCTCGTGCCGCTGCACGCTCAGCAGCTATCTCGTACATTAGTATACCGCTCAAAGCAGCAAGCAACTTGTCGTCTCGCTCAACAGCTAGCACGGATGCGATGGTTGTGCCCAATGTACACCCGCTGCCCGTGATATCACCAAGTAATGCATGGCCGTTCGAGACGACGAATGTACGTTCACCATCGCTGATGACATCCTTGGTGCCTGTCATGAGTATGATGTTCCTCTCGCGTGCCGCTGTGCCACGAACAAGCTTGATCCTGTCTTCGAGCTCAAGCTGAGATGCACCCGAGTCTACACCGTGCTGCTTGACTCCTTGTGCGCCGGAGACAGTCCTGATCTCGCCTTCGTTGCCTTTGATCACATCAAAGTACCCACCTGCCATCAACGCCTTCACACCCTCTCGCCTTTGAGCAGTTGCACCAGCACCGACTGGATCTAGTAGTACAGGACCACCCACTGCATTGTAGGCTACAAGCGCTTTGAGGTGGTTGCCACGGATCTCAGGGGTTGTGGTGCCCATGTTAATCACTAAACTTCCACCTAGAGCGGCGAGATCCCCGGCTTCGAGGCCGTTGTTGGACATTATTGGACTGCTGCCGATGGCCAGAGCGACATTGGCAGCGAAGTTCTGGACGACGAGGTTCGTCATGTTGTGGCAGAGTGGCTTACGTTCTGCCATGCGTTTGATGGTGTTTGGAGCGCGGGCAATGATGTCTGAGGGTGATAAGTTTGTTTTGGCGGTCGTGCCGGCGAAGGCTGGTGGTTCTTTGACGAGGCGGCGGAGATCCGAGCCTGCGCTCTTTGCGTCGTCTGCTGCTACGATTGCGGAGACTACGGCGATACCATCTAGCTTCTTGGCAGGCGAAGCAGATTGGTAGAGGATGCGTTGGGCGTTGCTGGCATTGATACCGCCGATAGCCACTGTCTTGACATTGCCCAGCCCTTCCTCAGACAGCTTGGCCAGGATGGTCTGAACACCACTGGTGCCAATGATACTCTTGGTATTCTCCTTTGTAGGGGTGGCATATACAGTACCGATGCCAAGGTAGTCTGCACCATCTCGGGCTGCCGTCAGTGCTTCTTCCAGGCTGTTGGCAGTCACACCTATGATAGCATCAGGTCCGAGAATGTGTCGAGCAGATTTGAGGTCCAGGTCATCCTGGCCAACATGGACGCCTTCCACGCCAGCAGCTAGAGCCACATCCACGCGGTCGTTGATCAAGAGCGGAACTCCCGCAGGCTTGGTCACGGCATGAAGGTCCTTTGCGATCCGCACGAGCTCGGCTGTCTCGGAGTTCTTGTCGCGTAGCTGGACGATGGTCACGCCGCCGCCAACAGCTGCTTTCACTACTTCTACCAGATCTTTTTCGCCAAGGATGGTGGGTGTTGAGTCCGTGACGAGGTATAGCGAGTAGTCTACGTTCTTGGGGGTCATCGTGTGCTTGGCAAGATGTGAGACAGTAGCGAATGTGTTCCGAGAGAAATATGACAATGTGCTTCGCCTACGTTACCTTTGATTCGACTGACATGCATCAGGATTTCTCGGTGATGTCAGTGCCACGCAGCACGGTGGACGCAAGATTTCTCAGTGGTATACGAGGTTGCTGTCGATCCTCCAGAGGTACTGTATGATAGGTTTCTTGGCGCGGCTTCTATCGATTTGTGCACAAGTTGATCATCGATGCTGTGAGCTCCTTCACGAAGCCCGAGTAGTAGTAGTGTGCTTGAGGTTTGTCAAAGGACAGAGGATTGCGCAGGAAAGATCTAGGGCTGTCCCGAACCTCGCCGATTGGAAGAAGACCGTCCACTCCCACTGCGAACGAGGCTGTGCGCCACCCGGATCAAGTCCCTCTACTTTCTCCTTTTACACATCTTCGCCCAGCTCAAGGGTTTACGGCCAAACCGCTAGATTTTGCTACGGCGGCGATAATCGTCCCTTCTGTAAAGACACCAAGAATGTATTCACGGCTCGTGAAGGTTTGGGGAGTCACATGGTCATCTGCAGAGGCATTGTTTCTCGGCTCATGCTATTGTGACTGATAGTGAGACCAGACGGTCATCGAAGCTGTTTTGCAAGTTACTGCTGATGCCGGACGTACACATGTTCGTCGCAAGTACTGGACTCGCTGCCTCTGAAAAGATCGACTAGATACACCATACCACGACCGGCGCGAAGCAGAGGTTCCGTAGACATATATACCACTAACGAGGGGTGACGGCTTACAGACGTGACAGTGCTACGATTTGGGAGGTGCAATGCAAAGCGCTGATCTGGACAAGCTGTTCTAGATACTATTTCTGCGTTTCCACGGGTAGTACTGCAGCTAATCGTACGCGTAAATCTTATGCGACACCAGCTCTCAACAAGCCGTGAATAAGACACAGCTCGCTTCGGTCGTTGACAGACCGACTAGATATCCGCCGAGCCCTGACTCCAGCGCAGTCTGCAGTCCCATCTTTGTGACATGCTCGCCCCCCCCAGTCTGCTCCCACTTCATCACCGCCCGAAGCGTGCTTCCGGCTTCGTAGCCATCCATCGTACTGTTCGCGCTTCGTCCACTACTGATGTTGACCATGACCTCCTTGGAGACTATGTCGTATGAGAAGTTCTCGATAGTGCCAGCATCGATAGTGACGTACAAACTTGTCGGAGCGACGAAAATTCGTTGTCGAACCGAGTCTCTTGGTTCCACGATTATAAGGGTACTGTTGTTGGTTGAAGAGACTTTACCCCCGAAACTGACATACCCGAAGATCGGATGGTTGACTAGGTAGGTGGCGGCGCCGAGGACGTGGCCGAGAAAGTTTGGGCCGTAGTCGCCGCTACATCGCTGTTAGCTTATGAGCACGTCTGAGCAGGGCAGACACACTCACCTATACGCATCCCAGTGCATCGTATCAGGATAACTATGGAACGCCATTGAACCGAACCCCTCGGCATCTATATTCGTCAGTGGGCCTGAATTACCTCCATAACCTACTCGTAACTGGTACAGCGCATCTAGGCCTTGCGGATCTGCAGAAGCTCGATAGTCAGCCAAAATTGGCAGAGCGTTCAGGCCGGATCCGTAGTGATGAATTTGCCGCTCTATGCGCGCCAATTGGATCGATCCAGCGTAGAGAAAATCCCAGTATCGACGTGCGTTGCCGTTCCAGCCCCAGTGTGGTACGGTCGGCATGTAGCCGCGGATGGCGTTCACGGTCTTCCGTGTTGTCGCGGTGTCGTTGAAGTAGGCGGACCAAAAGTACACACCCTCCTCTCCCGTACTGTCCCATGCCATTTCGGAACCGTAGGGATCTGCTTCCGAGGCCCAGATTTGTTGCCGTCCACGCATGGTCTGTTCCATCTCCGCTGCTTCCATGGTGTAGTTCTCTGCATATAAGTCAGAGAGCAGCTCACCCCAGACCCATTCGCCCATTAAGCCTACGTTGGCGTAGTCGGTCAAGGGTGTGCCGTCCGTGGCATTGGAGAGTGCGTAGTGGACTGTGTGATAGGCCTGTAGAAGATACCATATTGCATTTCGTTGGGTCAAGATACCGGGAACTGTACGACCGGCGCGGTAAAGAGACCAGTAAAGCGCACTGACGTGGACGTAGTCGTAGGTTCGCCAGGTCATGTACGCCTCACTTTTGTTCCACGTCTCGCCTGGTACGGCTGTCCAATTGAATTCGGGGCTGTAGATGTAATCGGGTACCAGGTCGGGTTGGTAGTAGAATATGCTGCGTCGTACCGCGTAGGTGTCGTTGCCTTCTGAGATCTGGAGCGTACGCCATACAACATCGCGGACCATTGTCTCTAGCTTAGCTACTTCTGATGCAGCTGGCGCTACCGCCTGTTTCATCCCGGCTGCTAGGAATGAGCCGGCGCCACCCTCATCGCTCACACCTGCTATCCAAGTACGGTTGTCTTGTAGCACGTAATCATTGGTGGAGCGGTCATAGGTGATCACGCTGTTGCCACGGCCGAAGGGATCGGAAGTGTTGGTGTACCATTGCTCATTAGTCAAGAAATCACCGAGCTCAGAAAGTACAGTTGGGCTGGAATGGGCGATCCAGTAGTGGACGGTCTGTATCCTATCATCTGCGTACGTGAGTGTTACTCGAGCGCGGCCAAATGCTGAGGTGGAAGCACTGATATCGTATCCCGTCCAGGATTCTCCATACGTGCCCCCTGAGGTGAGGGTCAGCGCTCCCGCTGGCTCAACTGTGATGTTGTTGATCGCATGCGATGAGTTGACAAATAGCCTGGCTGGCAAATCCTGAGGGATCACATAACCTGGAACACCCACAGTGACCGGCAACCCCGCAGTGGAAAGTACGGTATCGATGTCTTGCACTTGATCCGCGACCGAAAACCGAAGACCAAGAGTGATGTTTCCTCCAGATGCAAGGATAGTAGAGCTGGGTGGATTCCATGGCTCCGTCGTATTCCACTCGTTCTCGGCATATGCGAGGCTGTAGACTTGCCAAGCGTAGTTGCCTTCGTAGGTTTGGATCTGATATCCCAAAAATGTATCATCAGGCTCAGGCAGGAATCGCCACGCTTCGAACTTCGAGTCTTGATTCAGTGGTGTAATCACGAGATTGGGACCGGTACCACTGAGTGCCGTCACTTGAACGTAGCCTGCTCCTAGGCCGATGTAAGGGTCGATCAATGAGCATCTCTGCGTGACCTCGACGGCTGTACGATTGGAGAAGATGTTGTTGAATACGATGGGGATGCCCACGCTACCTAATTCGATACTTTCTGCCCCGGTGTTATCGATGGTGAAGGATAGTGTGAGATCACCATCCTGCTGCGACCACGATCTTGTGACCTTGATCCCCTTGGCTAATCCAGGCAGCTGATTGATGAGATCCGTGGTGAGTAGCCCGGTCGTTGAAGCTTGACCATCCGTTCCATTTTGTCGAATGGCAGCAGTGTCTGCATCCGTCCAGTCGCTTTCGCCAAGAGCACGATAACGCAAGGTCAGATCGCCAGTGTGGTACTGCCCAGCACCGTCCCGATAGTGGTAGAAGTCCGACGGGCTGTAATCGAATGAAAGATTGCTGGTCGGTCTCAACGACTCAAGGACTCCAGATCCCGCTGCGAGGACTCCCTTGAAATTGGCGACGCTGAAGTTCGTCTGCGCTCTAGTAGTCGACGCAAAGATCCCGACGGTTATCGCTAGCGAGCGAAGACTGCGGTACATTGTTCGATGGTCTATGTCCAGTGCGAAGGACGTGCAGAATGGAACGAAGGCAACGGTCGAGAAAACATGGCTCACCTTATGATCGAGCTAAGTCAACTTCCATATGCGCATCTTGCGCTGCGCGGAGAGAGATCTCCTCAATTCAAAAATCTATCATGATGATCACTCGCATTTCTCCACGAGTGAAAGGAGACGGGGAAGGAAGGATGAAATGAGCAGCACATCTGCTCCGGGGATGTAGAAGAAACTTTGCTAAACGTGCGGAAAGTTGTAGTCTACATCGCGTGCGGGGACTGAGGGGACGCTGTGTTTTCTGTTTTCTAACGTGGAAATTGCCCTAATGTCAAGACTGCGAAAACAACTACGTAGTCCTTGGGCTACCCAAAATCAATCTACGGATAAGAGGAAGATACTATGAGAAATTGACTATGTTACATTTCAGTGTTAGACTACAAGGAAATAGTTTAGGTAAAGGTGCCGTCTGCATTGCAAGTGACGCCCTCGCAGTCCTGCCAGTTCTCAATGAAGTCGCAAGTCCATGAGTCAGGTTTGGTCGAGTCGCCACCAGTGTAAGTGGTGCGGTATGGGTAGCGGCAGTGGCGGCGCTCGAATTCGATGCCCATGGAAGGGGTGTCATACCAGAACTTGGTGCCAAGAAGCGAGTCCGGTGCAGCACCGCTCTCAACCCAGTCCACGAGGTTGGTCACGATGTTGTCGGTGGCTGGCGCAGCTAGACCACTTTGACCAAACATCCACGCACCGGCACCAGAGATGCCGCCGACACCACAGTGGGCCATTCCGGAAATGCGGTAGAAACGCATGAAGTTATCAATCTCGGTATTCGAAAGACCCATGGTTGCTGCGACCTTCTGGTAGTAACGTTGCGAGTTTGTGCCCGAAGTCATAGGGTCCGCCATGCCGTGGTACATCATCAGCTTCTTGCCCGCGCCGGAAAAGCCAGACAAGTCGCCGTTGAAAGCGGACGGGTTTCCGTGCAAGTTATCGAGCTGATCTGCGCGGTTCCAGTCGGCGGGACCAATGTTGAGAATGTTGAAGCTGGAGTCATTGTACACGGCTCCGCGGAAGAAATCCTGAGCGATACCCTGGATAGAACCGGACAGGAGGCCCAGTCGGAAGGCGTCTACTTGAGCGCCGTAGAGGAGGGCCGGATAGATAAGGTTGTTGCCATTGTAAAGAGGCTTGAACACTTGTTCAACCGTGTCGATTTGGGTCGCCGTCAGACAACCAGAGGTGGTGGCGCCGCACACAGGGATGGCAGAGACATTAAACTGGCAAAGTGTAGGGTCCTCCAGGATGCCGTCAGCAACGCCATCAAGCGGCTCATCGCACTGCGCAAGGATGTAGGTCTGAACGGTGGTCCAGTCATTGATGGAGAGGAAGGTATCGTTACCCGTGGCACCAGTAATCTGGCGGAAATGAGCAGACCAGTCCTGAAGATGGTTGAAGTCGTTGGCGGATGAGCCGGAGATGATACCGTCAAAATCGTTGGGAAACTTCTGCGCAGACTGTAGACCTTGGGCGCCTCCCGCAGAGCAGCCAATGTAGTAAGAGTAATCAGCCGCCTTACTATAGAACTGGTTCACAAGTTGCTTGCCGATGTCGACCGACGCATGGCGCGCACGCCAAGCCCAGTCAACGACAGCCTCGTTGTTGTTCATTGTCCACGTGCCATCGAACGAAGAGCCGTTGTGGCCGGCATTGTCGCCTATGGCGGCGAAGCCCATACCGGAGACGTATTGCATATCGACGTAGTGGACGCACCCATTCAAGCCACCATTATCTGTGCTCATGGTTCGGCCGTTCCAAGAAGACGAGTTCGCGTTTGGTAGCCAGACCTCCATGTACGTGTTGGCAGTTCCGCTGGTTTTGATATTAAGTGTCACCTGGCAGACATCGATCTCAGGTGTGAAAGAAGCTGCACAACCCACGCTGGACTGGCCACTTGGAGTGTTGACAAGGGTACCGGCCTTCAATTGAGTGCAGGTCTCCGGAGTGACGTCCCAGTCGTTGAACTTCGTAAGGGTGGAGCAGAGAGAAGAGCAGTCGGTCAGGTTTGCAGCCGCAGTGGAAGACGCCTTCGCCGAACTTGAAATTGAAGAAGTAGCGTTGGCGGTAGCGGTGCTTGAAATCGAGGCCGAAACTGCGGTGCCTAATGAAGAGCTCTGAATAGAGGTCTTGGAGACGAAACCGGAAGATGCAGCAGAGCCAGTCGGGTAGCTGCGGGTAGTGCTGTTGGCGAAGCCATATGGAGCAGAGGAGCTGCTGCCTGCCTCACCGTTTACGGACGAGGCGGAACCGCTGCTAGACGACACAGCCATGCTAGTTGAGGCGGGCTGACTCGGAATGGTGCCACTGCCAGCATACGTCTCGGTGCAGGTGTCGACACCTGCGCTGGAAGCCGCGCCGGAATTGGCAGGAGCGGATTGCCCAGCAGTAACGATGATGGTCACAGTAGACGCGGCAGTCGACGTGGAAGCTGGAGGCAGAGGAGCATAGTAGTCTGGGGTCTTCGTGGATGCGACAGAGGCAGAACCCGCACCAGAAGCGACAGAAGAGGCACCACCGGGGCCGTTGATAGCGGCAGAGCCGTAGGAGGAAGCACCAGCATTAGAAGCAGCCGCGGAGCCGTAAGCGGATGACGCAGCAGGAGCGAGAGTGTTGGTAACGTAGATGGTGCTAACGACAGTCGAGTATTGGTTGGTGATTGTGGTCACTTGCGTGGAAACGGATGAGGGTGTGCCCTGCTGGTAGGTGGAGGGAGAAGCACCTCCTGCACTTCCAGCGCCAGAAGTAGCGGCAGAAGCTTGAGAAACATGGCTAGAACCCTGGCCGTTCGAAGGCTGAATGGAACCGTAGCCTGTCGCGGAGGCAGAGCCTTCCCAAGGGGAGGTCGCAGAACCGCTGTTCAGACCACCGTTTCCATTGATGTCGCAACTGCTGCCTGCATCGGCAAGTTTTTGACGCAGCTCCTGGATCTCCTTTTGCAACTGCGAGATAACCTGATGATTGCCAGAACTAGTGCTGTTGGTGCCGTTTGTAGAATTGTAGCCGAAAGAATGGGCGCCAGCAAGGCCAGAAAGGAAAAGAGCAGCGAGTGATGCGTCGACACGCATGGTCGCAGGCGAGAAAGGATCAAAAGGGAAAAATAAGAGAAACTGTGCGTAGACAGACGAGCAGCAGGGAAACAGAAGCGAGAGTGCAGAAGGGAACACGAATATACAACACCAATAATGATTCTACACACCTGAGATGCTTGGCAATGAAAGCGATGAGTTTACGGAGTGTCGCATTTGGCGTGTTGGCATCGCGAGGGAGACTCCACTCCGAGGAGGAAGCGCGCGGAACAGTCGTCCTAGAGTTGAGTACGAGTACGGGTTGGAAAAGCTAGACTGATTCGGTCCTTCAGGTCGGTGGAGCATTGCTGGGATGTTGGATGAATGACACGAAGGCGATCTAGTGTCGGAGGTGTCGGAGGCGTGGAATTGGATATTTTAAACTGATCTGCCCGCTGAGCCGCAACGGTTCCTGTGTTCCTGCGTCAGAACACGGCGCCTCCCCTGCTCGAGACGAAGCTTAACTTTGCCGAGTCCAATTTTTCCACGCGGTCAGCTGTCTCATTCGTCGCATCGCGCCCCAGTCCGTACCTCCTATGTGCTCATCCTATTCCAGGCCGCGTCTACGGCCGCATCCACCAGGCCCACGTTGAAAACCTTTGGCCAGCTTTTTCGCTTGGCTTTCATCACTCGGCAAGACAGTAATAATACGAGCTGGTTCGCAAGGTTCATTGACACAGGGCGCGCTCCACTGATTCTCGTAAGTATAGGAAACTGTCAATGGTAGACTGAGAGTAGCGCCTATGCTAGGAGAAAGAAGTCAGGGGGGGGGCAGATCAACTGCCAAGGTCGCCTCACAAGGCAGCCTCAATAATCACCATCATTTTGTTTTGTTTGTTCCTCGCCTTCCTCCAGCGAATTCCTCTTGCCTCTCTCCATACCTTTGGTTGTCAACCGCACGATGCATCTTCAGTCACTTCTTCTGACCCTCGCACCAGCGTTGGTGCTGGGTCAGGGTACTGCAGCGCCTAGCATTGGAGCTTTCGGGAACAGCAGCTATGCCTTGGAGCAGGAGCACTATATCGCGCAGCTACGTGAAGAAGTGCACTCCCTGAAGGACGAGCTCGAAAAGCCATGCGAGACTCCTACTGGTTCCAACGCCGTCACCCGTGCTTCAGGCTCAGCGCCGGCGACGTACACAGCAGCCTGGGATACTGCTTTCGATTCTGGGAGCATCTCCCGTGGGACGCCGACTGCCGTACGCTCATACCCGGCCGCCTCATCTGACGGTACCGCCAGCATTATTCTCTCCGGCCCAAGCGGCCAGTCTTCGCTTGCTCTCTCGTCGGTAGCTGCATCCGCTAGCACGCCTTACCCATCCGCTTCTGGCACGAACGGATCTGCAATTGCCACTGCTTCTGGACGTGTGTTGAGCAGCGGAGTCTCCACAACGAGTGCGACCTCAAGCACGGCCGCATCCTCCATGACGAGCTCGTCATCCTCGTCAAGCACCTCGGTCTCGTCTTCCTACGTGCCTTCGCTGTCAGACTTCACCGTCGCTCAGATCGAGTCGGGCGAGGCATGGAAGAACATCAGTGAGCTAGCGATGTCACGCATGCAAGCTCGCCAGACCAACGGCAGCTGTACGCCGGAGAACGCGCGCGTTCGTACCGAGTTCAGGAAGATGTCCAACGCTCAGCGAAAATCTTACACGGATGCGATTACTTGTCTGCACAACAACCCTCCTCGGTACGTGGAGGCTGCCAGTGACACTTATCCCGGTGTGTTGAACCGCTACGATGAGTACGTTGCCACCCACATCAATTTGACCTACAACATCCACGGAACTGCGGACTTCCTCGCATGGCACCGCAACATGATCCACCAGTACGAGACTGATCTCATCGAGGTCTGTGGCTACTCTGGCAACCTCCCCTACTGGGATTGGGCACAGGACGCCGCTGCCGTCGACCAGAGCGAGCTCTTCAATGGCGATGAGTTCTCTATGGGCAGCAATGGTGTCTACATCCCTGACCGCAACGGTACCTTCCTCGGTCTGATGGGCTTCACCTTCCCGCCTGGTACCGGCGGCGGCTGCGTGCACAGCGGTCCATTCAGCGAGAACTTCAATACCTCTCTTGGTCCCCTTGATTCACCCTACGGCAACAACGTTGCCAATCAGTACGACCTCAACTCCCGTTGCCTCGTCCGCGACTTGAACTCTTGGTTCTCTAGCCAGTTCAACACCTACACCAATGTCACCGACCTTGTGCTCGGCGAGACCCAGGTTGAGTACTTCCAGTCTCTCATGCAGGGCTTCTTGGGCGACAACAAGCTCGGCATACACGGCGGTGGGCACTGGCTCGGTGGTGGACCTTCGCAGCTCGAAGACTTCCACTCCAGCCCCAACGATCCCATCTTCTTCCTGCATCACGCTATGATCGACCGCATCTGGACGGTCTGGCAATACCTCGACATCGAGAACAGGCTGGACGAGATCTATGGCACGCACACCCTGCAGAATAGCCCAGCGAGCGCGGACATGACGCTGCAGGATAACGTGGTATTTGGCCTTGTAGGCGAGAACGAGGTGCTGAGCTCGCTTATGGATACGTATGGTGGGCGCTTCTGCTACCGTTACGAGTAGAACTGCGACGTATAAAGTACGAATTGAAGGCGTTCGGAAGGACGTGTATTATAGTAGAAGGTATAAATGTAAATGTCTGGGAGCCCGATGTTCGCCATTCAGCCGTCGTCTGGCCCCTGTCTGCCGTCTAGGCTCTTAAGCAATAGACAGGGCTACTTGTCTGCGAAGGGACCGTGTTATACGACTGGAACATTTGCGTGGGTGGAATCGCACCTCCGAGGCGTTGTGGAGTCGGCCGCAGTTGCCGGGCGCCTGGTGTCCAGCTTCCAGTTGAGGGGTGTACAATACCAAGAAGCAGCAGGCGCATGAAGTTTTATTTCATCCACACATTGCTCACCTGGTGAAATTGAAATCATGTTCTTCGCCTAGAATACCTTCCGAGAGTGCATACTCACGTATGCGCAATCTGTCAGCGTATTAGTGGACTTAGACAAGCACTGCGCAATCAAGTGATCAAACTTTCCATTGCAGAGTCTCGATGCAGATCTACGTCTTCTCTAGCAGTACAGCGGCTGCAAGCACTGATTTATAGATGCTGCTTCCCTGTACGCAGCGTTTATACACCTGTATGCTCTTGAAGTAACATGCGTCTAGGTGACGGTGTCAGCAGACGCTGGCCCAGCGTCTCGCTGCATTTTATAGTATTTCCAAAGGGTTCATGATCCCGGAGCCCCGAATGGGGTCAATGAGGTCAAGATCAAGAATATTTTCACGCAGGTCAATAATGGGGCCTCGCACAGCTTGCCAAAGTGCAGCAATCATTGAAAAGTGAAGCTCATCGCCTGACACATGAGCATTCGAGTTCGTTACATCGGTGTCGATCCAAGGGTACGCACACCGTTTCTTTGGGTTGCAGCAGCCTGCAAAGCAGCAACTCGACGCAGAAGCTAGAGTGATCTACATTGCAAAGATTACGTCCGTCATCCTTTGGCCCACAACAATTTTTCGAGCTCGAACAGCTTGCGCTCTTCACGCTCAGGAACGGCGAGCTAGTCGATTACGACAATGGACTTTCCGCATTGCTTAGCGAAGCAATCACTATCGTAGCAGCCACTACACGAGCTGCAGGCGGTGGACTGCTCGCTAAGTCTTTCCAGGGCAGTGCGAATACAGACGGCTATGAAAGGCTATTTTTCGCGCCCCCTTGTCTATAACCACCCACAGACTCGCGGTATCGTTGTATCATCTTCAGGTTGTGCACTTTATACTCGGCTGGTGATCCGATGAGGGACTGTGAGCTCGCTGCATATCATAGTGGCCATGCTTCTTCTGTTTCTTCCTCCTCTACCAGCGTTGTCGTTGCTGCCTCGTTGGATCTCGTGGAATGCTTTACGTTGAAGTAGCCTCGCTGGTAGATGCGGCTCCGCAAATGCATGCGTGTGATGAAGCGTGATGTTCGCGTTCCATTCCGCGACGGTACCGAGCGACTGGGGCTGATGGGAAAGGGTCCGCTCAGGTATCTACGGAAGAAGGCACGAAATGCGGGCAGTGATGCATAGACTGTTCCAAGCTGGAGTTCCAGCTGGGAAGCTACGGAGCTGTTGAAGAACATCCAGCTGATAGCTGAGTTTTGGCCGACTTCTGAGCCAAACGTCAGTAATTGACGGATGTAGGAGTAGCCGTGCAGCCTACCCCAAAGAAAGTACGTTCTCACGATACTCGCAGCTACCACAATCGCGGCTGATGAGAAGTGGAACCTTAGGGCTGCCTCCTGCCTGGCTGGAAGCTTGATGTGTCTGGTGATGACGCATGGTAGGACGATCGAGTACACATCGCTAATCATCGCAAGTATACCGGCCAGGATGCTAACGATGGTAGTGACAACACACTTGTAGGATTGAGTGAGGTTTGGGTCGAAAGACTTCCAGTACGCTTCTGTTGGGTTGCAGTTGAAAAGTAGGACGAGAACGAAGGCGATCGTGAATGCTGCTGTGAACATCATAGCGCCAATGACTGACAACCACCAACGCCGGCTGACAGGGTTATTCACAAGTCGGTGGTAGAACAGGAGTACTGAGATCTTGGTGCAAGCTCCCGTGACCAAGAAAGCGAGCTGAGCGATCCAGCTGAGTTCGACGATAGGCTCGAAGCCAGTCAGTGGTATGTCCCAGATGTGCCTTCCTATGTGGGCGGAGGTGGAGAAGAGTATGCTAATAATGGTGAACACGGTTGCAGCCAGCCATGCACCAAGCATGAGGACCTATGTAATCAGCCCTGACCAACCAAACGTAATCTGCATTTTCGAGCAACGCACATCATCCAGGCCGAATGTACCGGCCTGCTTTGTTACTCGCAACCACATACGCAAACCGACCATCAACGTCCTCACTCCATAAAGACTTCCGGCGTACGCAGGTAGCCATGTTCGCTCGACGGGGTCATCGTAATTGCTAAGGCGAAAGTAAGTTAAATGACCCGAGCATTGACAATGTATGCCACCACATGACCAGACAGCCCAGAGTTCAGATCCTTAAATGAACGACGGGAGACTTACTACCGAGAGAAGTCATCGTCCCATTCGCCTCTTGATAAGCAGTATGCAAGTCTATTTCCTTAGTCGAAACGTTGCATGTTGCCTACGAGTCGCTCCTAATCCCACCCAAGAAAAGCCCGAGCCACACGAAAAGCATCTAAACAGTTCGAGCACTTAGTCCAACACCCTTCGGCGGGCAGTCGATTGGATCATCAAAAGGGAGCGCAGAAAGGGCAAGCGTTTTTACACGGGTGAGGTGGGAAGACTTATGGGTGCCAGCGGAGAGCTTGAGCACGAAACTCCTAATCACTCGGCGTAAGGCCATGGTCATAAATAAAGGAGATTCGCTCTCATGCGACGATCGTATTGGCGACACTCACTGTGCTCGTCGTTTGGTGAGCGTAGCGAGCCGCGCTCACTTGCCTCACTCCGCACGTGACCTGGGGTGAGCACTAGAGGTTTCTGCTACCTGCACGTGACCCTGGTTTGAGCCTCTCCGCAGAGGGCCATGACATAAAGATTTAGGTAAAAGACTACGAGCTATCAAAAGAGACAGCTCGAGGGTAAGCCAGCGCCGTTCTCCAGCTACTGCAGGCAATTACTAGCCGAGGTAGCAGACCTCTTCCGGTTGGCGAACAGGCATTATGTCTGAATAAGTCACTAATTGTTAGTCAGCCGTTCTGCGTGGAGGTACGGGCTCAGATTCAGTCCGTTTTCTCTTCAGCTGCCGTTCTGTCCACTCTCTGCTCTAACCGTGTCCTCATAGAATCAAAGGGTAAACCGCAGGAAGACTTAGGCCCGCATGTGGTTGCGATATATGACGGCCTTGAGGTAATCCCCGACTTCAGACTGCGAGGCCCTCTAGCTCGCAATTCATCTCTCAATAGACCCGAGCACTACCTCCCGCCGCCAATCTCAAGGAGTGAGGAGAAGATCGTATCCGACAATTAACGCCCTTACGGTTGTCTTCAGGAGGCACAGGCACCAGAGGTTTTAGAGCCTGCGACACACGAAGTGAAAGTAGAAGAAGATGTGGTTGGCCAGGTGAACAAGAGAGCACGAAAATGCGGACTGAACAGAAGTCCTTTCATTTGGCTCGTCGTACCCACTGTGGCGATTATCATGATCGCTGCAATTCTGGGTGGGATGCTGGGCAGCGTTTTCCGCAGGAAAAATATGCAGCAGTAAGCCTTCCAAATCGTCTTTGAAGCCGTGATTTTGCAAGAAGGACTTACGGTCACATAGAGCAACGCTGCCCAATATTTCGACTTCTGGGCCAACCTTCCTACAGACTCAAGCAATGGATCAAACGGGCCTTGCGCTCCAAGTCCGGCGGGAGGCTCTACCTTATACTCCTACTATGTAGACATCGATGGCGCTGTTTTGGAGAACCAGTGGGAAAATGAGTTGTAGTTAACCTCGGGTCATAACATTTCCAACACACACGTGGTCACCAACGACGTGGTAAGTAATTCTCCCTTAATGGCAATATCGTATACGATGAACTCCACGACAGTAGTAAGTCGCAATTCTGGTTTGGGATAACCTTGCTTAACGGGTTTTCTAGCGTCAGCTCTTCTTCTTCGACGGCATTGGTTTGGTAACAACCGTAAATACTACTAGTGGCAGTACTTGGTCGGAACCATACTATGTGCTGCCGAACGCGACCTTCCTGCCCAATACATTGGCGCTTGCTGCGATCGCAGATACACAAGATATTGGGCTGAATGGTATTCGTCTGTAGTACGGTAAGAGAGGTATACATTTCGATGTTTTCGCCGCTGATCTCTCAGGCTCCACAAGCGGCGTTATTCAAGAATTGGGCGTTAACTTTCTGGAGCAAACGGGGCTACCATTCTGGCATACCATGACCTTATTCCCCCAAAGCGATCCAAGCACTAGCGTTGCTTGCGTGCTGGTAGATACTACGAATCATGTCTACATGCGGAACTTGTCAACAAGCGTACTGCAGCACTGGCAACGGGACTATGCGAATCCGGACATAGCTTCTTAGCAGTCGAGTATGCAATAGTCTACCTTGAAATGGGGCCGCCCTAACTCGTAACAGGAGCTACAACACTACCAAACGAAAGCATTGTCAAAGGAGCCGATATCGCAGCGACAACCGATAGTGTCAGCACGGACTATATTTTCTACCAGAACACTAACAACCAGACTGTACGTGCTTTATACTATAGTGAGAATATTATCGGCTTCGTATCAGACCTGGATTTGCTAAATGTAGCTTCTCTAGGCTACAAACTATCGGCAAAGTAGTCCTTAGGCTCAAGTCTAGGCGCTGTAGCGCTGACTCAGAATAGCACTAACCCGACCGAACTGCTGTACGCTCTTATAACTCGCAACGGGCAAGCAGAAGGTGGTACATCTTACACTAGTCCTTGATAGGTCTCTTTGATAGAGAACCGTATCTTGTTGTAACCCGACGGTGTTGGAGGTCTTTCGAATAGATTTTGGAGTTATAAAGTCCTGGATTATTGCAGCTCGATTTTTAGTAAGTAAGAATACCGCGGTACCGACTGTTTACAAATCCAACCCTTACGACTGATTGCCCTCTCTAGCCACGACACCAGCGCACCATATGTGTTACATACACGATGAGGAGGCTCCTCAATTGATACTTTGAAGAGGTAGAGATCGCCTGCAATTAACGCGGCTAGGATACCCTGTAGTCCTACGCTCTTAGAGCCATCCCAGGAGACTCTTTGCCTGATAGGGGAAGGACTTGGGGCTCGAAAGAAAGTATCTAGGTTAAGTGACCACGAAGCTTAGAGAGTCTAGTGAAACAATCTCAATTGAAGCTTCCTGTAGCTTGTAGTCTACCTTGTCTACTATGTAGTACGAAGACCGGCCAAATTCTCCTTGAGTTTAACATAAACTTGATATATCAAGGTCTCGGACCTTATATATCAGTTCCGCTTGCTTAACAAGGAAAATGAGAACCAGGAACAAGTCTGGGAAGGCTCGAAGGTGGTGATCCTGTGAGAAGATACTCCGCACGTGCTGTAAAGCTACTATCCCAGGCGCTCGCGAGGCCGAAGCTGCGAAGTCGACGGCAGCTTGACGTGCCGTTGCACACATACATCGACTGCTATACAGTCAAGTAACCGTATTCGACTAACATTACCTCGCTGAACAAGCGTGCGATTTGGGAACCGACTCTCACGTGTAAGCGCCAACAGTTTGCAACAGACGAATCCCGATTTATGGTTGTCGCGACGCCACATGAGCTTGCAATATTGGACAACTAGACGCGATGATGCACCTCCATGGAAGAATGCAAGTATCTATACGCCGATCGGTCGTTCATATCGAAGCGAGTAGAACACTACATTCCCTTATCAAATATAACCCGGCCACGAAGTCGAAGGTGTGTATTGAGCCCACACTCTTCGTCCATTGTCTTAATCACAAGCACCAATGAACACCACCAAGCCCTGGACCAGTAAGCCAAGTCCACCATAATCACATTCATCTTCCATCAAGATTGACAAACGCCCGCCCCCAACCTACGCAAGCAATTTCGTGACAGGAACAACCAGACCACCAGATTAGAACAAGGAGAAGGACCTCCTCTCCGAGCTACCTCATGCTCAAGACACCCCACTGCAGAACCTCACAACATGTTGTGCCGGTTATGTGCAGGTGTATAATCGCTGTTGGCAGTACTGCGAAGCACGCAACGAAGCCGACTTCCTGAGTTGCACTTGGGCGCATATCGATAGCAACGGGACGATGCAGGTTGCTATGTGTATTGATTACGTGGCCACTTCTGGTGCTACGAGGATGATGGATGAAGGAGAATGGTTGAGAACGGTGCTAATCGTGGTGATTTTGCGGAACATATTGCTGTGATGACGGTACCTCCTGCTTCCACGTACATCTACTGGGCTATTGGTAAAACACGCCTAACCGCGACCAAGTCCATGTTCCTCTGAGTATATGTCAACTGTGCAACTGACTCAATCCCTTGCATTGGATGAGCCATGGCCCAATCAAAGTGTCGGAACAGCTACGCACGGTCAGCAAGAACCCTATCACAGTCGTATAAGTGAGACTTACCTCGACAAAGGCCTTGTGGAGCTCCATCATGGCAATATGCTTGCCAAGACAGACGAACCTGCCAGCACCGAAGACAATGTCAACGACTCGCATGTATTTGATGTAGGTATCATGATCCGCTTCCATCCAGCGCTCTGGTCGATAAAAGTCAGCGTCTGAACCGAAGACATCTCTCTTTCGCATCATCCTTTCGTCGCACATGCCCAGATCGCATCCTCCTGGGTAATAGACACCCTTGATTGTCTCGCCACCGGGCGGTGCTCGCTTCGTCTTAAGTCCGAAGACAGGTGGGTACATTCTAATACCTTCCCAGATACAGGCAGTCAGGTAAGGCAACTTCTTCGCCTCGGGATACTTCACAATAGGTGTCGATATGGCACCAGCTTCAACAGCATCGTCTATCTCTGTGCGTAAAGCAATATATGCGCTTGGTGTCCCGACCAGTGTGTAGAGTATCGACCGAAGGATTGTGGTCGTCGAATCCGCCCCAGCGATGATTTGCAGATATGCCTCAGCTTCCATCTGCACTTGACTTAGGCCCTTTGCCTTGAAGTAATTAAGCATATCCTTACGCTTATCGTGGGGGTTTTCAAAGCGTTCAGCAACAGCTTTACGAGCGAAAGCCAGCACGGGACCAGTGCCCTTCTTGTCCGTATCCTTAGGCGCTCCCAAAGCTTGCATGCCTGGAGATGCTAGAATACGATAGATCAAGCGGTGGTTGGCCATTAACTCTATCACACTCATGAAACCTGCGCTCGCTTCGTCGTACTTCCACAAGTCCTCGTTGGCTTCCATGAACCCGAATTTGCGGCCGAAAGCAACTGTGCTGAGAACATCGAGGGTGAAGAATCTAGCCGTCATGGCGAAGTCCATGCTTTTGCCGTGGTACCTATCGACGAGGTCGATGAGCTCTTTCACTCGCTCCTCGATATCGTTTTCGAGCCCTGGTGCATCGCGCCCATTGTACTGTCAGTTGTCAGCTACTGGATAATTAGACTTGTCGTGACGGACCTACACCACCAGCTTCCATCGACTTGAGCTTTGCGTGCACCTTCTCATCCCTCGTTGAGAAAACGGTGTCCAATCTGGGATCCATCTTCATCGCCTCATACCAGTAAGATCGGCACCACTTAGAACCTGGGGCATTGATATGTCTTATAACATCCGGATCATCAGTGACCAGGAGATTCGGTCCAATGCGAGCTGGTGATCCTGTGGGAGCTCTGTTAGTCAACTTATTTATTACTGGAAGATGAGTATAACATGCCATATTTCCTGAGCGCAGATTTTTCAGCTTCGTAAACGTTCTTTCTCCAGCTCTGCCAGAGGAGCCAGGAGCCAGAAAAACTAGCGAGCAGTGGTCCCTTGAACTGATGAAGTCTACGGATGTTTGCGGTAGTGCTGAAAATAAAATAGAGTAATAGTAGACCAAGACATGCAGGGAACAGGTCTGGTGACCTGAGGATGGCATCGAAGTGTGGAAGAACCATGGTGGCTTTAGTGCTGTGAAATTCCGTGAAGATTGTATGATGGCTCGGAGGTTTGAACTGTGGTCTTCCTTCTATACGTGGGAGTGAAAGTTAGGGAGGTAGCTAGCTACATATCGAATCATGGTGACATAGCCTGTACTCGCATCCGTGTCACGATATCATACTCCGAATAAGCCCTCTAGACAGTGTATGACGTGTAATGTGTTGGTCCCCTACCTCTTCATTCGATAGCAATGCTTTCCGCTTGGTTGCAGATGCAGACGGCCAGGATGGTGCGTTATGGTGCTGAGTGCATTGAAACATTCGCATGCAATTCCGCAACATGTCGCAGGTATTGGCTACCTGGACCATGCATCCAGTACTATCCGACTGTTTACTCCTCTTCGATTGGAGTTCTGGCCAAGCACTCGGCGCACGTTTCTTCCGGTCCATTGAGCTCGATGTTGGGAGCGGGATTTGATAAGGTCGATGTCACCCGAAGATCGACCTAAATACGGTCGTTCCTCCGTCGGTCAGAAGATCGAGCTAGTCTGTATTCGATTCTGGATGGATGCGTGCCCTCAGCGGACTATTTTCGCGGGATTCATGCGCTAAATGGTTACCGATGCGGTTGATAAAGGCAATCTTAGGTAGGGCGGACTGTTTGGGCGCTCTAGCACGCTTGACGCATGCTCTTGCCATAGCGCGGCGAAGCATCCTCACCTTTTCGCGGTTCCTCTTCAACTACATATCTCATGCTAAGTAAGCAACTTGCTGCGCATGTCAGATTCGAAACGTAAATCGCGAGATGGTCAGAAGCCAAATTTTTGAGTAACTATGCAGTCTTTGAAAATTCGTCCTTCCGGTGACTTAGGTATCGATGGTCGATGGCTGGGGAAGATGCTGCTATTGTTGTCTATAAATCTTGCGGCAAGATGCAGGGTAGGCGGCACGACTATCGTGTTTGGTTCGTGGTCTGCTGGTAGCTGACTGTCTTCTAGAAAGCTTTACCGTGTCTGGTTGAGGAGCATGTACGATGTGCTTTTAAGAACAAAGCCGATACTTCAAGGAATGTCCTGAGACTGGTCAAGATCCGTGTCTTCCAGTCAAAGCCACTGCTTTTCCCCTGCTTGCCACTCGTCGGAGGAATCTTCATAAATGGGTTGTGAAGCACACATCCTCAATATAGCTCGCAAGAACTGATATATTCCTTGGATTAGGGGTACATGATGCATGGTGGATTGAATGTGTAACGAGAGGCCATCCTACGACAAGATTCGTGTTATCTCGATGCAGCACCTTGCAGAAGACGTGCTAACCCTCGCTACACATCACCAAGCCATTGTAATAGGACTGGTATGTATGCTAGTGTAGGTTTCCGCAACGATGCGCTGCACGACTTGGCAACACGAAAGAAAGGATTCAGATCTCACTCTCACTGCTCCCACAGCATGACGGCCGCTGCTCTTCAGCCTTCGCCGAAGAGGAGCACATGGCATCTGTGTTACTTAGACTGGCAGACTGCGTTATTCGAAAGATGCCCAGAATCGGTTCGAGCTGCTCCGCACACACTTTGTAACGCGCTGTATCATCGGTGAGCCGCGCCTCGATCAGCTTAGTGTCTTCGTGGATGAAGTAGATCTTGCGACACTGAAATGTGAATCTGGTCTTGTGGACCTTCTTCCTTGCCAGATGGGAACGTTTGGCTTAGAGGAGGATGATGCCTGGGAAAGCCGTTGGGCGTTTAGACGTCCTGTGCAGCAGGGTGATTTTTGCACCTCGTCCCTGTCATCAATCGAACGAACTTTATGCGCAGCTACCGAAACCCGAAGAATCCGCCTTCTTTGCTCTTGCTCTAAGCTATCCTTCTAGCAGGTAGTAGAGTATGCAGTAATCTACGACTTATAGATGCTAACGGTAGTACTATACCCGCAGCTATAATATTTTATAAACGTATAAAAGTACTTTTCGATTCGAACTACGAAGACGACCTTATTATAATTATATAGGTATTAATTCTAAGGGGCTAGTATTAGGAAGAACCTAAGGGTAAAAGTCTATATTATACTAATCTTATTATTCCTATAAGGTCTAACTTTATAGTAGATGTTACTAAAAATATCTTTTACTAGTCTTAAGTTATAGTTATCGTTATATAACCCTTTAGTATATATAGAAAGTAATCGATATAACTACTAATATATAGATATAGCTAATATTTAGTAAGTAGTATAGGCCCCTCTATAGGGCGGTTTAGGGCGGTTTAGGTTAAAAAACCGGCTTTTAAATTTAGGGCGGTTTTCCTTAGGGCCTTAGAACCTAAATTCTTAGTATAGGGCGGTATAAGCTAAACTAAGTATTCGGGTTAAGTAGCGCTTCGAAACGCTAGTCTCCGTACTATCGAAAGCGTTATATCCTACTTATATTACTAGTAAAGATATTAAGCTTTGTAATACGCGGCGACTACCTACTAACTACCTACCGACTATACGAAATTGCGATACCTCCTATAATACCGTCGGACTCTAGTACGCTATTATTATTACCGCCTCCGACTAGATAGTTTAGTAAAGAGTACTAAGTAAAGACTCCGATCCGCCGTATTAGAGGATATTTAAAAGAGAGGGTATTATCTTTACCTACGAGAGGGGATTCTCGGTCTTCTAGTTAGAGAGGCTATACGGACGTAGAGGAGACCCCGACGCGACGTATATAGTACTACGACGATGTATCCGATAAAGACTAGAGCTCTTCCGTAAGCGCCTTAGCCTCTTATCCTATATCGCCTTTAACCTAAGGACCTAACCAATATGAGGCCTAGGAGGCAACTGAACATTAATAGGATCCTCCCTAAATCCGGTAAGGCGCGAAGCTGCACGGTCCAGATTTTAGTAGGATCCTATTTAGTAGGATCCGCACTTCCAGAACTGCCTGCAGGCGCCGTTCTATACGCTAAAACAGGATGCATCTTACTCGCAGTACTCGATTATCTGTCCGGTATTATTTCTAGTACGTCTAGACAGTATTTCGTAGTACTAGGGTTAGGGTATAGGTGTACGCTAGTAGTCGTCGGACGCGCGAGGGCGTGCGGACATGCGCCCGTACGTATAGGAGCGCGGGGTAAAGTATGGCCGCCTCCGCGAAGTTCGGCTGCTCCCGAAGACTACTGCGGTAGTAGTCTTCAACTCTGCTTACCTTAACCCTTTAACTCTACTTACCTTAGCCCTCCCTACCCTCTATAAGCTATATACGGCATATATAGCGTTAGGGTGTATACGCTATAACTCCCTCCGACGCATTCGTGCCTAATACCCTAGCTCTAGCCTCTATATTATATAACTTTAGCGTGCCCTCGAAGCTGCGATATACTATCTACCTTCCGTATTCCGTAATATAGGTAGTAATAATAGAGTCTAGTAATGCTTATACTGCTCGATAACCTCCTCTACTCCCTTCTCCCTTCTCTCTACCCCCTACGCTATCTGCTATCGTATTATTAGCTACTCTACGGTAGAATTAGATTACGATATTAACCTACGATATTAACTATAGGGTAGGCTCTCTACCGCTAGACCTCGTACGACGTCTATTTACTTAGCGCTACGCCTATTCACTTAGCGCGATACCTATTTACTTAGCGCGATACCTATTCACTTAGCGCTACGTCTATTTACTTAGCGCTACGCCTATTCACTTAGCGCCACGCCTATTCACCTAGTGCTACGCCTATTTACTTAGCGCCACGCCTATTTACTCAAAATATTTACTTCTTATACGGCCAAACACGGCTACTAGCGGTGTTATACGCTAGATACGGCTACTAGCGGTGTTATACGTAGCTATGCCTTCGCTACAAGTACCGACCTTTAACTCGCTCGAGAACGTACTTCCGAACGCCTACAGCTAGCAAGGACACACTACAAGTACTAGCAAACAAACAGCACTAGCACTATACCCTCCTTAAACGCTATACCCTCTTCGAACACTACACCCTCCTCGAATACTACTACTACACCCCCTCGAATACCGCACCCTCCCCGAAAACTACACCCTCGAATACTATACCCTATTAAACACTATACCCTCCTCGAACACTACACCCTCTAATACTATACCCTCCTCGAACACTATACCCTTCTCGACTACTACACCCTTCTCGAACACTATACCCTCCTCAAATATTATACCCTTCTCGACTACTACACCCTTCTCGAATACTACACCCTCCTCGAACACTACACCTACTACGAACACCCTACCCTTAGTATATAGAATACTACACCTACAGTACCGAGTACGATAGTACCTTCCCGCCTCGAGCAGGCGATGCCGCTTACCACCCAGACGCTAGCCGCGCTAGCAAACTAGCTCCTTATAGCGTATAAGGCGTTAGGAAGGCTTAGCGCAGTAGGCTAGCAGGTTGTAGGTAAGTACTTAAGGGCTGCCGACCTTACGTATATCGGCCTTATCGAAGTATATAGGAGCAGGCTCGGCGAGGAGGATAGGGGCGAGGTTTAGCGGCACTTAATAAGTTAGCTTAAGGAGAAGGCTAAGGATATGAACGAGGCGGCCTTCGCGGTAAGTAAGTAGGTTGAGGTCGACTATGCGTAGAAAGTAACTAGCGACG